TGTTAGTTATATAATTGCTTATATAGTGCAATATAATCAGTGCCGGGGAGTGCTTAGAGCTTGGTTAGGCATCAAAGATACCAGGGTCATCCACTGCATCTCCAGCCATCACCAGTCATCTTGACTCTGTCCTGCCACTGGACTGTGATGACTCTGAAAAACAGAGTGAGGCTGGTGACTTCGTGCATCTCTGCCTCACTTAAACATAGTTTATGCCCGAATCAAAAGACATCACCCATACCGTTTTACCATGTTTGCCTATCTCAAAGTCCTGTGGCAACAGGAAAGTGATGAGGCAGCAGGTATGGAAACACTGGGAGCTGTGGTCACAACCCTGCCCACACGCAGCCCCGGCTATAAGGTAATCTTTTCATTGGAAGCAGCAGTGGGATTCAGCAGTCCCCTGGGTATCTGAGCAGCCTTTTAAGGGCTGCACTGCTCATCTCCTAGTGTGAGGAATGGGCTAGAAAAGGTGCCCTAAAAATCATCTGCTTACTCCACACTAGAATGATTACTGCAGCAGGCGGGGATCCCACTCCATGGTCGAAACACAAAAAAAGGTACAAAAACATCTGCAAGGATGATCCCACTCACCATCAGTACATGGAATGTGCACACACTTACAGATAACACAAAATCCAGTAGACTTGAAAGACGAACAGTTCTTGTTGCAAGAGAACTCAGCAGGTATCATATCCAAAAAGTAGCCCTGAGGGATATAAGGCAGGCCAATGAAGGCCAGCTTACTGAAGTCAGAGCTGGATACATGTTTTTCTGGAACAGCTGCAGTGAAGAGGAATACTGAATTTGGTGTAGGTTTTGCCATCAAAATTAATGTAGTCAAGAAGCTTGTATGCCTGCCAAAGGAGTGAATGATAGACTCATGACAATGTGATTGCCACTTGCAGGAAAACATCATGCCACCATCATCAGTGCCTATGCTCCCACTTTGATGAACCCTAATGAGGTCAAAGAAAAATTCAATGAAGATCTGGAGACTTTAATCATCAACGTGCCAAAAGGGAACAAATTTATAATTCTGGGTGACTTTAATGCTGGAGTAGGCTCAGACTACCAGACTTGGGAAGGAATCCTAGGGAGGAATAGAGTTGGAAGCCACAGCAATGGTCACTTACTACAGAAGACTTTTGCATCTCATAACCTCATCACATCATTTACCTAAACGCAATAAAACTTCATGGGTGCACCCTCACAGCAAACATTGGCATTTAATAGACTATGTGACTGTAAGGAGAAGAGACAGACAAGATGTGAAAGCAACAAAGGCAATGTACGGTGCAGCGTGCTGGACTGATAATAGACTTATCCTCTCCAAGCTAAATATTCATATTCAACAAAAGCAAAGGCCCCAAGGCAACATGACTACCAGAAGGATCAATGTCAATACATTAGAGCGCTTCTCTGAGTGGGAACAGTTTGTTGCTAATTTGGAGGGAAAGTTGAGCCAACACACAGTTGGCAACAGTGGAGCAGAAGAGGAATGGGCAACTTTCAGAGATTTGGTGCATAGCACTGCGTTTCCTCATCTGGGTCAGAATAATCGCAAACATCAAGACTGGTTTGATGAAAATGATGGGGAAATTCAGAAGCTGCTAAATGAAAAGCAAGAACTCCATAGGGCTTACCAGCAGGATAATGCATCCATCTGTAAGAAGGCAGCATTTAATTCCATCAAAAGTAAAGTACAATCGAAGCTTAGAGAGATGAGGCATTCTTGGCTCAGTAAGAGGGCAGGTGAAATTCAGTTTCGTGCTGATAGTAACAATCCAAAGGGCTTTTCTGATGCCCTGAAGGCTATTTATGGGCTAAAGACCTATGATGCATCTCAGCCACTCAGTGCTGATGGGGCCACATTGATTAGTGATAAGGATGTGATGATCCTAGATAGATGGGCTGAACACTTCCATAGTGTTCTCAACAGACCATCATCAATCAGTGATGAAGCCATTGACCATTTACCTCAGATTGAAGTCAATTCTTCCCTAGCTGAAGTTCCAACTGAAGAAGAGGTTTTGAATGCCATTAGGCTCCTTTTGTATAGCAAAGCATCTGGTGCTGATTCTATTCCATATGAGATTTAGAAGGGGGGGTCCATTTCTCATACAAAAGCTAACTGAAATTTTTCAGGTTATATGGCAAAAGAAGGTTATCCCCCAGGAGTTCAAGGATGCTTCCATTATCCATCTCTTTAAAGGTCCTAAATAGATTGTCCTGTGACAATCACAGGGAAGGTCTCTCTCTTAGACATTGCTGGCAAGATTCTTGCCAGAGTCCTCCTTAATAGGCGAATCCTTCACCTGCAAGATTGTCATCTACATGAAAGCCAGTGTGGCTTCAGAAAGGGCCAAGGAATGGTCAATACGGTGTTTGTTGCCTGACAATTTCAGCAGAAAGGCCAGAAGAAGAACAGAAATCTGTACACAACATTTGTAGCTCTGATCAAGGCCTTTGACACTGTCAGTTGTGGGGATTTATGGAAAATTATGTCAAAAATTTGCTTGCCTAGAGAAGTTCATCAGTATTGTATGTCAATTTCATGACAGCATGGACAATACTCTTGTGATTTCCCAGTCACCAATGTAGCAAAACAGGGCTGTATATTTGCTCCCATGCTTTTTAGTGTGGTATTTTCAGCCATGTTGTCAAATACCTTCAATGAGAATGAACATGGCATCAAGGTCAACTTTTGTACTGATGGTAAATTCTTCAACTTGAAAAGGCTACAAGCCAAGACTAAAGTGGAGGGAGTGTTGGTGCATGATTTTTTTGTTTTCAGATGATTGTACACTCAACGCAGCCTCTAAAGCTGAGATGCAACAAAGTATGGATTGATTCTCCACTGCTTGTGCTCATTTTGGCTTAACAATTAACACCAAGAAAACATAGGTGTTCCGTTAGCCACCACCACACCATCCACATGTAGAACCATCGGTTACAGCAAATGGAGAAGTTTTGAATGCTATGCATAAGTTCACTTACCATGGTAGTACACTTTCCAGGGATGTACACATTGATAATGAGATTGACACATACGTTGCCAGAGCTAGCTCAGTGTTTGGGAGGCTCTGAAGGAAAGAGTGGGAGAGAAGAGTTATTAGACTACCTAGCAAACTGAAGGTCTTCAGAGCCATAGTGCTGACCTCATTATTGTATGCCTATGAAACCTGGACAGTATATCAGCACCACGCCAGGAAACCGAATTGCTTGTATTACAAAGATTCCGAAGATCACCTAGCAGGATATCAGACACTGAGGTCCTTCCTCAAACTAAATCGCCAAACATTTAAACTCTACTACAGAGAGCACAAGTATGATGGGCTGGCCATGTTGTTCAAATACCAAATGGACACTTGCCAAAAAGACTATTTTATGGAGAACTCCTGCAAGGAAGGTGCTCACGTGGTAGTCAGAAGAAGTGATCCAAGGACACTCTCAAGGTCTCTCTGAAGAACTTTGGAATTGATCATGTGACATGGGAGACACTGGCACAGGACCTGCCTAGCATGGCATGCCCACATCAGAGAAGGTGCTGTGCTGTATGAGCAAAACAGAATTGAAGTAGCTCAAAAGAAACATGAAATGTGCAAATTTAGAGAATCCACCCCAAATGTTCGCATGGATTATGTATGCCTGAACTGTGGTAGAGCATTCTGAGCTCATATTATTCTGATCAGCCAGTCAGATGCACTGTAACTTGACTCTAACATAGTGATGTCATTTTGGTCCTCTTCAAGAATTAAGGATAACAACCAACCAAACAGTTATTTATTAATATTATTTATCATATATAATAATTGTACATGGATGATTACATATTTTGATATGTAATTATACCTTGATATTATTATATAATTAATAACAATAGAGTTTATCATGTAGAATATATTATTTATTTTATATTTAATTATGCATTGATGTTTATCATACATAATCTGATGCATAATCATATATCTACACTTGATTATATTTGATATAATTATATGTTGCCATTTTGAATATAATTTATATTATCTATTATCAAACATAATGCAATTACTATTTTCTATTACTATGATAGGCCCGGAAAGGTAGGTTCCTAGGATTGGCTGAAGCCAAATTGCAATGAGCTTTTCCTGTTAAACAGGCGTCTGTGGTTTGCTCCTAGGGCCTGTACTTCTGCAGTATCTCTTGGGACTCCATATGGAGGAAAGACAAGCTGGAGAAGGGAGAGGCTGAGGTAGGGCTGGAGAACAAGGAGGCAGCTATTTCAATAGCCTAGGCTAGAGCCTGAGCCAGGGCGGTGACTATGTGATTGGAGAGAGGGGGCAGATGGAAGAGATGTTCTGGAGGCGCTGGATTTGGAGGAAGAAATTCTAGGTCTCAAATTCTGGTTCTGTCACTCAATAGCTGTGTGACCTCGGGTCTCGACATCTGTAAAATGAGAGGGTTGGCCTAGATCTCTGATGTTCATCCCAGTCCTACGCTGTGCGACGACAGCATTCCTGCTCATAAGCTGCTCCATGGGGTCCCTAAGATTTTCTAAGATTCTTCTTCTCCCCAACTCTCATCTCTAGTCCCCGTTCTCTTTCCTCTGCCCCAATCTAAAATGGCCACCGTCATGGCTTCAGTGCCATGGGCCAGAATGAACAAAGCAAGGAAGGTCCATGCCCAAAACAAAGATGGCTCCTCCTCCCCCCAACCCTATGACGGCTTGGAGGACTTTCTAGCATTCTCGCAGTTCATCTTTATGCCCATTTCCGAGCCCTTCTAGCCGCCGCTCTCCCTTTTGGCCTCCGGATGGCGGAGGCCCAATCGCTAGCGGTGTTTTCAGGGTTGGCCCCTCTCCCCGGATCGGATCAGCTGATGGCTTGGCGATGTCTGTTGACAGCGGAGGTGGGCAGAGCCCAGGGCATCCGGAGAACAAGCCCGGCCGCCCAGGCCCGAGCAGGAGCACAGCCTCGGGGCCCCGGGCTCGAGCCAGGGGCGCAGGCGCAGTGCCCGGCGCAGGCGCAGACACAGCTGCCGACCCCGACGCAGCCTCGCTGGACCGAGGCCGGGCCGGGCCCGGGGGGAGCGTCTGACCCGTAGCAGGACGGAAGGAGGAAAGGCCCGGGGGCTGGAGGAGCAGAGGCCGAGCCGGGCCCGGGCCCGGAGCTGAGGGAGGGAGCCGGGGGAGCGGCGGCTCTGAGGCGCCTCCCTCTTCGGGACCGGGCGGGGCCGATGTGAGGCCGAATGGAGCAGCCCTGGGGGAGGCTGATCCGCCTGGGCGCCGCCGAGGGCGAGCCCCCGGTGCTGCTGCGGAAGAAGGAGTGCACCATCGGGCGCAGGAAAGGTGAGGAGGCCCCAGCCTGGGCCGCGACCCCTCCTCCCTCTCTGGCAACTCAGCGAGCATTTATTCAGCGCTTACTGGATGCGCCAGGCCGGGGAGGGGAGGGAATGCAGGCAGAAACAGAAAGAGACCCTGCCCTCCCAGAGCTTCCGTTCCAAAGAGGAAAGGCCCGATAAGAGGGAGCCTAGAAGCAGGGGGACAGAGACCTGGCCCCCAATTCCACTGTGGACTGTAAGCGCCCAAATCATGGAGCACTTATTAAGCGCTTACTGTGTGTTCCTGGCCCTGCGCTAAGTCCTGAGTTTACAAACAGAAACAGAAAGAGAGCCGCTGCCTTCCCGGAGCTTACATTCAGAAGAGGAAAGTGCACCCATAGAGGGGAACCTGAAAAGCAGGAGTGGACGTGAAGGGACCCGCAGAAGTGTAGACACGCGGCCTTTTCCTGTTACACCCATTAGACTGTAAGCTCCCTGAGATCAAGGACTGACTTTATGCACCCAGAGCCTCACAGAGCGCCTTTTGCAGGGTAGTTTAGTAAATGTTCCTTGAGTGACACTTAGCTAGGTTCGCGTGTAATCATGAGCCAGTGACTTTTATTTCCTTTCAAGTTTTCTCATCTGCAGAATGGGGATCAATCAATTAATCCACAGACGTCTATCAAGTGCCTACTGCAGGGGGTGTTCCGAAGTCTTAGCTCAGTTGTAAGCTGTTAAAGCTTCTTGGCAACTGAGAAACATCATGGGAGTGCCTATACATACCTATGTATACATATATATCTATATACATATGTGTGTTGCTTTGCATGTTGTGTCTCCTGTTAGATTGTAAGCTCATTGATGACAGGGACTGTCCTTTGCCTCTTTTTGTGTCTCCAGGCTTAGCACAGTGCCTGGCACATAGTAGGTGCTTGATAAATGTTGACTGATTGATTCAAGTCCTACCTCTGAAATATGCTGCCCATTTTTAGCCTCTTGGTGCTTTCACTATCTCCTCCCAAAGACCAGAGCAGGTGCTAACTTGAATTGGTGGAGGGAGTTTGCTCACCGAAGTTACCTCTGCCAGTGAAACCACCTACCCCCAGGCCACTCTCTATGTGGTAAGAGTTGGGAGTACCACTGTGAAGAATGAAATCATTCCTACTCCCCAGGAGTTTACATTCTAACAAGTATCTATAAGCGTGTAAAGAGTCAGTACAAGTTAATCAAACGAGGACAAATTGGTGGTTATTGAGTACTTCCAGACTGTTGGAACCAGGAAGATTAGTGAGTTGAGTCATGTGGGTCTTTTGAGCCACTGTATGTACGTAAACAGTATGACTGTATTTTAGGACTAAGAGTCACCTTCTGACTTGTACTTGTATTTTGAATGAAAAGATGAGGATTCCCCAGTGACATCTCTCTTTGAGTGTAGATGGGTCTGGAAAGTAAAGGGGTTTGACTGTGCAGTCCATTCCACATGGAAAACCTGTTTCATTCATTGTTCTGGCTGATATTTGTAGAAACTGTCGCTCAGGTTTGTCCTGTAGAGCTTGTGGTTGGCCTGAAGCCTTTGCTCACATCTTCCCTTTCCTCCCTGCTGTTGTTATTAATTGGCACACCACTATGGACTGCAATATTTTACTTGCTTTAAGAATTATCTCAAGCCTCAGAAGAGGCCTACCAGGGTATAGGTGTAAAGGAGGAAGTTTTTCCTCTTAAACGTTCAGCCTAGTCAGTTAGTTTTTTGAAGTCCATTGCTTCTGATGTCTTCAACAGTAAAACATGGGCCAATTACAGAATGATCACTCACCCAGTCAACAAGTGTTTATTATGAAATAGTCCCTACTTTCAAGAAGCTTACATTCGAGCAGGGGAAACAAGTACACGTAAGAACACATACGGAACAAACATGCAGTTAATAAATGCAAAATGAGCTATAAGGTAATTAGAGCACTGGCAGTGGAGAGGCTCAAGAAAGGCTTCATGCAGAAGAGGATGCTTGAGCTGCATCTTCAAAGAAGAGGGGGAGACAGACGTAAGGACACTCAGGGCCAAAGTACATCTGTGAGAGATAGAGGGTTGCGTGCTGGAAACAGAGATAAGACCGACCAGTGTAGCTGGATCTCAGAGTACAGGAAAGGGAGGTACACCCAGGGAGACTGGAAAGATAGGTTGGCCAACAGAACCAGATGAAAATGTACTTGGGAAAATGCTTAACAGAATAAATAAAAATACAGTACAACATAGATAACTTGCATTCATGGTTTTCTAAGTTAATATTGTCTCTCTTTGAGTTTGACGCCACCGTGTTAGGGCTTTAAAAGTTCAATGGAGGAGTTTATTGTAGAGGCAATAGGAGGCCTTTGCATTTGGTTGAGCAGGGGAGAACTTGGTCACATCTGTGTTTGAGGAAAATTACTTTGGCAACCTTAAACTGGAACAGGGTGATCAATAAGGAACTTGTAATAAACCAGGTAAGAGGTGAGCAGTCCTGGAGGCAGGCAGTGGTTGGATGCTCAGAGAAAAGGAGTCAGATGAAGGAAGACCAAGAGAGAAGCAGCAGCATTGTCCATTGATTGGATGTGTGGCGTGGCAGAGAGTGAGGAGTGTGGGAGATAGCCTAGCTTAGGTAGGGAAGCATTTGGAAGGGGGTGGGATTTAATGGGAACAATGATTTTACTTTCAACCATGTTGAATTTAAGATGACTCACGGTTAATTGTGGTTAATGTGACACAGCCACTCACTAGATTGCTGCAGACCGTACCAGAGATAGCAGGTTTATGATGAGGTCCTAAGTAACCTCTTAATATTTGTAGTCCTTTAGAGGTAATGTGCCACCCTTCTCTTAACCCTTCAGTGTGTCAGAAAACTGAAACTCAGAGGACCCAGGCAACCTACTGAGTGTCAGGGACAAGCTTTGAACTCCCCATGCAGTGCTCTTCTCACTATATGATACGTGGTTTAAAGATAGAGGAGGAGAAGGGGAGAGAGGTAGGAAATAATTTGGACTTCAAGGGCAGCATGATAGGTTCTGTTCATGAGATGATGTCTGTGGGCTGGCTTAGGAAGGCAGCTGACATAGTTTTGAGTTGTGTCCAACCATGTTTCCAACACTAAATCATTTCCAAATCAGTTTGACATTTTCTTTTATACTTGTCTTTAGAAATAATCTAACTTAGCTTTAACATTTTAAAGGGGAAAAAAATGGTTGAACATTGATTAGCCCCAGGAAAGGTGAATATTTATTATGGCTCTTTTTAAATTTTTGACAGTTTTTATATTCATTAGCTTAATCTAGCTTGAATTTTGTGTGATCATCTTGTTACAGCTAGATTTAATGGTGAGTTTTGCAATTTAGGATTTTAAACCAGAAGTAAAAAATTCAAGGCTCACTTAGAAAACTAAATAACACACTAAACCTTTTTACTTTTTTGTAACTATGAATTGTTTGGTGCTCTAATGTACTTGAATGAAAATGTTTTCCTTCATGCATCAAAGTAGGAGCTTGCCTTAGAATTGCATACCTTGACTAAGAAAAGGACATTATTCTTTTATAATTAATAGCAAATACTAATACCAGTTTTCCCCTGACCCCCTAAAATCCTTATTTCAGGTTGTGACCTTTCATTCCCTGGCAACAAATTGGTGTCTGGAGATCACTGTAAAATAGTGGTGGATGAAGAATCTGGTCAGGTTTCCCTAGAGGATACCAGGTGAGCCTTTTTTTTTTCTACCTAGAACTGTTATCTTACCTGTATAGGTTCTGGAGTGTAGTTTAAAAGGGGTAGACTTGGAGCAGCTAGAAGGCGCAGTGGATAGAGCATCAGCCCTAGAGTCAGGAAGACTTGAGTTCAAATCCGTCCTCGGACACATAACACTTTCTAGCTGTGTGACCCTGGGCAAGTTACTTAACCCCATTGCCTAGCAAAAATAAATAAATAAATAAATAAATGAAATATAAAAACAAAAGGGGTGCATGCAATGTGGACATTAAGAAAGGAAGGAGAATTCTCTATCTTCTCATTTTTAGGAATTTTGACTTATTTTTGGGAAAGGAACTTTTTTGTCCGATCCCATAATGCACATTTCATGTAGTTTGCCAGGGTAACGAAGTGAATTTTCAGGGTGACGGCAGTTAGTGAGGCTTTGGAATCTGGCAGATGCTCTCTTATGTGTTTATGGATTAAAACAAAATTCCAGGAGAAATACTGGGTGCAAGGGGTTGCTATTTTAGATTTCAGTGGAGTTTTTTAAGGAAACATAGGTTTGCCCGTGTCACTGCTACTCAAAAGCCTTCAGATGGGGCAGCTAGGTGGCACAATGCATAGGTCTCCAGCCTTGAAGTCAGGAGGACCTGAGTTCAAATCTGGCCTCAGACACTTGACACTTAACTAGCTGTGTGACCCTGGGCAAGTCACTTAACCCCAATTGCCTCACCAAAAAGAAAAAAAAAAGCCTTCACACTCTCTGTTGCATATAGGATAAAATGCAAACTTCTTAACTTAGAATTTTAGTTCCTTCACCATTTGACTCCAACCCACCTTTCCCGACCTTATTTTGCATTATTCTCTTTGTGCACACTATAGTGTTTGACTCTATGTAGTCAGTCAAACCAAACCACTATCAGCTTCCAGAACTTGACGTTATATTGCTCAGTTCTGTTTACTGTGTCTCCACAAGTCTCTTCACATCTCTGCCTCTCAAAGTCTTTATCTTTCTTTAAGGCTTAGCCCAGGTGCTACCTCCTCCATAAAGTCTTCCCTCCCCCCCCCCACCAGCCCCAAAGTGCCCTTTTCCTTCTTATATTTTCCTAGAGTACTTTGGAGCTTTCCTTTCCTCTGCCTTAATTTATTTTGTATTATAATTTTCTGTAACATGCAAGTATCCTCCAGTAAGAATGTGAGCTCCTTGAGGGCAAGAATTGTGTTTTGCATTTTTCTATCTCCCGCATCCAGGATAGTGTAAAATACATAATAAATCTTAATAACTGATTGTTGAGTTGAATTTAATTGAATTCTCTGGGCTTTGAGGCCTGCTAGGGAGATGAGGTGCTGACAAGGAAGGCAGGAAACTAGCATTTTTTAAGCACCAGGCACTATGCTGATCCTTTACAAATATCTCATTTAACCCTCACAGCAACCCTTCGAGGTAGGTTTTGTTATTATCCCCATTTTAAGGCTGAGGAGACTAAGGCAAGCAGAAGTTAAGTGATGTGTCTCAGGTCACACAGCTAGTAAGTGTCTGAGGCTGGATTTTTTAAAATTTAGTTTCATTTTCATTTTCAAATTCTCTTTCTCCCTTTTTCCTGAACTCTTTGAGAAGGCAAGAAAAACAAAACCTATTATAAATATGTACAGTGATACAAAACAGATGGCCTCCTTAGCCAGGTTCTTCACACACACACACATGCATGCATGCACTCATGCACAAGAAAAATGAGAGAGAGACAGAGAATAAAATATGCTTTGGTCTGCACTCTGAGTGCCTCATTTCTCTGTCATGAGGTGGGTGGCATGGTTCATCATGAGTTCTGTAGAATTGGGGGGGGGGGGTCGTTGTGTTGATGAGGTTACTGAGCCTTTCACGTTATGACCGCAGGCCTAGCCCTCTATCCACTGCACCACATAGTTGCCCCCGGTATAGTTTGAAATCTAGCAATGCTGGACACTGCTCCGAGTTTTTTCTTTGGTTCCCTTGATACTCTTGACCTTTATTCCTCTAGATGAATTTTGTTGTATTTTCTAGCTTTATAAAGTAGTCCTAGGGGCAGCTAGGTGGTAAGGTGGGAAGAGCACTAGTCCTAGAGTTTACTAGCTGCGTGACCCTGGGCAAGTCACTTAACCCCATTGCCTAGCCAAAAAACAAACAAATAAAGTAATCCTTTGGTAGATTGATAGGTATAGCACTGAATAAGTAAATTAATTTAGGGAGTATTGTCATTTTTGTTATAATGGCTTGGCCCTGAAACTGGCTTTGAACTCAGGGTCTTCCTGACTTTAAGGGCAGCGCTCTGTCCACTGCACCAGCCAGCTGCTGAGATTGCCTCGTGATAACTTTGGTATAAAGGATGGTAGGTTGGAAGAACAGCTAAAGAGCAAAGGGAAGACAAGTGGGAAAAGCTTGATTTCTCAGCTGTTTGGTGACAAGCTATCATATGTCATTTTCTGCACTCTGGTAGGGTAAGAATTGTGTGTGTGCCCACTCCTCAGAGAAGCAGTGAGACACCAGTTCTGATCAGAAGCCGAGTGAGTCAGGACCCAGCTCAGAGCAGGATTTCTGGCCTCTTCTCCCCCACCAAGACTAAACCAGAGCATGTGGTTATGCCCTCAGCTTGGCTTTAGGTGTTTACAGTGTCCTTGGAGAGAACTCAGGTCCTCTGGAGAGCATACCGATTTAACCTTGGGGGGAAGGTCCCCCCCTGTGCTATCCCTATTGTTCTTGTCTCCTAGACCCTAAAGCTTCTATCTTCCTGGCATCCAGTTAGTGGTCAAGGCCTCTTGATTTTATCCACACAGTCTCTCTTGCCTGTTAAATCCTTTCCACTTCTGCAGTATCTCCCTTCTCCAGGCCCATTTTATCTTAGCTGGATTTTTATTATCGCTTCCCTGTCCCTGCTGCCAGGTCAGTCTTCCTACAGAAGACCATGGGGTACAAAGAACACTGAAGTGGTCTGGCTGAGCCTGGCCACCAGTCCGGCTCTATTCCTGCCTTGCTGTGTGACCGGGGCAGGCCACGTGAGCCCTCTGTACTTCAGTTTCCTCAGTCGCTTTCTATGCATCTACTCTTTATATAACTCTCATGTGACTCTGTGTGTGCAGGTTGTCTCCCCCATTAAAGTGTGAGCTACTTGAGGGCACTGTAACCTACCTCAAGGTTAGTTACCTCCATTCAGAGGGACACCTACAATTGAGCCTGCTGGGAGGAGGAGGAGGAAATGGTTTTGCAAGGAGGGCCAGGTTCAGAAGAGGAAAAGGGCAGACTGATGATGGAAATTTCATTCCCAGTGTCTGCAGGAAGAAGAATAGAGAAGGGCAAGAGTTTTAAGGAAGTGGAAATTTTGAATTGATGGGTTGATTACAGCTACAGGGGTCAGTAAGAGAGGAGCAGTAAAGTTATTTTTGCAAGAGAGTAGTTGGGAAATACTTCGTGTATGGGTTTCTCTGGGTGTTGATTTGTAACCTGTAAAACATTAATGTTGATTTAATTTTCTAGTGTGAGTAGGAATGCTGGTTCACAACCTGTGCCACAGAATTTAGCAGCCAAATGTATCCTTCGTGTTGGTTTTCAGCATTTCTCTGATTGTATTTTTGTTCTCTTGGCAGCACTAATGGAACAGTAATTAATAAAGTGAGGATTGTGAGGAAGCAGTCGTATACTTTACAGACTGGGGACGTCATCTACGTGGTTTACAGGAAGAGCGAGCCAGAGCACAGTAAGGGGACTGGGCTTCAGGGAAGCTGGGGGGCCAACCCTGGGGACAATTGAGGGCAGCCATGGCGCCGATCGAACTCCTCGCTGTCGCTGTGGCAGCAGCCACAGCGTTTTTTAAACAAGGTCAAGCTGCTGAACTGCTTTGGTACCAGGGACCCCGGGATCGAGTCCTCTCTGATTTGGTGACTTTGGGCGACCTCCCTGGGCCTCAGCATCTCCATCTGTAAAACAGAAGGACTTGGAGTAGCAGGCCTCCCTTCGAGTAGCAGACCTCTGAAGGGAGGTCAGGGAAAGGAACAAGCATTTATTAAGGGCCTACTGTATGCCAGGCACTGTGCGAAGAACTTTACAAACGTGATCTCATTTTGCTTCTGAGATCCCTCCTTTGACCCTGGAGCTGTTAATGACTCTTAAAAGCCTCCCCTTCCAAACATCTTTCCCTTTTCCAAAGTGTTCAGTCTTTGCATGATCCCTTTCCTCTGTTGCTGACTATCCCTCCGTCTCTGCTTGTGCTGCTCCCATTTATCATAATTATCTCTTCATCCCTCCTAGTCCACCCTATTGGCATTTTGTGAACTAAAGAAAGAAAGACGTTATTAGCACTTCATTCCTAGCAGCGTGAGAGTTTCCAAAAGGCTTTTATGAGCAATATTATGGTAATGACATTGAAGCCTTCACTGATCATTCCCGCTGGAAGTGGCTTCTCCCATCAGGGGGTTTCATCACACAGAGCCCATCCTTTCATGGACTTCACATTTTCAGCAGTGGGCATTGCATTGGTCTGGGCATGTTTTATTGCCCCTTCTAGAGTTTAAGTGGCTTGAAAGGAAAGGATTGAGCCCTCGTTTGTCTTTGTCTCTGACCTTTTCAGGAGACATTTTGTGATTCTTCCTTATCTCTGTGAAGTTAGGAAAGGTGATTTTGACCAGCCCGTTAAAGGGAAATAACACGCTTAAGGTCTGGACCCAAAAGGGAATTAAAATGAAGTGCCTTTAATCTGGCAGAGTTGTTAAGTGGCGTGCCCCAACGACCAGTCCCGTTTTAGTCACTACCTCATTGGCTCCCTGGAGAACCTGATGATAGATCTGTGAATGACACTGTGTGATAACTAGGTGTTGCTTGTAGGGACAACGACACATATTAAATGGGAAAGGACTAGCTAGGCGTGAGTACAAAAGAAGATGATTTTGGGGATCCTAAGCTGAATATGGTTAATAGTATTGTAAATCCAGTTGGTTCAGAGGCTCATTAAGGAAATATAACCTACAAGGACCAAGAAATAACTCTTGCAGTCTACCTCACTCAGATGTGGTGAATCAGAAGGAGCTTTGGGTTTAGAGTCAGAAGACCTTGGTTCAGACTCCTGCTCTGTCACCAAACGACCTGAGCAGCTCATTTCTCCTCTCTCCCTGCCCCATCTTCTCCTGGCTCTGCCTGCCACAAGTCTCTCCCCACTCCACCAAGGCCTGCCGTTGTACAGCATTTTGAATAGACCAGTAGCCATGGGTGTTTTTAATCTTACCGCTGTCCATCTTCTCTTATTCCAGTGCCAATCATACTAATCCTTGGCTCATATTTGGGAGTGATATACCCTGAGATGAATTGGGATGTTTTGAGATGTTTGCTTCACATCTTTTGAACTTCATCAGAGGCAGAAAGCCGGTTTGGAGTTAGTCTCTGAAAGTCTTATTTCCTGGAAATTGAAGATTTAGCAACAAATATAGCAATTTACAACAACTCCTAGATAGATAGGACGTTTGGAAGAGATAGAAAGCAGACAGGAAGATGATTGCTTTTTCCCTCAAAAAATTGTATTTCTAGATTTTTGCCGGTACTTTCTGATTGTTTTTTTCTCTTTTTAGATGTTGCGTATCTCTATGAATCTTTGAAATCAAAGCCAGGCATATCCCCAGAACTCATTGGTAAGTAAAACTTGAAACAGAAGACTGGGCAAGAAGCTAGGGACCCTCATGTCAGTAGAAGTTTTTCAAATCTTTGTTTTCTCTGAAGTAGCAGCCTTTTCTGCCTGACCCCTGCACACATGCTCCTTCTGGTTCTTTGGTTGCAGAGGCTACTGGAGAAAATGTGTGCGACGTGACCAAAGATACCTCAGGTTCAGAAGGAAGCGATGATAGCCAGGTCATGCCATCCTTGCCCAATGATCAGTCTTGCTTTGAGGAACCACAGCCATCTACATCTACATCAGACCTCTTTAATACGTCCTCTACCTCTCTCCTGGAGTCTGCTGCTGCTGAGCGGGAGCGTCCTTCTAGACCTGGCGGTGAGCTCTCGGTTTGGGGGTGGGGGGTGGATGACGTTCACAAGAGTGATACCATTGGGGTCTCCTAGCATCTGTGTTGTCATGAAGACAGAGGAAGGGTTTTTCTGAGCATTTGAAGGTATTGTTAAGCATCATTCCCACCCTCCAGTCTTTTAAGATGTATGTTTGGTTTTTTTCCTATGGGCAGTGGAATCCTGGAATTTAAGCTGCTTGAGATCAGGGACTCTCTCTGTATACAGGATGCCCCAAAAAAGTTTTACTAGCTTAGAGCTGCACCAAGACTTTTGGGGTGCCCTTAATTTGTCAGAACCCTAGCTCTCAGAATGGGCATGTTGGCAGTGGTAAGGATAGGCCCATTCCTCCTTTTATGTGAGAGGTCAGGAAGAACAGAATCACTGGTAGCTAACTGGAGGGGAGACAGTGCATTGTTGTGTTTCACAGATATTGCAGACAAGAATGGACTGTCTTTGTCTGGGGAGCCTTGCCTGGTGCTCAGCACAGCCTCTCAGGTCTGTAAGAGCCAGGCCCTAGGCCTCACCACCACCTGCACTGAGGGGCATGTCACTTTACACGTTGCGTATGATTTTATGCATTGCCTTTGATTTTAAGCTTCTAGAAGGCAAGGAACATGCTTGTCTTGAGAGAAATGATTCTTTCTGTCCTATGTTAATAGCCAGTTATTGAATTAGGACCAAGGTTTTTCTGCTTCGTTTTCTCATTTAGAAATCAACCTCCGTAGGTTATTCACACAGCCTTTGAAGTGCAGGGCTGAGAATGAGATGAAATATTGGGCAAGACAAACCCGACTGGGAAAGTTTAGATCTGATCAAGAGGTAAAGATATTTTAGTTTAGGTAAATTGGTGGATTCCAGCCCGTTGTGTTTAAGTGAGACAAGTCTAGGGAGAAGTGGATTCCGCCTTTTGTCTAGGTTGCGCTAGACAGGGTGACATGAGTACAGGAGAAGTCCCTTTAGCCGAGACTGGGCTATCAGAGTCACGTCCCCTCTCATCATAGCATTCGTTCTCTCACTAGTGGCTAACCAGCCCGGGTTGGTTTCCACCCTCAGGCGCATCCCCTTGTCCAGAGGCTTTGTGAATCTTGCAGGTTCCACAGCCTAGGTCTCTTTGATCACTGAGAGGAGCAGATGAGCCTTCTTGCTGAGTGCTTGCTAGCTGTAGTTAATAACATTCATTATGATTTACCCAGAAACCGTCTCCTGGGAATTTTCACTTGCCACATCTTCTTTTGTGTCCTCCGTAGATGTTGTGGTGTGGAACTCGTAGCGCTTATTGGATGAGTGACTCAAAGAGCCACTCTGTTAAGTCCAGAATCGGTCACAGGGGGCCTTTTGTTCTTTCTCACGTCAGTGGGCTTTGGACATTTGCTTGATCCCTAATAGTAATAATAATAATAACTTCAGAAACATACAGTGCTTCAAAGAGAGCACCACACAGCTCTGTAAGATAGGAAGTGCTCATATTAGCTCCATTTAAATGGACGAAACTGAGTTTGAACAATGTGCCCATGATCACATTGATAACTATTGTCTGAGATGGAATGAGACCCCAGGTTCTCTGATTCCAAGCCCAGATGGCTAATTTTTGTAGTTGACTTGCTTTGATCAAATGCTGTCTTGTGCTAAAGTGTTAAGGTAACAGTTGCTCATGATGTACTTTGAGAGGCAAGGAACATTTTCCTCCTAACAGACCTCTGAGGTGGATAAGAGAAGTTAATTGATTTGCTCAGGGTCACACAGATAGTAAAAAAAGAGCAGGGAGTTTAACCCAATCTTCTAACTCAAAGTTGAGTCCCTTAAGACACTATGCCAGGCACTTCATTGAGTTCAGTTTTGCAAATCAGTCTGGTCTATTAAAGCTAAAAGTTACTGATGAGATGTGACTGTTTGAAAAATGTCACTAGGGGCAGCTAGGTGGCGCACACTTACTAGCTGTGTGACCCTGGGCAAGTCACTTAACCCCAATTGCCTAAAAAAAAAAAAAGTCACTGACTAAAACCTGAAATTCCCAGAACAAGTTGTATAGCATCTAGAGGTGATTCTCCTGCCCCAGTGCTCATTTGCTCACTCTCTCTTGTGGAACACACCACACACACACACACACACACACACACACACACACACACACACACACACACACACACACACACACACACACGGCAGTCTACACTTTGAGCAAATTCACTTCAGCAAGCATTTAAGCACTCACTGTAGAGGCCTGTGCTGGGTGCTGGAGGAGGAAAAAAAATAATTTATCCAGTGAGTCACGGTCTGTGGTCTCATAGTTTATGTAGCGCTTCGTGTTGGCCCTTGTGTTCTTGCATCGGGCTGATTTATGAGAGTTGCTAGTACCTGTGGAAGCGGATGATATGATTTTTGATAAAAACAGTTTTGGGGGCTTTATCCACCTCTAACCAGGTCTGTTAATGCATCAAAATCACGAAATCTGACATTTCCTCTATAGTGTGTGTCGTAAATAGACCTATTAAGAAATTATTTTATCCAGCTGTTCTGGCTCACTTTTGGATTTGAATAGAAAATGGAAATTCCATGTTTCTGACTTGCTTTGAGCTGGCTCCAGCATAATGAGGTAGATGGCTTTCGGCTAAGGAGCATCGTGTGTGTGTGTGTGTGTGTGTGTGTGTGTGTGTGTCCGTGCATTACGTTAATAACTGTTTTTTTTAATTAGTGTGGGGGCCTCATATGTCAGTACAGCTCGTTTCCTGTCCTGGTTCGGGCCAGGCGATCTGAGAACAAGCATGCCGCGTGTGGGCGCTTGGGCTTGGAGTCGAACTTTTTCTTAAAGGGAGCGGAGTAGTTCATGTCGGCGGGCCCCTCCTGACTGCTTTTCTTGTGCTCTTCCCCCTCTTCCTTAGAAGCCAGGCGTGTAAGCGCGCCGCTTGAAGATCAGTGTCGCTCTGTCACACGTGACGGCGCCCCTGCCTTCTTATCAGCTTCTCCGGACAAACCTCACGCCTGGGAAGACACGGGACCCGCTAAGAAGAAAATGAAAGGAGGTTGGCAGTCATATCTCTTTTTTTACGCTATTATAAACTTTTAATCATCAGCAAAGACATTCAGATACGTAAGCAAGAATAAAAAAGATTGCCATGAAACTAAATGTTCATTAGCTCCAGTCTGCTTAAGCATTTTTTTGTTTTGTTTTTCTTTTTGGGTTTTTTTGGTAGGCAGTTGGGGTTAAGTGACTTGCCCAGGGTCACACAGCTAGTAAGTGTCAAGTGTCTGAGGCCGGATTTGAACTCAGGTTCTCCCGACTCCAGGGCCGATGTTCTATTCAATGCGCCACCTAGCTGCCCCTGCTTAAGCAATTTTTAATGTGTATATTATCTTAAACAAGATGGAAAAAAAGTCATCCTGTTTCTGTCTATAGCTCTTTCTGAAATTTTTTTCTTTTATTTCTTTTTTCTGGATTTTGTTGTTAATATTTAGTATTATCATCAGTTTTGTTTATAGAGTTGCAGTCTATGTGTATAATATTATTTTGGTTCTGCTTTCATCATTCTTAGTCATTTAACAGAAGTCTTCCCATATTTCCTTGTATTCAATTCAGCAAGCCTTTATTAAGTACCTACTAAGGGCCAGGTACTATATTCTTCTATTTTTCATGTTAGTCATTTCTTCCGGCATAATTCCATCAATTCATGTGTTTGTCCATTCCCTAATCATTGGATACTTGAGCTGTTTCCAGTTTTTTGTTGATAGTGATAATGCTACTGGGAATATTTTTATACAGAGAGGTCTTATTATTAATATGGGGGTTTTTTTTCACCTTTAATTAAGTTTTATTTATTTTCAGGTCTGCATTCTCTTCCTCCAACCTCCTCCTTCACAATGCTCCCCATTGAAAAAGCAAGAAAAACACAGCCTGTTACAAACACGTGTAGTGAAGCAAAACAAATTCCCACATTGGCCACGTAGGAAACAAAACAGAGTGTCTGTGTCTGCACTCTGAGTCCCCCACCTCTCTCTGGAGTCAGATAGCGCACTTCGTCATGAATGCCCTGGAATTGAGGGTGTTCACTGTGTGGATCAGAATTCCTGAGTCTTTCAGAGTTAGATGTCTTTACAGTATTGTTGTTATTGAAGAAATTGTTCTCCTAGTTCTGCTTATCATGCTGCTTCAGTTTATACAGATCTTCCCAGGTTTCTCGGAAACTGTGCCCCTCAGCGCGATATCATAAAACATAACTTGTTCAGCCTTTCTCCGGTTAGTAGGCATCTCCTCAGTTTCCAGTTCTCTGCCACCACAAGAAGAGCTGCTGTAATATTTTTGTATATGGGGGGCCTTTTCTTCTTTGTTTTATCCCTTCGGTGCCTTTTTAGGCGTAGTTCCAAATTGTTTTCCATAATGGCTGGTCCAGTTCACAGTTCTACCAACAGTGCAGCGCATCGCACCCCTCCCCCCCACACACATACACACACACACTCCCCAGCATTTTCATTTTCTTTTTTTGTCATCTTAGCTAATATGATGGATGTGAGATGGTACCTCAAAGTTGTTTTCACATGGCTATTGATAACTTGAATTTCTTTCTCTGAAAACTGCCATATTCGTGTCCTTTGACCATTTATTATTAGAGACTAGCTCTTATAGTGAATTTGACTCAGTTTCCTACATGTTTTAGAAATGAGACTTTTTTCAGAGAAACTTGCCGCAAAGATTTCCCCCAGTTTCCTTCTTTTCTTCTAATTTTAACTGAATTGGTTTTGCTTGTACACAAACTTTATGTAATCAGAGTTGCCAATTTGATCTCTTTTAAACTTCTCTATATCTTGTTTGGTCAGGAACTCTTCCCCTCTGTCCATACATCTGACTAGCATTTTCTTCCATGCTCCTCTAATTTGTTTACGATACTATCTTTTATGTCTAAATCAGGTGCTCAGAAATTTTGCATTTATCTTGGCATAAAGTGTGAGATACTGGCAAATGCCTAGTTTCCACCAGACTGATTTCCAGTTTTCTCCGCAGTTTTTTGTTAACTGAGTTCTTGCCCCAATAGTTGGAATTTTTGAGTGTATCAAGTCTGAAGCTACTGTGCTCATCCGCTTCTTTAAACTGTGTACCTAATCTGCTTCACTGATCAACTTTTCTGTGTTTTGCCCAATACCAAATTGTTTCAATAATTATAGTTTTTTAGTTTAGTTTGAGATTGGTATTGATAGACCCTTTACTTCTCTTTTTTTTTAATTGATTCCCTTGCTATTCTTGACCTTTTTGTTACTCCAGATGGATTTTGTTATTATTTTTCTAGCTCTATAAAGTAATCCTTTGGTAGTTTTATTGGTATGTCACTAAATAAGTAAATTAATTTAGGTAGTATTGTAATTTTTATTTCACTGACTTGGCCTACCTATGAGCAATTAATATTTCTCCAATTAATTAGTAAACTAAATTTACTAAGTGCCTACTGTATGCCAGGCACTGTGCTGAGTGTTGGGAATACAGATGTGAAAAAAGACAGTCTTTGCCCTTAGGGAGCTTACAATCCAAAGGGGGAAAACAACACTCAAGAAGAAGGTGAAAAGCTGGAGTGGTGGGGCGTGTGAGTCAGAGCAGGGCAGCCAGGTAAGAGCTGAGTGCTCTCCTGAAATGGAGGCTCGGAGTTCATGGCTCCAGCCTCTGATCAGGGAGCTAGAGAGGAGTGATGGGATAGAGTCCCAAAGCTGATGATGTCGTAGAGGATGATGAGGCTATTCTCTGGGTCTGGCTTGATTTGTGTAAAGAGTTTTTTGTGTTGTGTTCATATAGTTTCTCTGGGTGTCTTACCAGGCAAACTACTGGGTTCATATTTTATGTAATTATTTTTATTTTTTAAAGTTTCCATTGATGTTTTCTGTTTCTTACATTACAGTAGTATCCCATGTATCTCTCTCTCTCCCCATCCCAGAGAGCTATCCTATATAATAAATAGAATTTTTTGGAAAGGGGGGAAAATTCAGCGCAACTGCTTAATATATTGAAAAAAGTCCCCAAGCATGTGCAGTGTGTAACCCTGTGCACTTGTCATTTCTACAAAGGGCTGGGTGGGGGAACTCTCCTTAATCTTTACAGTTTTATTACATTTACTTTGGTTTTTTTAGATGCGTCATTCTTTCCATTTACATTGTATTTACTGTGTATGCAGTTTTCTTGACTCTTCTTCCCTCTGCATCATTTCATGATGTTCTGTTGTATTTATGTGCATTTCATTTATATTCTGTCATATTTATGTATGTTTGTTTAGTCATTTCCCAAGCAATGGACATCTACTTTGTTTCCAATTCTCATGTGTCACAAAAAGTGCTACTATAAATATTTTGGAATAAGTGGGGCCCATTTTACTCATCAGTGGCTTCCAGTAATAGAGTCTCTTGTTCAAAGAGTAGAGACATTTTACTCACTTTATTTGCATAATTCCAAATTGCTTTCCAAAATGATTGTTCCATTTTACAGTTCCATCAACAATGTATGAGTGTGCCTATCTTCCCACAACCCCCCCAAACATTGGCTATTGTCATTTTTTGTCATTTTTGCCAATTGCAGGGTCTGAGGTGAAACCTCAGAGTTGTTTTTATGTGCAGTCTCTTAGTGATTTGGAGCATTTTTTCATGTAGTTGTGAATCTTTGCGTTTCTTTTTGGCTATTTTTTTTAAAGAACTGTTCATATCCTTTGACCATTTATCTACTGGGGAATGGCTGTCGATCTTATTTACATTAATTAATGTAAATAATTAATGTTTCTTAATATTTATATTACTGTTAATTGTAGAAATAATGATTAATTTTACTTATTATTAATATTTATTGTTTCTATATCTTGGGTACCAAACCATTATCAGAGAAATTTGATAAAAAAGATTTTTTGCCATTCCACCACTTCCCTTCTTACCCAAGTTGCATTAATATTATCTATGCTGAAGCTTTGCAGTTTCAAGTTTCCTCTTTTGCTATTAACACAGTAGTATGTTATTTCACTTATATTACTTTAATCTTTTTTCAGAGGTGGCCCTGTTCCCATTGGCTCTCTTCTCCTCACCCCTGATCCCCTCTTCTCATTTGTTACACCTTTCCCTTTAGGGTTTTGTTTATTAATTCCTTTTTCTCTCCTGCTTTTATCTGGGTATACATTTGTTCCCTCTCTTTTTTTCTCTCTCAGTCAGATAGATTCCCCTTGCCTCTTCTCTCCATGAGCTAGTCCTGTTCATTAGTTTTGGGTTTGTTTGTTTTTTGCGTCCCTTTCCAAAAAGGATTCTCTCACTCTCTTCATTATCTGTCTTCTCTTTCTGTTTACTCTAGATGCTCGTTCTCTGATTCATGACCCTGTAACTATCTGGTCTCTCTTCATGCAGTCATAGCTTCCCAGGTATCCATTCTAGGCTCTCTCTTCTAGGTACTTTCTGTCTGCCTCACTCCCAGAATAGTGCCCCTTGTTACACGGTCAGAGAGGACACTGCTCCATGGTAGGGCCATTCCCCCACCATGTCCTTAATTATGCAGCCTACCACTAATGTAGTCCCTTTCTTGTGGACCTTTCTTTTTTTTTTTTTTTTTGACATTTGCCTTGAAATCTCCTCCCTGTGTCCATGCTCTCCCACTCCTCCAGGTATCAGTCCTCCCACCCCCCAGCCAGGGCCCTGCCCTCAGACAGCTTACATTCTTCTCTGGACTTTTTAGGAAACTGTGTCATGAGCAGGGCCCTCGACTCCTGTCCCCTTGGTCAGCAGAATTCGTGCATCAGCATAAGAGGCAAAGCGTGTCCTCTCACTGCCCTCTTTCTCTTCCAGATGGGGACACTAATCTGAGTCTTCAGTTGTTTGTCACAGACCAGTGTAAAAACAGCAGGGCCATTCCTGAGGAAGTGAAAGCAGCAAACATGAAACCAGACAAAATGGAAGAAACTCTCACTTGCATCATTTGTCAGGAGTTACTGCACGACTGTGTGAGGTGTGCTGCTGCTGTGATGGCGGGATGTGAAGGGCCTGGGGTAGCTGGGACAAGAGTGGAGTCAGAGGGTGTTTTCTGACAAATTTCTAATTCTTTTTAACTATAATAGAGAGTGTGGGTGTGCCCTGTTACTGGTGCCCACTTCTGTCGTGCTGTCTGGTTAGGATGCCCTTTCTTCCAGTACCCCAGGAGGCTCACAGGGTCAGAGCTAGGTGGACTCTTGGAGACTGGAGAGTCCAACCACCTAGTTTTATGGACTAGGGTGGGGAACCTGCAGCCCCGAGGCCACATGTGGCCCTCTAGGTCCTCAAGGGCGGCCCTTTGACTGAAATCATGTGGCCTCGAGACCACAGGTTCCCCACCCCTGGGGGCAGTGAAGCCACGGGGCAAAGTCCCTCCCAGTATATAGGAGAGCTGGGATTGAACTTGTGTCCTCTGAGTCACAATCCAGTGTGTTTTCTCCCCTACCACACTGAAGTCAGTGCACGTGGGCAGAAGGTACCAGCAAGCGCGCTTCCAGGGTGGCCGGCCCACGTGATGAATGAGCCGTGTTGTTTTTATGTTCAGTCTGCAGCCCTGCATGCACACCTTCTGTGCTGCTTGCTATTCAGGTTGGATGGAACGGTCCTCTCTGTGCCCCACGTGCCGTTGTCCAGTTGAACGTATATGCAAAAACCACATCCTGAACAACCTTGTTGAGGCCTACCTTATCCAGCACCCAGGCAAGTGCAAGGCTGTGCGTCCTTAGGAACCGCTAAAATAACGGAGTGGCCGGGGTCCTCAGTGCTCCGGCCTGTTTGTGCCGCCTTCTGCTCTGAGGTAGTCTTCTCTTGAACCCTAGATAAGTGCCGTAATGAAGAGGATATGCGTAGCATGGACGCCAGGAATAAAATCACACAGGACATGCTGCAGCCAAAAGTGAGAAGGTCCTTTTCGGATGAAGAGGGAAGTTCTGAGGACCTGTTGGAACTGTCTGATGTGGACAGTGAATCTTCAGATATCAGGTGACTTCCCAGCTGGGACATAGTAGAAGCTCGGCCTCCTGGCTCCCTTTGGGGACTTTGGGATCCTCCTCAGGGCTGGCCTGCAGTCATTGGAGGTTGTGGCTTTGGTTGACATACTGTTATTTTTTCACAAAAAATTCTTATTCCCTTCTTGGGTTATTCACAAAGTAATAGAGTCAGAGCTGGAAGGAACCTTTAATATTAGCTCTCCAGACCAATCTCCCACTGTAGCAGGCCCCCTTTCTCAGCAGCCTCTGGCAGCTAATCATCCTGTCTCTGCTAGAAACCTCCAGTGACAAAAAACCACCACTTTCCAAGGCAGGACATAAAACTGAAGCAAACAGTGGTTATGTGACTTGTCCAGGGTCATACAGCTGGTGAGTGTCTGAGGCTGGATTTGAACTCAGTCCTCCTCCCTCCAAGCTGGTCACTCTTTCCAGTTCTTTCATTTGTTTAGACAAAATCTACTTCCTTGTAACTTCCACGCACTGGTCCTTTTGGCCCTAGTTCTGTTCTCTTAAGCCAGCCAGGACAGTGCTGATGGAAGCTGTAAGAAGGCTGTCATCGTATCTCGTCTAAGTTTTTTGCCCCTCCTTTTTTCAGCTGTTTATCACATGTGACTTCTTCAGACCCTTCGCCTCCCAGTCCCTCACTTTCAGTTTGTCAGCATTCCTCTTAAGATGCGATATCCAGAACTGAAAATAGTCCACCAGACCATGGCTGACCAGTACGGCGTATGCGTCTGCTTTGGGACATTATGCTTTTGTGCCAGTTCAGCCTGAGATTGTATTAACTTTTTTGATAAGTCACATTACCCACCTGACTCATATTGAGCTTACAAGAAACTTAAACCTATTATTATTTTTTGTGTGAACTGCTATTAAATCTAAGTCACCCCTATCCTGTACTTGGGCAGCTTACCTTTGAAACCTCAGGTACAAGACTTTGCATTTATTTCAAGACTATGGGGTTTTGTTGGTGCAGTACTTGGCCCACTGGTGTAAATCGCAACCTGCTTTCATTTTAGGAGTGTTTGAGAGTTGCTTTGGTTAAAATAAGCATTCCCTAGAGTCCAACCTGGTAATGACCCACGCTGAATCTTGCCAGGCTAGACCTTGTACAATACCCATACGGTCACCATGATGGTGTATATTTATCCTTATTATATTTCAGCTTATTCATTTGGGTTCCATTTTCCAGCCTGTTGAGATCTTGTCCAGTCCTGATTCATTTATATAAAATACTACTTATTCCTTTCAGTTTTATATTGTCTGCATGTTTGGTAAGTGTATCATAGATGGTTTAATCTAGATCATTGATAAAAATGTGTAATAGATTAGGGTCCGGGACGCAATCTGTAGGGCTTTGCTAGAGGACTCTCTCCACATTGACATCGTTCAGCTCTCTGGGTGTCATTGTTCAGCCAGCCCCAGTTTTTTAACTGTGCTGTTTATTATCGAACCTACATTTCTCCATAGAAGATTTTGTCATGCCTTGTTGAAGTTAAGAAGCAGTAGAGTTTAGCATTTCTGTCATCTGCCAGCCTAGTAACCCATTTAAAAAAAAAAAGAATTAGGTCAGTTTGGCTTAACTTCTTTGTGAATTTGTGCCAGTTTCTATTGTATTTAATAATCATTTGGAGACTCTTAACCCTAATTTGTTAAAGTGACTATATGTTAGAGATGAGGCAAGACAATCTTACATTCTGTCCTGCTATGCCTCCTGAGAATAGTCTTCTTGAAGTAGAAAACATTGATAACTGGTCACTTTCCTGAGTTGGACGTGAGGAATCCCCATTGCCCAGTGTAGTATTCTGAGGTATCCTGACTCAGACGTCTAGTGTCTAAATACCGTACATGTTGGGCATCCTCTGTACTGGCTGTTAACCTTGTGAGCTCTATATTAATGAAATCCATATCCCTTCATGCTGCCTTGCCGTATGCTGTGGTGATATCTGTGAGTGTGTATATGCACTGTGAATACAACTCTCAGTAGGTACAATTTGCCACTCACCCATACCCTTTCATCCCGTGTAGTTCTTACCTTTGTCTTCCCATAAATCTTTCATAAAGGATCTGCCGATTTTCTAGAGAGGTCTTCCTCTAGGTCTTTTAACATTTCACACTGACCAGTTGTCTCTGTGCTGGAACTGGCCAGCTCATTTGGCTGTTAACTGAAAGTTTGGTGGTTCTAGCCTGTCGTCATGGATGCTCTGATTATCTTCTGCTACCAAATGTGATTAGGAAGGAAAAAATTCCATAGGAAGCTCATAATGGTGCCCTTGAGAACGTTACAATAAAATAATGGCGCTCAGTGGCTAGGATGTTCTCGGGTGTGGACGGAACCAGAGAGGAAAGTGGAAAATTGTGGACTAATGGGTCGTTTTGAAGGTCATGATCAGAAGTTAACTCTTTTTTTTTGTTTTGTTTTTTGTGAGGGCAATTGCAGTTAAGTGACTTGCCCAGAGTCACACAGCTAGTGAGTGTTATGTGTCTGATTTGAACTCAGGTCCTCCTGATTTCAGGGCCGGTGCTCTATCCACTGCGCCACCTAGCTGCCCCAGAAGTTAACTCTTAATGTAGACGTGAGAGAGTGTCATTGGAGAAGCATGAGACAGAGTGATTGGGTAGAGACTGAACACTGAGAGGCAGCAGGAAGGAGTTTACAGCAAAATAGGCCTGCTGCACTGTGACAGGTGGGACAGGAACAAGGTCTTAGACGTGGTGACAGCAAGGAGAGGGCAAATCCAGCCAGGGTTGCAGAGGAGGAAGCAGGCAGAGTTTTCAAGTTCTCTCTGTGTGAGGGCAAAAGCAGGGGAAGTGTAGGCTCTCTGGGGTGTAAAAGTTGTTCTAAGGGTTCTGCCGTTCCAGCACTGAGTTTCAAAGTATGAGAAAGGAGTCTTTTTTTTTTGGGGTTACATTTTGAGTTCTGAGTTGTCTCTCTTCCTCCTAGCTCCCCACTAGAAAAGCCCAGCATTTAATATAGGTAGCTACGTGGAACCGTACAATACCTGCTTCCGTATATCAGTGCTTTCTGTGGAGGTGGCGAGCATTTTCCTTCACAGCTTCTTTGTGACTGATATGAACGTTCCCGTTACTCAGAGTAGCTTAGTCTTTGCCGTTACTCTTCGCACAATAGTGCTATTACTGCATACAGTGTTCTCTTGGTTTTGCGCATTTCACTCTGCTTTAAGTTATGCAAGTCTTTCCATGTTTCTCTAAAACCACTGTGTGCCTCATTTCTTAGAGCACAGTTGTGTTCCGTCATGTTCATAGAGCACGACTTGTTCTGCCACTCCCCAAATGATAGGCCAGAAAACAAATCTTAAATTGCATTTATCCAGCTGAGGGCTCTGTTGATTATACAGGCCAGGCTGTGCAAGATCGAGAAGATCCTGACTGCCTGGTGACTCAAGGCCTCAATATTGGTTCTATTTGGAAGATAAAAGAAGACCAGACAGCCCGCCTGCCCAGAGCTTTTCAGGTTCGGTTTGCAGGGCCTGTGTAAGTTTGGATCTGTAGAATTCTATATGAAGGGAGACAGCTGGACCATGGGATCATAGGTATAGAGTTGGAAGGGCCCTCAGAATCCTCAAGTCAGAAAGCACCTCCTTCGTGCCAAGTGCTAGAAACCCAAAGAAAAGCAAAAGCAAGTCACTGCTCTCAAGGAATTCACAGTCTCATGAGGAGACAACATGAAAACAATTTTGTAGAAACAAGATATAGGCAGGATACATTGGAGATAATCTCACTAGGAAGGCGCTGAGATTAAGAAGGATTGGACAAAGCATCCTACAAAAGATGAGACTTTAGCAGAGACCTGAAGGAAGCCAGGAGACAGAGATGAGGAGGGAGAGTTCCTGGCACAAGAACGAGACAGTAGTGAAAATTCCCAGAGAAGTGGGAGTAGCGTATCTGGTTTCAGGGACAGCAGGGAGGCCCTTGTCACTGAATCATCAAGTACATTGAGGAGGAGTAGGAGGTGAGGTGTGGGAAGCCCAGCAAGGTCGGAACGAGCCAGTTGTGAAGGGCTTTGGCTGCCACACAGGATATCACATTTGATTCTAGGTAACATAGGGAGCAGTTTATTCAGTAAGAGAGTGACGTGTCAGACCTGCATCTTAGGCAGCCAAGTGGAGGATGGACTGGAGTGAGGAGAGGCTTGAGGGAGGGAGACCAACCCACAGGCTGTTGCAGTTGTCCAGGCAGGGGCTGATGAGGGCCTGCTCCAGGCTGGTGAGAGTACCAGAGGAGAGAAAGGAGCATCTGTGAGATGTTACAAAGGTAGAAGCGACAGGGCTAAGCAACTGATTCGATATTGAAGGTAAAGAAGAGTCAGTAGTTGAGGGTGACACCTAGGTGGTGATCCTGGGTGACAGGGATGATGGTAGTACCTCAGCAGTAATAGGGAAATTAGGAAGAGGGTGGGAATTGGGTAGCAGAGAGATGATGGATTCAATTGAGTTCAAGTCATCTATGGCAGGGCTTTTTAAACTTTTTCCACTCGAGACCCCTTTAGCACTTCTAAGAGCCAGTCTATGGGACATCCACTTCTCAATGTCTGATTGGTAAATTGGAGTTCAGGAGAAAGGTTAGAACTGGGCAGATAGATGTGAAAATCTTCAGCCTAGAGATGGTAAATCCATCCATGGGAGTTGCTGAGATCACTCAGTAAAAGAGTGCAGAGGGAGAAGAGAAAAGGGCCCAGCACAGAGCCCCGGGGAGCATGGATGGTTCCACCCATACTTAGTGCATATGATGTGAATGAAGATCCAGCAAAAGAGACTGAGAATGAACAGGTAGATCTCCAATTGATAAATGGTCAAAGGATGTGTACAGGCAGTTCTCAGATGAAGAAATTAAAGCCATCTGTAGTCATATGAGAAAATGCTTTAAATCACTCTTGATTAGAGAAATGCAAACCAAAACAACTCTGAGGTACCACATCACATCTATCAGATTGGCCAACATGACAAAACAGGAAAATGATAAATGTTGGAGGAGATGTGGGAAAATTGGAACACTAATGTCTTATTGGTGGAGTTGTGAACTGATCCATTTTGGACAGCAATTTGGAACTATACCCAAAGGGCTATAAAAATGTGTATACCCTTTGACCCAGCAATAGCATTTCTATGTCTGTATCCCAAAGAGATCATAAAAACGGGAAAAGGACCCACATGTACAAAAATATTCATAGCAGTTCTTTTTGTAGTGGCCAAGAATTGGAAATTGAGGGGATGCCCATCAATTGGGGAATGGCTGAACAAGTTGTGGCATATGAATGTAATGGAATACTGTTGTGCCATAACAAATGCTGAACAGGCTGATTTCAGAAAAACCTGGAAAGACTTGTATGGTCTGATGCTGAGTGAAGTGAGCAGAACCAGGAGAACATTATACACAGTAACAGCCACATTGGTTGAATTAACCCTTCTCAGCAATGCAAGGATCTAAGACACCTCCAAAGGCCTGGTGATAGAAAATGCTATCCACATCCAGAGAAAGAACTGTGGAGTCTGAATGCACATCAAAGCATACTATTTGCTCTTTTTTTTCTTCTGTTGTATTTTTGTTTCCTCTTTCTTGTGGTTCCTCCTATTGGTTCTAATTCATCCTTACAACATGACTAATGTGAAAATTTTTTTAAAAAAGAGAACTTAATATATATTTCTTAATAAAAAAATAATAATAGCTAGCTTAAAAAAAAAAGAGTAGAGAGGAGGAGAAGCAGGAGAGAGCAGAGGCATCTGGTGCAGCCTCATTTTAGAGATGAGGAAGCTGAGGCCGGTGGAGGTGAAGGAGATGTGGCCAAGGTCACAAAGGCGGAATTTGAATCCTTATCTTCTGACGCTCAAGCCAGTGCTTCTCCACCATCCCACAGGAGCCCTGCACACATGCTCTGTCCTCGGTGTAGCAGGCCAGAAAGGCGGTGAAGCGTGTTCATGACAGGGATTTCCCTGAATGTTGGTCATTTTGATCTGTATGCCCCCCTCGTCGGTGTCTCCGATCGGGGAGCTCCCGGTAGACTGAGTGCTGTTTGTCTTTCAGCCAGCCATATGTTGTATGTCGACAGTGCCCTGGTTACAGGAGACAGACCATGCAGCCTGTCCCCTGCCTGCTGCCCGAGAGTGAAGGAGGTGCTTTCGAGGCCCCTGGAGATGCCCCCTCCACGTCTGCCAGCTTTCCTGCAGGTGAGTGACGTCAGTCGTCCCCTGGGGCTCAGGATGCGCTGCCACTGCTTTGGAGGCAGGAACACCTCGTTTATGTGTGTCATGGAGAGGCGAGAAGAGGGCTGGATTTGGAGTCACAGCCCCCGGGTCGAGTCCCCGCTCGGTCATTTGTCAGCTGTGGGACTGTAGCCGAGTCATTTTGTCCTTTTGAGCTTCATGTTGCTCATCTATAAAATGGGGATAATTATACTGGCATTGACTGCCTCTGCGTTGTATAGAGAGCATTCAGAAATGTGAGCTATTAGGGTCAGGGAGGAAAGTATTCCATAGAAGTGAATTTTCCAGAGAAATGATGCTTTTCCTTTAAAGTTCTAATACTTTTAGCTTAACTATTTTCATAGAAATCCTTCTAAAGCATGTTTTATCCTCCTTTGCCTTCGTAAAGAGGGCGTCCTAGCTCTAAATCCTATGCTGTAATTCAGCCAGCTCTTGATGACCTAGCCCACCTCTGTGCCTGCTTTTTGGGTTTTCTGTTTCCTCCTGGCTGTCAGCTGTTCCCCCTTCACTACCATGTGGTTCCCATTGTAGTGCCCCCTCCCCATCCCTTCCAGTGTGTTGTTTCTGATCTGCTTTGGCCTTATAAATGAACAAGCCAAGGCATCAGGAAGCTGCGTGCTGGCAGCCAGAGCCGAGGCCTGCAGTACTGTGTTTAATCGACAAGCGTCCCTTCTGGTGGGATGAGAGCAGTAAGGGATGACTGCCACTAGACCCATTTTTGACCCTTCTGGGACTCCAGAAGTTACAGATCCTTCAGACTTAGTAAGAAGGAACACCCTCTTGTTCCCTTCATTAGAGTCCCGTAAAAAATATAGGGTGATGGAAGCTTGTTCAGGGGAGGAGTACTCAGGTCATAAGGATAAATGGTGCTTAGCTGAATGGTTAACAAAACACCTAAGGAGTTTCTGAATAGCTCTCTTTAATTCTAAACTAATTTCTTTTACTTTTGGTAAAGGTCTGATTTCCATTTTAACCATTTATTGCCCAGTCTCTTCTCCTGTAACATCTGTCCTTTGGAAAGCGTAGGGGTGGAGGTGGAAGGAGGTCAGAGGATACAAATCAGAATTCTATTTAAGTCTCAAACATTGAGTACCTCCTGTGTGGAGAGCACTGTGCTGGGCACAGGGGGAGAGAACATTAGACAAGATGTGGTTCCTGCCTGTAGAGAGCTTAGTCAGTCTGATGGGTCATGTGACACACCAGTAACTACGTGACAAGTGTCTAACAGTGTTGTATAAAGAGGAGAGGTGGGGTGCAGGGAGGAAAGATCATCCTGGCTTGGGGGACGGCAGCGGCAGCTTCAGTGTGCTGGCACCTGCAGCCGGGGGAGTCAGAGGGTGTTCCAGGCATAGGAATCAGTGTGAACAAAGGCACAGTGGTAGGAAAAGCCCAGGGCACGTATCAGTAATTATACTAGTAATAATAGTAATACCAATAACTGGCATTTATTATAGCAATTTAAGGTTAACAGTTAACACATTATCTCATTTGATCCTCATGAAAGTCCTGTGAGGCAGCTACTACAGGTATTATTATCCCCATTTTACAGATGAGGAAACTGAGGCTCAGAGAGGTTAAATGACTTGCCCACAGTCATACAGCTAGTAAATATCAGAGGCGGGATTCGAGTCCAGGTCTCTGCTGACTCCAAGTCCAGCACTCTTTCCACTATGCCGTTCTGTACAGGGGATGGTAAGTAGTCCAGTTTGGGCAGAGCTGAGATTGTGTCTATGGGGAATCCCATGAGATAAAATGAGTATGTGGAGGGCCTGAAATAGTAGGAAAGGGAGGCTAAACGTAATTCCACAGGTAACAGGGAGCTGTCAGAGTTGGGGCAGGGGAGGAACAGGTACATCAAGAAAAGGAATCTGACAGCTGGGGAGAAGTCCAGGCCAGCATGTATGTTGTGAGGCAGATGGGAAGGAAGGCCCACCTTCAGTGAGGACAGTGCGAAAAGGGGAGGTGGCTGGTGCTGGTGAAACCAAGGGCCTGAGTGTGGGAAGGGAGGAGTCAGGAAGAGGAAGACAGAACACCAAGGTTTCAAAAATTTTAAAAACTGAGTAAATATGATGTTATTGATTTTTAAAAAATCTGAAGAGGTGCTCTTTGGGGAGGTGGGCAGGGTGGGGTGGAGGTAATAAAGCCATGTTTGGACATAATGAGTTTTTGGGTTGCTAATGGACTATCCTGGTAGAATTGTCCTGTGGGCAGATCTGAAACTTAGAGAAAAGTCAGGGTCAGAGAGTCACATGCAGAGATGATGCAGCTCATATGAGATGAAAGCTGAATGTATGAACCTGCTAAGATAGAGAAAAGAAGAGGATGGGGCCAAGGACAGAATGCTCAGAAACACTCATGTAAAGTGGTTGGGAACATAAGCCAAAATAAGGCAGGAAGGCATCCTAGACGGCAGGTCTGGCCTCAGTAGACAGGGTGGTTTTCTTGCTGCCTGGAGTCTTTCTCTACAGGTTGGGAAACCAGGTAGCCAAACTTGTGAAGAAATGTCTGTTACATAAGTGGGGTCCCTATCTAGCTGAAAATCTAAGGACTTTTCCTGTGAGGCAAAGTGCATTCGTACTGATACTGTGGCTCTGTGATAGCCCTGAGAGGTTCTTTTCCCCCATGGAAATAGACTTGTCTTTCCTGTCTAGGTAAATGTTCCTTATACATTCTGGAATTTTGCAAGGAATCAGTCAGGACATTTGCCCGTCTCCACACCTGTAGCATGTCTTGTACTCTCCATGATCTTCCCTAGGTCACAGACAGTAGCTTGGCAGTTTCGCCTGCCTGTTCTTTCCATGCACGGGGACAGATCATCTCTAGCATCACTTGGTGACTTGAACTCATCAAGGGCACCAAGGCCTCACTTACAATCTCCCTACATATTGTGGGTCTCGTCCCCCTGGCAGTCATCTCTGTTCTCTTTCTAGTCCAGTGACCGTTCTCCCTGGCAAGAAAACAGAAACAAAATACAAGTTAAGCAGTTCTCCCTTCCCTCCTTCTTCTGCATCAGACCATTCTTTGATCTTTTCCCCCAAGAAAGCTTAAAAAATACTTTGCTGTTGTAAGCTTTCCTCGCCAGCCTTAGCTCATGTAGCATTTTATGTATTCTTCCAGGATCATCCTCTGTATGTGCCCTTGCTACCATCTTTTACAGATGCCTTTGTAAAATCTAAATCTGTTGATGGTTCCTTTTTTTTTTTTAATGCATATGGATCCCTTTAGACAACTCCCCTTCACTTCCTTATAGAATTCTTTGTCTTTACAAATCTTCAGAATTTCATTCTTTGCTTTCCCCATCCCTTCCAGGCCAACTTCCCCTTTAGAATTTCAGTCCATATTTTCTCCAGACTTTTTGAAATCTGCTTTGCAAAAATCTAGGCTATATGTCAGACTATGCTCAGTTTTTCTCAGCTTTTCTATGACAAATTCTGCTTCCAAAAATTCCCATCATTTCCATTTCAGCAACCATTTCTTCCTTCTTGTTGACAATCAGCCCTCATAAAGGTGTGCTCCATCCCTGGCCAAGAGCTTGTCATCCCTGTCTTTTAAGCCGTGGTCAGGTCATTTGTATCTCATCCTCAGAAACTGTCTTCTAAACCAACTGCTTCCTTCCGAAATATGCTTGTCTTCTGCTGGCAGCAGTCATGAAGACTCCGCTTAGACACTTGAGGCCTTCCACTTCTCAGCCAAGACACACCGTCATCAGCAGAGCCTTCCAGGGTCCTTCCAGCAGGATGGTCCTGTGGTTGGACGAGCTGTTGGGGTTCTCTGATTGACAGAACGCTGTCTCAGGCCCCCCACTGTTCTCTTCCTCTGAATCTTCCTGGGTGACTTCTCCCTGACAGCAGCACTTGTGGTGAAGTGTGGCCTCTCAGGCAGAACCTCACAGCGTGCATTCCTCAGCTCTGCATCTTCAGTTTGTGGTCCTCATTCCCTTTCACCTCCTCACAGGCTTCCACAACCTCCATCTCCTGATGCACATCAGGATCCCCCTCCCCTTCCCTCAGACACTTTTTTCTTTGTTTTCACATTGAGGCCACTCCTTTTTGGTTTTTGTTTTTCTTTTTTAATAAAAGGAACACTTTATTCTGCCTGTTAACTGGAGAGTGGAGAGGTATTCTTTGAGCCCCATTACCTTCTCTCCCAGGAGGGAGATTAGCCTACACTTTGAGCATAGGTAAAAAATAGTTTGGCTGTGGCAGAAGGACAGATATTTATGGAGGCCACTGCATGTTCTCAGTGTTCTCTTGTGTGCAGCAGTGCCCCTAAGTATATCTAAGTGTAGCCCTTAAGACAGATACTTGTGGAATGAGGTCAGGTTCTCTGATCCATTTGAAGGGAAAGAGTCTCTTGTACCTTGGCAGGTAGAACAATACGTGATTTGTTTTCTTAGTTTGTAACTCAATTTTTGAGTCCCTTTTCTTTATGGAAACCCAGGAGACTAACTCCTAATATTTAGGTGATGAGAGTCAGATTTCTGGGCCCTCAGTTAAGCGAGCATTTACTAATCAGTATTCACATATAAGGGATGGTGGCAAGTGTCAGGGGCAGAGACAAATAGGACACAGTTGCTATTCTCGAGAAGCTTATGTTCTTTGAGGAAAGTAAGTCAGCCATCAGTGTCTGTAAAGCAGCGTGGTGTGTGCCAAGTCCACGGGTGAGGTAGAAGGTGAGAGGAAAGCCGCGGGGAAGGGAGAGGGCATTTCTGGCTGTGGAGGACGTCAAGAAGCCCTGGTGGGCACGGGTGCCTCGGAGGAGGAGAGGGATGTCCGCAGGTGCATTATGGGGGGCTCGGGAGGACGCTGATCGGGGGCTTCTGCGGTCTTACTTTGTGCTCACCCCTGACTCTGGTCTGTGATCCAGCCGCCCAGGACTATGTGTGTCCCTCACAAGGAAGTCACGCCATTTGCACTTGCTGTTTCCAGCCCATGCCAGACCGACGAGCCGAGCGGGAGCAAAACCCGCACGTCGTTGCCCCCCAGCAGTGTAAGTGAGGCTGCTTGCAGCCCCCCCAGACAGACTGTTGCTCTAGGGGAAGGGGCTTGGAAGGATGAGCCTGAGCTTCACCACAGCCTTTGCCCAAAGTCCTGTGTCCTATAAACTGCCCAGAGCCCAATGTGCCGTGGTCGGCTCAGCCCTCAGTCATCATGCCAATGCTGTCTGGGGCCTCCATGGGTGGGTTCAGGCCTATCACTGGCTGCAGGGCCTGCCATGGACAGTGCTGACCTCGTGGGTATGTGACGCGTTTTTCCTTTGTGTCCCGCAGGCGCCGTGTGCTCACAGCCCTTCTGCCACCTGTACTGGGGCTGTACTCGGACAGGCTGCTCGGGCTGCCTGGCACCATTCTGCGGTAATGACAGAGCTGAGGAGTCCCTCCGTTGCCCAAGAATGGGCTTTTCCTTTGTGTATTTTCTCTGTGAGCTTGAGGGTATCATCAGTCAGTCCATACATATTTATTAAGCCCCAGGCATATGTGCCAGGAACTGGGCTGAGTGCTGGGGATATGAAGAAAGGTAAAAGACAGTCCCTGCCCTCAAGGAGCTCACAGTCTAACAGGAAGACAACATGCAAATAACCATGTGTAAACAAGCTACATACAGGATAAATTAGGGAGAATCAACAGAGGGAAGGCAGTAGAAGGGAGAGAGATGGGAAAGGCCTCCTGTACACGTGGGGACTGAGCCAGATTGAAGTCAGGAGGGGACGGGGAGGGAGAGGGTTCCATGGCGGCATCATAGAGGTCCAAAGGGGAAACTTGCTGGCTTAGACTCCCATTTCCATCTCTTTCACCTCTCATGCATCTCTACCAGTGTCTTGCTTTGATACCTCATCGCATTGTGGTGATGAGCCTGGATTCCTGCAGGCCAAATATCTGCCAAGCACAAGCATGGGCAGATCCTTCCAAGGCAGAACAATCCTAGGGACAAAAGAGCCGTCCAGCCAGGTTCAAAGAGACTTATCGCCAGGGTTGATGAATTTTGGGGTCGCAGCAATTCTCCAAGCTCATCTGCTGAGACCCCACTGACAGACTCAGAAACCCTCCATTAGAATGACAGGTTTGTCAGAAAGAAGCGCAGGGTCTGTAATTTGGGGAACCACAAAGTTCACATTAAAATGGGGGTCCACTTATTTCTAGAGAAACAGCGCTAGAAGTGAACATGAATGGGTTACAATTGTCAGGCCTTCGTAGCTGCAGAGAAGGGTATGGGAGAGACCTCAGAGGGCTCACATTTTGGAGGGAAAATGTCAGGGAAGTCAGGTGGTTATTTTTTTTTTTATCCACTTGGCTGTCGTTTTATCTTGTGACTGTTCTGTCCACAACGATTGGGAAATTGCTTGTCTTCTATCGTAGGTGAGCAGTAATTTTAAGATATTTTATAATATCTTTCCTCCCTTCTCCACAGAGATAAATCTTGGTGAAAAATGTTTAGACGGCGTACTAAACAACAACAACTATGAATCAGATATCCTAAAGGTACCCCTTTATTTTAAACATAAAAGCAGCATGATGTGGAAAGTAGAAAGTATTTAATAATCACCACCAGAGAAAAACATAGAAAGTTATCTTTAGTCTGCCAGAAGATTTCTAAATCGCAGCCAGTCTGAAAATGTTTTTGCTAAATTTCCAGCAGTTGGTATTTACTAATAAGTAAATAAAATCAGTAGCCAGACTTAATTTTGCAGCCCTTGATCTTAAGTAAGAACTGTGGTACGTTAGAATGTGAAGGTAGTTTCCCAGAAGGCCAATTCAGAGCTCTCATTCCTGGCTGAAATACTGAATTTTAATGTGACAATCTCAACTCCTAAAGATTCATCATTATGTTCTGTAGGGGTCAGCAGCGTACTTATCCTGCCACACTCCTGTTAAAGGCAAAGAGCTTTCAATCACGATTCAATAATATGACATCTGGTTTTCCAAAGGAAACATGTGACTTGAAATGTTAATGGGAGATCTGATTGCTTTCTGATAAAGGCTGTGTTCGATTTAAACACAGCTTGTCCCAGGTATCTCTCTTGCTGTTTTACAATGTGAATTACAAGGACGATGTCATTGAGGCAGCGGCACAGGGGTTGATTTTGTCCATTTTATAAATAAGACAGCCTGAGAGAAGTGCGGTGAGTCGGCCACAGTCACACAGCCCTCGAGTGTCTGAGGCAGGATTTGCAGGACTTCATGACTTGAGGTCCAGCACTGATCACATGGGCTGATGTTGACAACTGTTTGGCACCTTTTTAACACGAACGGGTCATTTGACCAAACAAGAACACACAGTCTTTGTTTGGGGCTCAGAAGGGCCAGCAAGTCCCCGAGCTTGCCAAATGTCAGCTTTGGCTCTGGCTGCTGGTGGGAGCCCAACCCAGGCTACAGAAAAGGAGGGACATGCATTTATTACTGTCCCCCGCCAGCCTGTGAACTTGAGCTTCAGCCAGCAAAGCTGCTGTACTTAGCATTAGCAGTCTTGGCCCTTGGTTAGTTAGACTGGTCCATTCCCATCCCGCCTCGATGGGTGTATTAGAGCTTTGTTTTGGAGCCATCCAGCCAGGCTCATTTTGGCTCGCTCTTTCATTTTCTTCCCTCCCTCCCTCTCCCTCTGTCTCTCCCTCCAACCTTCTCTCTCTTTTTCTTTCTTTGTCTCTGTGCTATGTAACCGGCTTTTCCCATCTCCCCACAGAATTACCTAGCATCCCGGAACTTGACGTGGAAGAATGTGTTAAATGAAAGTCTTTTGGCTCTTCAGAGGGGACTGTTTCTCTTGTCAGGTGAGCTTCCTGTTCTTGTATCATCCCAGATACTTGATTTCTCTCATTAGGAAGGACGGTGAGTATTCAGGGGATCCCCTGACTTCTGTGCTTGTCTCCATGTAAGAGGCAGTGGTAGCATTTCGTCACATGTGCTGCTATCAGGCATGTCTGGGCTGGCTTCTCATGCTTTCTAAATTTTCAAAAATACCACCTTTACAGACCAGAGTGAGTTTTTAGTGGGAAAGACTATCTCCAGGAATGTTTAAAAATCTCAGTAAATTATTTTTCCAGCCCACATAGCCCATGTCAGGAATCTTCCTCACTGGCAGGGAAACACCTTGGGACGTGAGGATGCAGAACAGAGTTACAGTGTGAGACAGCGAGGAGGGCTGAAGAGTTTTGTCCCAGAACACGCCGCTCTTGGGGGAAAGAGGCTGCTTGAGAGGACAGGGGAGCCAGGTTGGCTCTCTGAGGGATCAGGCCATTAAGCACTGCATGTAAACACGGCGTATGATGCCTGTTCTGCAGGGTCCCCAGACCTAGCCATCGAGGCTAGCTGCAAGGGCCAGCTACATCCACCATCACCCCAATCAGCCAACATGCGGTTATTAAGAGCCCACTTGCCTGGAGTCAAGAAGATCTGAATTCAAATCCAGCCTCAGCCTGTGTGACCCTAGGCAAGTCACTTAACTTCCATCTGCCTCAGTTCCTTCATCTGTAGAATGGGGTTTAATAGCCCCTCCCTCCCAGGGTTGTGAGAATCAAATGAGAAAATAATTGTATAGCACAGCCCTGTATCAGTGTTAGGTGTCATCATTATGATGTGCCAGCTGTCATCCTTGGCGAAACAGTCCCACCCTGAAGAAGCATCTGTTCTGTAGGAAGAGACTATGCAGGAGACAGATATAGCACTGGGGGTGCGCACAAGACGTGCAAGTCCAGGGAACTGGGAAAGAGTGCTGACGGCTGGAGGACCCAGGGACTCCTGAAGGAGGCAGGGTTCTGGTCAGAGAGTTCCATGCCAAACAGGAGTCTTTGTTGACTCTTAGAGCTGGTGGGGACGGCCAAGGTTATTGAGGAGCAGGTCGAATATGGCCACAGCTCTGCTTGGGGATTGGAGCAGGGAGAGGCCAGAGGCAGGGAGCTCAATGAGGAGGCCACTGGTGAGAGGTGACGGGGCCATGGGGGGGGAAGAGCAGGATATGGGTGCAAAAAAGGGTGCCGAGGACACTGAGAGTCTGAGACCTGTGCAGTGTCACAACCAGCACGTGGCAGAGGCAAATAGCAGAGGCTATTTTTGTCATGTCAAGGCCAACTTTCTGTCCATGTGCCAGGCTGCTCTCAAAGCTTGTGTATTCAAAATCAGCTCTAATAACTTGTACAAGGAATTTCTGGGTGGAAGGGCCACCTCTAGGAAGAATGGGCTAGAACTCTTCTAGGTGACAGCATCTCAGCCTGGAGGAGGGCATGGATTCCCACACTTAGCCGTCCACACTAGTTCTTCTTCTCCCATTCTTTCTCTCTCTCTAAACTGACTCCTTGCCCTTATCATGACCTCCAACCAGCTGACCCATGTCTCTTCTCCCAGGCCATTGTCCAACCCCATCATCCCTTGCCTTTCTACCATCACTTGGCACCCCAGGCCAGGCCCTCCCAGTTGCTCAGATGGTCCCTTTGCTCTCTGCCCTCGTTTCTCCCAGCATCTGTCCTAAATGCTCCTTTGCTCCCCAGTCCTCCAGCCCAAGGCTCGCCTCCCTGCAGATGCTTTGGTCGGCTCTCTCACTGAGGAGACCAAGAAGATTCCTTGAGCTCATCTTGTGCCATCCCCCTCCTCATTCCTTCAAACTTCTCAGCAAGCAGTGTCACGTCTTCCCTCCATCCATACGCCTCACCAGAATGAACCCTCTACCTCCATCCTTGATCTCATCCTCCTTGCTGCCCCCTCCAGCACCTGGCTGCAGCCTCTCCTTCCCATCTCCCTACAGGCATGCTCAGGCCTCCTGTCTTCCTGCTCTCCACTGCTTAACTTTCACAGACTGTCGTCTCTGCCCTTTCTGTCTCTGTGGTCACTCTCCACTCTCTTCTCAGCCCCTTGTGTTGATTTCTGCCTTTACTAAGTCCACTGAGACAGGGGGCATGGTAGATAGAGCGCTGGGCCTGAGTCAGGAAGATGCGAGTTCAAATCTGCCTTCAAATGCTTACTAGCTTTGTGACCCTGGACAAATCATTTGTCCTCTGCCTTAGTTTCCTCATATGTAAAATAGGGATAATAATAGCACCTACTCTCCCAGAATTGTTGTGAGGATCAAATGAGATCATTGTAAAGTGTTTAGCACTGTGCCTGGCACAGAGTAAGCACTGTCATCATTATTATCATCACTAAAAACTATTATTTTATTCAAAGAATAAAAAATAGCATTTCCATAGAGCTTTAAAGTTTGCCAAGAGTTTTACAAATATTGTCTCATTTGATCCTTACAAGAACCCTGGAAGGCGTAAGTGCTATTATTATCCCCATTTTAGAAATGAAGAAACAGGCTAGGGGGAGGTAAAGTTACTTGCTAGGGGCCCACAGCTAATAAGTGCCTGAGGCTGGATTTGAACTTGGGTCTCCTGACTTGGAGCCTGGTGCTTCCTCCACTGTGATGCCTGGCTGCATATTCTTGAGGCATAAGCCACCTTATAGTGAATCCTGACATTATTTTACTGTTGAGTAAATACTATTTGTGACTTATCAGTTAGCAAGATGGTTGGTGCTTTGTGAAACATCACATTACGTGAGGATTGTGTCATGTTGTTTATAGAGATTTCTTTTCTAGATTATAGAATTACTGGAAACACCGTGCTGTGTTATTGCTGTGGCCTACGCAACTTTCGAGAGCTGACATACCAGTACAGACAAAATATCCCTGCTTCAGAATTACCAGGTGAGGAGAATTGCCTGCATGCAATAAAATGGGCATATTTGCATTTTTAAGGGCTACTCAGCAGACTTACATGAACTGATGCAAAGTGAAATGAGCAGAACCAGGAGTACACCGTATACAGCAACAGCAATATTGTACAATGATTAACTATAAATGACTTAGCTATTCTCAGCAATACAAGGATCCAAGACAGTTCTGAAGGATTTGTGATGGAAAATGCTCCCCGTCTTCAGAGGAAGAACTGATGGATTCTCGATGCAGATCAATGCATACTTTTTCTTTATTTTTCTTGGGGTTTTTTCTGGTCTTTCACAGCATGACTTACATGGAGATGTTTGGTGTGACTGCACATGTATAACCTACATCAAACTGCTTACCTTCTCTCAATGAGGGGGGAGTGGAGGGAGAGAGCAAATTTGGAAGTCAGAATTTAAAAAAAAAAGTTAAGATTGTTTTTACATGTAATTGGGAGAATAAAATAAAATATTAAAATTTTATTTAAAAGAGCTACTCAGCTACAGTTCCTACTTTCTGGGCTGCAGTGAGGCCAGAACCAAGCCAGTTATAAGGAAAGCCTTGCCACTCTGGAGATGAGAAGAGTGGTAGCGCCATCTAAGAAGCACGTGAAAGACTTCCTCCGTGTCAACACCAGTATGGTGTTTTTCCATAAACTTCCTGTTGGGAATGAGGTGGTTTCATTTCTTTTGTTGATGCTCGGTGAAATACTGTGACAGCCATTTGATGAAATTCCCTTGGAAGCAAGGACCCAAGTTGTTAATAATGCTAGTGTTCTCCAGGAACTCCCACTCTGCTTTGTTCACACCTGCCATTAAACAGAATCTTTGGCCTCTTTTTCAGGGACTGTAACTTCTCGTCCTGATTGCTACTGGGGGCGCAACTGCCGGACTCAAGTTAAAGCACACCATGCCATGTGAGTGACAAAGTCCATGGAAGGGGGCGGGGCGGTATTTATTCTAAGGGCACAGGCTGCTGATGGTCAGAGACAGGTAAGGATTTGTTTTCTAAAATAGAAGATTTGGGACCAAATCTGTGGGAGGTACCATTTATTAGATAGAAAAACTGGGATAAAGAAAAATTTCAGTAAAAATGAGTAAAGAACAGTAGAAAAGGAATATCATCCCCCACCCCCCATCAAGAATTTCACTTACCTTTCCACATAGTTTCTGAAGAGGAAATATTTTTGGCAAGACATTTTCATATGTGACCATCTAATATTAAGGAAATTGCTTCCAATTTGAAAGCAGCAGTCTGGGCTGCTTACAGAAATTCACTGTGCTTGCCTACCTGTTTCAGCTCTTTGTCCCAAGTTTTACAGTGGAGCTGAGCTCTCTTCAGCTTTGGCACCAAGCACAGGGTAGAAAGAGTAGGAACTTGCAGAAATGGATGACTGCCTTGGACTTTCAGCTCGAAACCAGCCGAAAATGGCTTAGACCCATATAAGATTGTGACCCACAGTTTAAGAAGTGCTGAAGGGGTTGTGAGTGGAAAAAGTTTAAGAAGCTCTGGCTTAGAGGATCTTCTCTTTTCTCAGCACTAAGTGGAAAGGGCAGGAATGAACTCTTAGATCTCTGAAATTGCAGGAAAGGTCAATGGAACAAATATCATTTGTTTCTCAAATTTTATAAATGTCTGTCCACAGCAAACTTTTGAGGAGCCACATCTAGGGGTATCTCTGTGGTGGTGGGGCTTTAAGACTGGGAGTAGAAATGGGCAACAGCTCTAGGCTGCCAGGTTGGTGATTAGAACAGAGAACTGTCTTAAGGCCCAGTCCGTCCCACTGCACCCACCGCATCTGTAGCATTACTATCCTTTGTGTCTTTCTGGAAGCCAAGGACAGAATTAGTGATTGCTAGAGAAGTCTGGCTTAGTTGCTGCCTCTCTCTGTCCACAGACACCAGTAGAAGGCTTCTGGAAACTTGAACCTTCAGATCCTCAGCTCTAGAAACCATGGGAAGAGGGGACGGTCAGACCTTAGCCAGCCAGCTGTAGTTTTGTGACATCTGTGGGCTTTCCGAGTTCATCTGTTTCAGTGGGTGGTATCTTTTTTGTGCAACTTGAAAATGTTTCTTTTTGCAGGAAATTCAATCATATTTGTGAACAAACACGCTTCAAGAACTAAGCCTTGCAGTACTGAAAGTCTTGGATATTTGTGTAAAAACAACAACAAAAAAAGTTTAAACACCTCAAAAGCGGAACATAAATGTTTTCAGGGCATCTTTTAAGTTCCCTCCTGGAGGGGAGTTGGATATCTCTGCATCAGATACTGGTGTGATTTTGTTTTTTAATTTTGTAGAACTTTACACTTGAGTAAGACCTTTTTAAAGTAACCTGAGGAGCACGTCGTGGTGCCCATCAGGCATGCCGTTCCCACAGCAGCAGCGGCAGCAGCAGACCGGAAGATACACTCAAGATGGGCAGGAATGGCACCGATGGTCATGAGATGTCTTGAGGCCGAGTGTTTATTGTGCATCAGGTTGGGTGAAAGCCATTATTGTCAGAGGAAAAAATTCACCACCAACCTTCCCGTCTGTCGAGATGACAGCCTCGTTTTGTTTTTTCTACCTTCACCAAAATGGTTGTTAGATCAGGAATCCCTTTTTACCAAGAATTTCATATGGCAAAAAAGACAAAAAAGTATCGAATACACTGTTTTCTTGTTGCTTAAGAAAAAGAAGCAAATGTTTACAGCCCGTAGGGCATGCCTAGTGCTTCGCTGTAGGAAAAAGTTTGACTCATATACATGTGTGCACGTGAGTGCGTGTGTTTTAGGTTAGTCAGTCTGGTGCTTTTCATTCCTTATTAGAATTAAATCTCACAAGCAGCACAAATAATATAATGTATCATTTATAAGCCAGTTAGGGGTTGGAAGGCTGTCCTGCGTATAGGAAATGCTCTGTGTGTGTCTATAGACCTTCGCAGTCACATGGAAGACCAAACAGTGTCCCTGGCACAGATTCCCTTGTTGTCGTGCTGTGATTCTGGTACTGTCCCTTTGGGTTGCCACCTGGGGGAGGGACCACTTGGCAGAACATAGCTGCTTTATTAGGAGGACTCACTAGGAAGTCAGCCAAACCAAGTTGCGTCTGTAGCTCCCACATTTTAATTATGTTTCATGGTTTTAGCCAAATTGGTGCAATAGTGAAAAGGGACACAGGATACACTACCTATCTAAATCAGAGCTTAGAGAATGAAGGAGAGAGACAAAGAGGGTTCATGTGCTATCCTGCTGCTTTTTAGCATCCTGAATGGGGTACTTCCTTATTCCACTTTAAGCACTGACTACAGAGGGCAATCCCAGCTACGGAGGTCTGGGTCTTCATACCAGACTGTGTCCAAGTCATTGTCTCCCTAATCAGAAATCCCAGACAGTGTCTTATGTGTAAGTGCATCGATTGACAGCTTCCTCCATACTGGTAGACAGTAATCTTATAGCAGCCTTCATCTCCTACTTGCCCTGGTTATCTTCTCCTACATTAAAATTAAAATTTTATCTGGAATAATACTTGAATTATTGTTTTATGTAAAGCATATTTGCTTTCATTCCTTTGTTTTATGTAACCAACTCCTGTTTTATCAGTAATCATTTGCCTGAAAACCTGCAAGTTACTGTCTCTTCTCAGGAATATCATTTCCAGTTGTCTTTTTGGTGTAAATCCTTTGTTACAGTGCAGAAATGTACTTGTTGCCTTCTGTCTGCCTTTTATACCGATGTTTTTTCAAAGAAATTTGTTGCTGTGCTGGGAATGTGGGTGACCAGTTTGCTGATGCTTCTACCACTGATGAAGAATGAACATTGGCATCCTGCCTGAAGCCACTTTTGTTTGTGCTCCATTTTGTGTGGGGCTTTCCTAGAAGTGGATCTTGGGTGCTGGGTCACCATCAACACACCACCTGGTTCTCAGAGCTTCCTTAGGCCACACTCTCCCCACTTCCTCTTTCTTAGAAAATTAAATTTGCTTTTCTGTGCATAATGTTGAAGTGAGTACGATGGGACAAAAGCTTTCCCAGTTGTGTTGGATCTGGAAATGGCGAGACAAAGGAGAACGTGGAACCTGAGTTGTGATGATTTTTCTCTTAAGTGACTAAGAATCCAGGGTGGATAGTACATAAATTCTACAAGACTGTCCAACAGTTGTCACTGAATGTGATCGTTTAGTATAGCAGAAATACAACCTGTTCTCGTCTGTCAAGGACAGTCAACCTAGAACAGGACTGGGAGCCTGGGACCCTGGCTAAGGCAAGCATGCCCCACAACAATCCAGGTCACAGCTATGGATTTGAGATGTGAGGGCTTTGCTCTGTGAAGAGGATGGTCTAGTTTTTCCAACGCATTTGTGATTTCCTTCAAGCTGCCACCCCTCCTTCCGCAGAGGGGAAGAAAACTAACCTACCTTAACTATCGTTGTCTGTGTCTTTGTTTTCTGGGGTCTTTTTTCCCTTGCACTGGTGGCTGAACATGATTATACAGTTTTTGCTGGTGTCTGAGACTTTGACCTCAACCTTATTCTGCAGGTCTTGCCAAACGCCTGCTGAGCTTTCTCAACTAACTTCTTTGTCACTTGCTAAGCAAACATCTTACTAGACATTTACCAGTAGGATTTAGACCTGGAAAAGGACTTCAGAGATCAGGTAGGGAAACCCCCTCATTTTACAGGTGAGGAGACGAAAATTCAGAGAGGGAAAGCTAGGATCACCCAGGTAAGACAGCCGGGGGTCAAACTCAAGTCCATGGGGACCCAAAGCCATTGAACTCTTGTGCAGGAGAGACACATGCTTTGGTAATATCTTGGCAGCTTTGTGAAGGATGGACTGTAGGGGAGAGAATGGTATAGGGAAGTCATTTAGGAGGTTTTCCAAGAGCCAAGAGGTGACAAAGGACTCAAACAGTGGTGGTTGTGGGTGTAGATAGAAACCCAGTGACTGATTGGATAGGGGGATGAGGTGGAGGAGTCACAAATAGCTGGGATGATGCTCCTGCCCTCAGCAGAAATGGGGAGATTCAGAAGAGAGGAAGGTAATGGTTTTCTGAAACTGTTCTTTTCCCCACAATGAAATGACTTCTTCCAGTAAGACTGTTGGAAATGGTGTCTCCTTAGCTGCATCACTTTCTCTGGAGTTGACTTCAATAAAGTCATTAAGTAGCACCTAGTATTACACCAGGCCCCATCCTGGCAGCACAAAGACAAAAGTCAGAAACTCCATCTGCTGTTGAGATACAGTTGGCACCTGAACTTAGCTCCCTGGAGAGACAGGTGAGAAGAACATCTGTTCTTCCAGACACTTCCTCAACAAGCCACTGTGTAGAGATGCCACCATTAGACCCAAGATTCAATCAGGATTTAGCATAGTCCAGGGCTTCTTAAACTTTTCCCACTATTGAGCCCTTTCCACTCTTCAGCAGTGGCCTGAGGACATGCAAAGTGCCCATACTTTGTGTTCAGAACCAAGACTGCAGTGACGTTTCAGACAAATGCTGCCAGAAACACTTCAGATTCATCAGGTGTTTGAGTTTTAATTAATTTTTGGTCAGTGCACGTTCAGAAACCTTTTACTGTTGCCAAATTTTTCGCAACCCCATGTGGGGGTCACAACCCACAGTTTAAGAAGCTCTGGTTTAGACCACCCCCCTTTATTTTACAAGTGAGTAAACTGGCCCAAAGAAGGGGAGTAATTGATTGATTTGATGATTTTAAGGTTTGCAAAGCACTTTCCTCACAACAACCCTGTGGGGTAGGCAGTAATGGCATACATATTATCTCCATTTTCCAAGCGAAGAAACTGACACTCTTAGATTTAAGGACCAAGTGGCATGCTAATTATTGATTCCCTCTCAAGTTCCAGTTTTTTCAGACATCAATTCTGTCTCCCCCTCTGGACCTAAACTTTAGCCTAAGCTTCAGAGTCATATTTTCTCTCTTTCCCTCTCTGCTTTGAAAGGAATTCAATTTAACAGGCCTTGATTAAACACTATGTGCCAGGCTCTAGAGATACCAAATGAAGAAAATGGTCCCTTCCCTGAAGGACCTTTAATATGTCCACAATAAAAGCATTACTTTGCTCTCTTCCAAATCTCCCCATTTTTGCTGAGGGCAGGAGCATCACCCCAGCTATTTGTGACTCCTCCACCTCATCCCCCTATCCAATCAGTCACCAGGTTTAATGATTCTATCTACACCCACAATCACCACTGAGTCCTTTGTCACCTCTTGACTGTTGTGAAAACCTCCTAATTGGCTTCCCTACACCATTCTCTCCCCTACCATTCATCCTACACAAAGCTGCCAAGATATTACTAAAGCATGTGTCTCTCCTGCACAAGTTCAATTGCTTCCTATTGCCTTGAAGATAAACTACAGCTTTTTTAGTGTGGTGCCTCAAACATTTCCTAGTATTCCCCTTCATTCACTCTCAGTTCCAGCCCAACTAGCCTACCGTTCCCCACACTCGGCAGTCCATCTACCTGTGTGTTTGAATGCCTGGAATACCTTCCTCACTTTACTTCCCTTCAAGGTTCAACTCAACTTTTTATTTTTCCCATGGGAAACCTTCCTGATTCTCTTGGTTGTTGGTATTATAAACTCCTGAATTATCTCTTGATTATCTGTTACTGACTTCTCTACATGTGTATTCCTCAAGCCACATTTCCTGTTTTTGTCTCTGTCCACAGCCTCTTGCACATGGTAAATACTTAATGCTTACTGAATTTAACAGAAACTTAAGTTATCGTCTTCCAGGGTCAACATCTCCCAATTCCCCGATGATACTTTTCTCTCTGGTTCCCCTTTCTCCATGGGACCTGTATCCCAAATTAATCCTGCCTCATGCCCAGGATATGTAGCAGCCCTGCCTGCTTGTTCCTGGAATGTTTCCTGCTCTCAGAATCTTCCTCTAGAAGACAGCACAACTTTTTTTTTTTGGCTGGGCAGTGGGGTTAAGTGACTTGCCCAGGGTCACACAGCTAGTAAGTGTTATGTGTCTGAGGCCAGATTTGAACTCAGGTCCTCCTGAATCCAGGGCTCTATCCACTGCGCCACCTAGCTGCCCTAGCACAACTCTTGAATCAGGAATGTTATGATTAAGAAGTTCACATCGGACTCTCCAGAGACAGGAATGACCAGCTGGAGCCAAGTTTAAGATAGGGCCGGGTTATCCACCTGTAATCTGCACCACAAGCAGGGCTTGCAATCATCTGCCATGGGGCTGACAAGAGAGGGGGTCTGCTTCCACCAAGGCTACCTGGGAATTCTAGTTCAAGGGAACCTGAACGCTGTAAAGGTTCTGGATCTCTAATAAGGTAAAGTCTTCATTAGCAAGCAGAAGCTGCCAAAGGTACCTTGGCAGACAGTGATAAGGGTACAGCCTTACAGTGGTGGGGAAGCTTTCAGAAAAGTCTGCATTAAAAGGTGTCTGGATAGTTGGCTGTGAACTTTTTAGTCCTAACATATATGATAAATATTCTTATTTCAGCCTCCTAATAACCCTATGAGGCAGCGACTAATTTTATAATATATATATATATATATTTTTTTTTTATATATTTTTCACAGTTGAAAAATGAGGCCAAAAGAAGTGAAATCTCATGAACAGCAATCAATAGATGAACCCAAAGAGTGTGCCTCCTATTTACAAAGCAATCCAATAGATGCTGGGGATACAAACACAAAGCAAACAGCCCTGTCTTCCAGTAGCTTAAACTCCACTGGAGGAAAACATATGGTTGGGCCTAGAGTCTGGAACCTCCCAGTTCAAATTCGACCTCAGATATTTCCTAACTGCAGAACCCTGGGCAAGTCACTTCACCTGTTTGCCCCAGTTTCATCATCTGTAAAATTGGAATAATAATAGCACTTCCCTCCCAGGATTGTTGTGAGACAAGAGATATTTTAAAGAGCTTAGGCCTGGCACATAGTAGCTATGTAAATGTTTATTATCTTGTTCATTCGGTCATGTCTGATTCCTCATGACCCCAAAAGGGGTTTTCTTAGCAAAGATACTAAAGTGGTTTGCCATTTCCTTCTCCAACTCATTTTACAGATGAGGAAACTGATGTAAACTGGGTTAAGTTAATTGCCCAGGGTAACACAGTAAGCATCTGAGGTCAAATCTGAACTCAGGTCTTTCTGACTCCAGGCCAGGTGACCCAGCTAACATAAATGTTGGCTGCTATTATATACTCAAATGGATAATTCCTTCAATGCCAATCAAAACACCAATCCTTCTGGTTTTGCAGAAGGGGGCTCAAGGTAACACAGAGCTATGGGGCAGGTCTTGACAGTCCGTGTTCACTTTCCACTATATCATGATGTCTTCCTCAAATGCATAAGGGATCCACTCACTATGCTGGAAGTTTTTTATTTTTCCCGATATCATTCTGGGAAGCAGTTGTTATCCTGTGCTCTTGCCATGCAAACCTGTCATCTTTTCTGCTCACGTATTTCCCTGGTGACTTTCCCCTGCCATTTTCCCCCTCACCTCCCCCCCCCCGCCCCATTACTTAGTATATACCGTATTTTGTGTTTTAGGCAGATCACGCATCAAATACAGAGAGTACATGTAATCTGGTGGGGAGAGGGTCGGCACTAATACCTGGGGCGGGAGGTTTCACTCGAACTAGGGATTCCCAAAGGCACGAGCCAGACAGCATTCTGGAGCAGGGGGCAGCGGCGCCGAGGCTCGGGGCGGTGAGTGGGCTGGCCTGGACGGGGTGCAGGGAAGGGCGCGGAGCTCCGCTGGGTCGGCCGAAGCCAGCCCGAGAAGGGCTTTATGTGCAAGCCAATCAACTAGCATTTGGGAAGCACCTACTACATGCCAGGCACTGAGGATGCAAAGACAAAACACCCAAAGGGCCAGGGGCGTCGTCTCCGGGAAGGACCCATGAATGCCTTCAGTATAAGCAGATACAGAACAAATGCAAAACTAGTTGGGGAAGGGGCTTGGGCCCGAGTCCTTAAGGGAGAGACGGGGAGGGGTCACTCTGCTTTCACTCACCCCCCACCTCCCGAGGAAGTCAACCTCCGGGAGCATTCGGCTACGACTTGGCCGGGGAAGCCTGGTCAGGGGCAGCCGGGGCCAGACGCGGAGCCCCGGGAGCTCTGTGAGGAGGCCCGTCCGGCCGAAGAGGAGAGCGCGGTGGGTGCGGGGGAACGGAAGGGCCTTCACCACTCACGCCGCCCCCTCGGCCACCTGGAAAGAGCATCCAGGGCAGGGCACCAGACAGGGTCAACACCACGAAAGCAGCCTCGAACGGCCCGGCCCGGAAGTTTGTACTCGAGCCCTTCCTGCTTCCGGCGGAAGCAAGACTGGCCAGCTTCTTCCTATTTAGGTTCCGGCGAGGGCGGGTCCCCGGCCCTCAGTTTGCCTACAGATGAGAGCGGAAGTCGTGCTCTTCCTTAGAGTGCCCCCCCGGAAACACGCACCACCGCTCTCAGTGCCGCCGGTTCACGGACGTTAGAGAGCTTCCGACTCCGGGAACTTTCACCCTCTGGGAGAGGCGGGGACCGGAGCGGCTTCGGGGATCGGCCGCAGCCGTTGCCTGAGGAAGCTCCTGCCCTGGAACTCCACAGCGGAGGAATGCTTCCGGGGGGACGCAGAAACCTGTGACACCGGCCCGCCCCTCCCCGCCCCGCCCGCGGCAGAGCCACGTCTCGGCTGGAGGAGCCGCAGGAGCCGCCGCCACCACGGGTGAGGAGAGCTCCATGGCCAGGGCCCAGGGGCCCGACCCGCGGTGCGCCGCCCCGGGGAGGGACGAGAGCCCCGGTCCCCCGGCCCGGCTTCTGCCGCCCTGCTGCGGCCTCTGGCCCTGGGACAGCCCCGGGGTTACAGCTGGAGAACCGGGGGCCTCAGACCACCCAGAGGGAAACTGAGGCCCGAGGGCCTACCCACGATAGCCGAGCTGAGGACTTGAACCCCGGACCTCCAGGCCTCCGGGCCGCTCTCTGTCCTCGGCACTCAGTTTCCTTGCCCTAGGGATGGGAATAGCACCAATAGCTAGCCCTTACATAGCGCTTTAAGGCTTGCAAAGCGCCTTACAGAAGGATCTCATTGGCTCCACAATACCCGGGGCGGGGGGGAGGCTATGATGATATCCTTTTTACAAACGAGGAAACTGAGGCAGGCAGAAGTCAAGTGACTTGCCCAAGGTCACACAATTACCAAGTGTCAGAGACTGGATTTGAAATCGAGTCTTCCTGACTCCACGTCCGGCGCTCGATCCAATTCACCACTAGATGCCAAGGGAAGAGAAACGACTTGGCCGGGGTCACAGATAGGCAGGGCCTGTGGCTAAATTTGAACTCGGGTCTTCCAGGCGCCAGGTCTTGCGCATTTGCTCTAACTGCTGATGGGGGGGGGGTCTCTTGGCCAGGGTCCTCCCTCCTCTGGCAGTGTTGTCTGTATCCCTTTTCTTCCTTTCCACGAAGTGTTTATTTACATTGTTGGGAGAGTGTGACTAATGGTGCAATTCCAGGTGCAGGATTTCCTGAGTGTGAGTAGTCATGGAGACTACTGTCTTTGGTCCAGGAGTTTCATTGCCAGAACATTTGGGTCCTTTCCCACCCAGCCCTGGATGCTGGGTCTTCTCTTGAAAAGTTAGTTTTCTCATAAGCTACTTCATGCCACGCCTTGAAGGGTGGGGCAGTGATTTTTTTAAAAATACTGTAATTTGTGACCCTAGACACTGGAGCTCAAGATTTCTGAAGGGTTAGGTCTCCATCCCATTTCTCTGTGTTGGGAGGGTGTCGCTATTGGCATTTTCCAGAAAGAGGAGCTGGGCATTTGAGCCACTGGATTCAGAAAGTAAGAAAACTTCTTCCTCGTCTTGGAAAGAAACCTCACCCAACCCAACCCAAACCCAACGAGCGTTTACGGAGTGTCTGCCATGGACCAGGCACTGTGCTAGAGGCTGACAACCCTTGATCTCAAGGAAGTGCCATGTTCTTCTGGGAGTGACAGTTTTCAGTTAGAGGTTGATGAGAGAGAGAGGTTAAATAGCTGTTTGGGTTATTAATACTAGATTTGTAAAATGCCATCAGATTTCTGGTTTTTACTCATTGCTCTTAAGAAGAAAAGTTACTTCCATAAGATAAATCATGGTTTGTGTTTCATATTATTTGGTGACCACAGGTTAAATAATTGTTATGATTGTAGTCATGGTTTTCAGCTTCACTGCAGAGTAACACTTAAGCATCTATGGCTAATTACTGGAACTGCTTAACCGAACGTTGGACTTTTTCCAAGTTCATTTTGTTCATTCCATTTTGTGCCAATTGCCAACCGGAACTTGGACAAATAATGAGTGAAATTTAGGTAAACATTACCTAGAACTCTTCACACTGAGTTTACATTGTGGTTCTTCCAGGCAAATACATGAGGAAAAAGTTTCTGGTTGCATTTAGGGTTACTGCATTTAAAAATGGTCCGTTCTACCACCATCACCAAGTGTTTCTGATGCAGGTAGCAACTTTAAATTTAGTTTGCCCAGGGATGGGGGAGGGGGGGGATTAGAATATAAAGCCAGTCAAGTGTCATCCCCTATAGGCCAGTTAGGTTTGCGGGGGAGTGGGGGGGGGGAAGGTGTATTCAATTTTAATCCTTGCCATCCATTTCTCAAATTATTAAAATATTAAAATATGTCAAAATATTAAAAGACAGTCTGTTCCCTTTGCTGGAAAAAAAATAATTCAAAGCACTTGACCATTGTGGCAGTGATAATTGTGAAAGTACTTTGTAGTTTTAAAAAGCTCTATAAATTCAGTCTAACAACTTGATAAACATTTAAGCACCTACTGTGTGCTTGCTGTACTGTGCTAGGCTTTAGGGAGATACAGGTTTGAGATAAGACGAATTCTTGGCCTTGCAGAGTTGGTAGGGGGCTGTGATGCAAATAAATACACGAGAGAATAAACAGTAAATAAGCAAGAGGCATGAAGGATAAATGCAGGAGATGTCCATATAGGTGCTGATTGGAAGCTGGGGGGGATGCTGCAGAGAAGACTGACTGGAAGAAGTGACATTTGAATCAAAGCAGGAACTTGACAGGCTGGATGTTGGTGTTAGGGGAGAGAGATGGGAGTGTCCTGTGCGGGCAGAGGGAGTCTGGTAAGTCTAAAAGGACAGAAGCCTGAAAGTGCAGGCCGTATGTGAGGGCCGCTGAACAAGTCTGTTTGGCTAGAGCAGAGAGTGCACAGAGGGTCTGAGATAAGACTGGGGAAGAGGGCCTTGAATATCAGGCAGGCAGAGTAATGAGAACTTCTCTCAAGCAATAGGACACCATGGGGTGTGTGAGGGAGCTGACTATGCCTGGCAGTGAGAGTGAGGATGTTCTGGATCTTTGAAGACTTACTAGGAAGCTACTGCAGTAGTTCTAAGTTGGTGGTGATAGAAATTTTTGCTATGCTAGTCCTAGTGGGATAGAGAAGATGGTATGGATGCAAGAGATTTTTCATTTTTAGAACTTGGTAACTAGATACTACTAGGGGAAGTTAGATAGCTCAGTGGATGAGCACTGGGCCTGGAGTCAGGAAGACCTGAGTTCAAATTCAGCCTCAGACATTTACTAGCTGTGTGACCCTGGACAAGTCACTTAACCTTTTGCTGGCCTTAATCCACTGGAGAAAGAAATGGCAAATCACACCAGTGTCTTTGGCAAGAAAATCCCATAGACCCTGTGGGCCCCGGGATCACGAAGAGTCAGACACAACTGAACAGCAGCTAGATAGGAGAGGTGGAGGAGGAGAAAGAAGGTTCAAAGAGACACCAAGATTCTGAACACAGAAAATTGAGTGAATTAGGTGTGGTGCCACTGGCATGTAATATTTAAGTCAGGAGTAACAGGAGTTTGAGGGAAAATAAGTTCATTTTTAAATGTGAGCTGTTATTATCATTATTAACATAAAGGATGTTGCTCATGGGCAAGTTAATAATTCCTGTTTTCTGTTTCTGTGTTTGTTGTGAAATGGATATGAGACTTATTTAATAGGTTTTTTTACAGGCTTAATATTAATGTTTTGTAGTAGGAATGATAGTAAAAGTGACATCCTATTAATCTTTTGTCCTTTGCAAAGGAAGGAAATCAATTAGAAAAGTTTAATAATGTTCTGGCTATCCCACTTCAAAAATAAAAATGCCCAATAGCTTCTCTGCGTAGCTTAAGTTTGTCTCATCTCTTAGATTAAAAAAAATTGGAGACTTGAATTTCCTGCTGCCTTTTTTGGGGGGTAATGTGCATGTTTTTCACAGAAAAGTAGACCAAGGAATACTAAGTGTTAATTTTGAAAGTATTCTTACCAGGCTTTCCCTTACCCAGCCCTTTTGTTTCTACCTGAAAGAGGCCCGGGCTTCAGGACCTTCATCACTGTTCCAACTGCACCCATCCTCTTTCTCCTGACCTCCCTAAGCTATCCCTCTCCACTTCTTCTTCCACCCCTGGGCCAGACAAGGCAACTAATGCTGTCCTATCGCCTTGTCACTCTGCTGCCTAAAAATCTGCAATGGCTCCCTCTTGTCTGTCCAAGCTTAAATTTTTGACTGGTATTCAAGGCCCTACCATACAGAACTGCCCAGCCTTAGCTCATTGTTTTTTCTTTAACCCATTCTGTGTTCTCTTCAAACTAGATTTGTCTCCATCCCTGTGTTGTTTTTGTGATCGGGGCAAGTCACTTAATTTCAAAAAGCTTCAGTTTCCTCATCTGTAAAATGGGAATAATAATGTCTGTGTCCATTTTCATCTTTGTATCCCCACTGCCTAGCATAGTGTCTCACACAGAAAAATGTTTAATCATGTTCCTTGCATCAAACAGAATCTTACCAACATAGCTTAGAAATGCTAAATGTTTTCCTGAGAGTGAGGCAGTGTGATGACGGCATGTTTGGTTGCAGGCTGCCTGTATCGTTTCCTGGGTTCCCAACTTCTGACTGACACCAGCCAGCAAATGGAAACCTTAGCACTGTGTTTCTGAATGAATTTTGACTGCTGCTGATGGAGGGGGAAAAGCGGAATTCGCTGGCGACTCACTCATAAGCTCCTGTCAGCACCACCCCCATCTGGGGTCACAGCTACCATGGACTGTTCCCCTGCTGAGCAAGGTGGCCTGTTGGAGAGCAGATCTAGCAATGGCCTCCCCGACCACTCTGGGACCTTTCTGAATCACGCAGGCAAACTGAATCGGGCAGATAGTGGGGAAATTCACTGTAAGTCCTTGATGGTAAAGCGCCATCTGTGTCAGCTAATGTGATTGCCAAACTGTTTGGATGATTGTTGCTGAAATACAGAGCTGTTTCTGGTGAGAATGATATAGTCCTCTTGCTTTATATTAAGGCTTATCCCTAGAGATGCCATTGTATTGTTCATTGTGATGTTTTGCTGTTTTATGAAAGCAAAACTTGAAATTCAGATGAGTAAACTTTCCGAGAATTATTTGGTTCTTTAAGTGATGAAATTAAGCAGTCGTGTTACTCTCGATTGTTTACTTTAAAACTCCTCATTCAGGAGGGTCTTGGGGGGGGAGGAGAAGGGTTTGAGTCCCTCTCACTTTAAAGTTTCACAGTGTTTTTAGGAATCCTATCAACCATTTTTCTTGTTTGATTCTGTATCTAAGTCATAATGCATATTCAGCAAAATATGAACCACCCGGAAGAACTGGTAGCTCCTGGAGTATTGAGTTTCACTCTCCAGCCTGCAGTGTTGATAAACTGTTTGTTTTTTCTTCTGATGCCCTGACTCTGTGGGTATCTATCTAGGAAAAGTAGAAATGCTGTGTGATCACATCACAGCTGCAAAATTGAGATTTGTATCAGACTAAAATTAGTTGGAAGTGCTTTTTGTTTGTTAATTTGCCATTGTGATTTTATTAACTTGGTTACCAAATTCTTAATAACTCGGGACCACAGAAGAAAGATTATCTCTATTTTCAAATGACAAAATTTAATTGACCTGCTATTCTTTATGAAATTTATCACAGAGGAGTCTAACATTAATCCAGCTGAGGTATTGTCTAGTTATTTAGTCTACCTTTGGAGAATTGAAGTGTGCTGATGTACCTGATGCAATAAAACAATAAACTGTGTTTCCCACCTCTGTGACCTTATCTGTAAAATGGGATAATAGTTATATTGCCTACTAGTTGTGAGGAAAGGGCTTTGCAAACCTTAAAGCTCAACGTGAGTGTGAGTTGTTATTATTACATCTTACCAAAACATACATGTCTTTTCTAATTCTTTTGAGAAGGTATTTAAACACTTTAAACTGTTTGGATAATTGTTACTTAAACATAAAGCAGTTCTTGGTGATAATATGTTGGTCCATATTAAGGCTTTTATCTACAGATGACAAAGTCCTGTTGTTTATTGCATTATTCTACTAGATCACGAAAGTGAAATTTGAAGCTCAGATGGGTAGAAATTCTGAGTTATTTGGTTCCATAAGAGATGAAATTCTCAAATCCTCTTCCTACAGAGTGTGAGATTTAGCTCCCTTTCACAACTCTGAGATAAACACATCCTTGGGACTTGCTTCTCTAAAGATCGGCAAGATTAAAAGTGCAAAAGGCATAATGAACACTGTACGTGACTTAACTTGATTCTGTGTGCTTGCCTGACTTCTTAAAAAGACGGCTTCGATCTCTGCAGAGCTTGATTTCTAGAATGAAGTGAATTCACTTCCTCTTCGTTCTAGTCTTTACATCACAGAATCGTCTGTACTTACAGGCACAGACATGCTTGCCAGTGTCCCTTTTTTGAACATCTTTGCCTTCTGACTTGGCTAAGACTTTCTCATGAATGATTAAATTTTCAGCAGTTTCTCTTGCACTTTGCGCCTGTTTCTGTATCTAAAACAACATAAATTTTTATTTCAAAGTCAAAACAAACCATTCAAGAAGTGATACTTTAAATATATTCTTGACTGATTCTTAGTTGCTAGGTACAAAAATGGTAGTCCGTAAGATTGTTGTTTTGACTTAGGATCTGTATTATGTATGTATTATTCAACTTAGGGTACGTATGGAAAATAGTTTGATTTAGTGGTTCGTCAGCTTGGCCCAGTGGATAGTGAGAGAGAGAGAACTTGGGCAAATTATTTGACCCCTTAAAACTTCTGCTTCTTTGTTTTGTTTTGTTTAGTTTTTCTTTTAGGCAGTTGGGGTTAAGTGATTTGCCCAGGGTCACACAGTTAGTGTCAAGTGTTTGGTCTGAGGACAGCTTTGAGCTCACGTCCTCCTGGCTTCAGGGCTGGTGCTGTGTCTGCCAGCTCCACATTTATGATTCGAAGGTCGTTAGGGCCAAGTCTCTGGTCATCACTCAGTACATATGGATTGATGGATTGATTCAGCATATGTATCAATAACTGTAAATCAAGTAGGTTGGTTGACAAATCTCCTTGGTCCTAGTCTCAGCTTTGCCAATATTTCATGGATCATAGAATCTCTTTGCTAAAATGGGGATAGAACTCATACTTTATTTTTAACATTTATTTTATTAATTTATTTTGATTTATCAACAATCACTTCCATATGCTTTTGAGTTTAAAATTTTTCTCCCCTTCCTCCCCACCACACTCCCCAAGATGGCGCACAATCTCATATAGGCTATACACTTACATTCCTATTAAACATATTTTCACATTAGTGAAGTTGTAAGTAAAAATTAGAACCAATAGGAGGAACCATCAGAAAGAGGAAACAAAATTCAACAGAAGAGAAAAAAAGAGCAATTCAACTTCCATAGTTCTTTCTTTGGATGTGGATAGCATTTTCTATCACGAGGCCTCTGGAGATGTCTTAGATCCTTGCATTGCTGGGAAGGGTTAAGTTTATCAATATTAGTCATCGCATACATTATGTACAACGTTCTCTTGGTTCTGCTCTCTTCACTCAGCATCAGACCGTACAAGTCTTTCCAGGTTTTTATGAAGTCAGCCTGTTCAGCGTTAAAACTCATACTTTAAAAGTGAACTGAGGGACAGCTAGGTGGCGCAGTGGAAAGAGCTCCAGTCTTGGAGTCAAGAGGACCTGAGTTCAAATTCGGCCTCAGAGACTCAGACACTGAGCTGTGTGACCTTGGGCAAGTCACTTAACCCTGACTGCCTCACCAAAAAAGCAAAACAAGAAAAAGAAAAAGTGAATTGAATGGGTTGATTGATTTGTTTGATTGCATTTGGAGGGGGAGATTATTGAGTAGCAACAGTAGCCAAAGACAAAAAAAATCAGACGTTTCAGCAAGAATAGGAAGCCATCAGTCTGTTTAAAGGCCAGTGGGCTGTACGATTACGGGTGTGTTTTCAGTGCTTCAGGAACTGATGATTTTGTTGGTTTGGGTTGATCCTTCAGTGTCACAGTTTGTAATCCTGCTACAGTTCAGGGGTTGACCTTTGACCATGTTGGGGCCTGCTGTGTGGGAGTGAGCCATCCAAGCTCTAGCTCTGAGGTCCATCCTCAGGCATCAGACATACAGGCTGTCACTCTTCCTGCTTTTGACCATTGTGTTCTACACTTCCATTTGCTTTTATAAAGCAGAGAAAATTTAGTTGGATTTCCAACTGGCCTCATTTACTTAAATGAATAGAACTCTTATTTTTAAAGAGCAGATTAGCAAAATGTGAACCTGCCTGTGTCCATCCAGCTTTGAATCAGCTCTTGTTAACTTTTAAGTTGAATAATATGGTCAAGAAATGGGGGTTGGGGGGGATTTCACTAGAATCATACGATGTCCAAAGCCACTTTCTTTTTTCCCAGGTGCCAGTATTTATGTTAACCAAGTGTCAAATGAAGGAGGAAACATGGAGGAAGCCAGCAAAGGGGACGTCTGTCAGAATGGACCCACAACCCATTTCCCTGATCCTCCATTGTCCCTCGATCCCACCACCAGACCATTTGGTCCTGATCCATCTCCAGGTGTGGCTGGTTTCCATGACAACCTAAGGAAGTCTCAGGGATCTAGTGCTGAGGGCGTAGTTCTTAGAAAAGAAGCTTTGCAGTCTCTCAAACTCAGTCTTCCTATGCAAGAAACTCATTTGTGTAAGCATCTGTTTACTGCAGTGCCCCTTCTCCCCTCTGCCGCATAAAGCTTTCACTCTTTTCAAAGACTTCACATGCTACCTGAGAAAGCATTTTTACTTTCATTAAGGTACCTTGGGGGGTGGGGGTGGGGGGTAATAATCTCCTTTTTTATCCTATTTTTAATTGCTCCCAAGGGATCACATTTCTAAAATATTTGCTTATTGCTGACTATGTGGGTTTTTTGTGTTTGCCACATTGGCCTGATTGGATAGAAGATAAAAATGAATCTGTTTGGGAAAAGAAGCATCATACAACATATGTGATGTGGACCATGTTTTCTGTTCACATGAGCACTGTGATCTTTGCCTCACCACAGAATTATAAGGACATTTTTCTTTGGGCATCTTCATGCCCCTATGTGCAGGATGCATTTAGTTTAACCCCAATGGAAGTACACCACCGAATTTACCTGTCATGGCTCCTATAGCCTGTCAAAGCTTACGGATGAATTCTGAGGGATCCTTGGTTATCAGATTGATTTGCTGGAAAGAACTTACATTTTAAAGTGCCATTTTCAGACACTTAATTTTTTTTTAAGACTGTTTTCACAGGCTATTAAGACAAGAACAGAATTGGCCCTCTAGGCCTTCTCTTATAAGTAGACTCTGCCTTTTCTGTTACCTGCATCGAGCTCTAAGTTGGTCCATTTATAGCCCAACTACTTAAAGATTTTGTGCCTCTGACTGAGGTGCTTTTTGTCCAGTTTATGCACAAAGCTTTTATGAATGCTCATTGGATGCCTCATAAACTCTGTCGTAACATGGCTCATCGTTACAGGGATTCAGATAAACCATCTGTCAAATAACATTCCTCAAGATATATATATATATATATATATGTGTATATATATATATGTACATATATATATACACATATATATATAAAAAGAAAAATATGAAAGTTAGGCCATAAGATAGCAGTTCAGAGCAGTTCCTTCTGTGTTTCAGCAGTAGCAGTATAATTATGTGGTTCCACCACACAGTCTCACGTTGCCTGCTGGGAGCCTGTAAGGAGTGATCTTGAGGCAAAGATGACAAGATTGGTGACTCCCTTAAGAGTCTGTTTATGGGTCAGAGAATGTTCAGAGAATGTCCAGAAACAGGCCACGGGCAAAACCTATGGACTTTGAGCTTGATTTTATTTATTTATTGTTATTATTGTTGTGAATTGTGTCATAGTCACCTCATCACCATTGCTGTGTTACTGCTTGAATGCAGTAATTAACGTGCTCCTTGAGAAGGCCGCGGGCCCGCGCCCATCCCATGCTTCATGCTGTCTTTTGTGTGACGCCCACTGTGGTCAGTGCCACTTTTTCCTCATTCATTCTCAGGTGGTAACGGAAAAGTGAAGGAATAAAGCTACTCTCTCCGGCTCTTTTGTCCTCTGAATTCTAAGTGCTACCTTTGTGCTTTAAAGAGACTTTTATGTACTCTAGGTTCAACCGAATCTTCACTGCCCTTGGAAAAAGAGGAACAGATCCGACTTCAAGCTCGAAGACGACTGGAAGAACAGCTCAAACAGTATCGAGTGAAAAGACATCAGGAGAGAGTAAGAATGTTGTCGCGAGCGAACCTGTCAGCACAGGCTGATGAGAAGTGGGATTGAAATGGGCAAGAGCAAAAAGCAGCTAGAAACTTACAGGGTTGAAGAACAGCCAGCTGCTTTCTAGAAGCAGAGAATCTGTGAGCAAGGAGGGGCCTCACAGATCACCTAGAGCCGCCCATAGCTGAGCATGGCGCCCTTCAGCCGGGGTGCCAGCTCTGTCGGCCCAGCCTCAGGTCACAGGCCTTTGGTCCGCATGCTAAGCCCTCTAAAACCCCCAGGTTTTTTCATATAAAACCATGTCTTGCTGCCCCTTTCAGAGAGGACTTTGAGCCTTTGATCTCTGTTACCTTTCATCTTATTGATGTCCTGTCCTCTCAGCCTGTTAAGGTCTGTTTAAGTTCTTTTATCCCTTCTGTTGCTCTCCAGTTTCATGTCATCTGCAGATTTGATAAATGTGCCATCTGTTGATGAAATCGATACCAAGTCATTGATAAAACTTGAAATAATGCCGGGTCAGGGACTCCAGATTCCAGAGACTACCCTCCAAGTTGACAGTGACTTCCTATGACTCCTCTTTGGGTCCTGGTCATTTAGCTAAATCTTACTCTATCACCATAACCTCCCATCTGGCCCCTAAGGCTGTCGTGAAGGGATGTGCTTGATACTTGACTGAAATCTAGGTGTCCCTGCTGACTCTTAGTGAGTCCCTACTCCCTTTCCAGGCACTCAGAAACACTCCTCTTAACGATGCTGTCTGTCCTTCTGTTAGGAATCAGACAGGCTCAGTGGCCTGTCCAGGTGCTGCAGGCCCCGTCCTCTGATTTTTTTGGAAGAACTTTCTCTGCTTCTGAGATTCCCTTCTCAAGGGAATTGATAGCAGCATATGTTTGCCAGTTTTTTGTTTTTGTTTTTCTTTTTTCAGTATCCTGAGAAGTTCATTCTTTACTGATAATCAGAAAATCCAAGGGTTGGTCAGGGGCCCACGTCCCACGTCTTCTCCTGTAGGAGCTGAGCGGCTCTGCTTTTTCTCCATCTGGTTCTTCTCGCTGCTCACCCCGGGCAGCCACGCTGGCCCACCTTTGGCCTCTTGCCTGCGCCTTTTGTTGTCATTCTCCTCAGGCCCCATTCTTGGTGTGTTCTGAGCTTTAATTCTCTGTCCCCACTATCCTCGTCAAGCACCCAGAGGCTGGCTACGGCTCCAGTAGCTCCTGAAGGAAGTCTGCTTGAGGTTGGGGGCAGTGATGGGGTGTGGTCTGTGATGGCGGGGACAGCACTTCTCCCCCTCCCCTCTCTCACACACACAGGCAGAATCACAGCTCCTGACGGTATGGCTGCCCTGAAGACGAAGGGAGCAGGAAGCACATCACAAGCTGTGGCTTTTAAACTCACTGTTTGTTTGTGTCCCTGTCTTTCAGTCTAATCAGCCTGCATCCAAAAACCGACCTACCAGCACCTTGGACCCCGAGCTCATGTTGAACCCAGAGATCTTACCAAGAGCCAGCCCAGTAGCAATGACAAAAGAATATTCCTTCCTTCGGACCAGCGTCCCTCGGGGACCTAAAGTAGGCAGTTTAGGACTTCCAGCGCAACCAAAGGAGAAAAGAAGTTCCAAATCAAGCAAGATCCGATCTCTGGCAGATTACAGAACTGAAGATTCAGACTCTGGAATTTCTAGTGGAAACTTCCTGGCTCCCGACTCTGCCAGGGGGTCCCTGCATCAGAATAGAAGCAGTTTGACGTCTGTGGTGTCCGAGATCAGCCTGCCTCCTGAAACGGATGACCGACTGGAGAATTCTTCAGTGGCAGGAGACAGCATCTCCGAACTGGACGGAAGTGAAGGGGGCACGAAGCTGGATGGCAATGACAGCGATAGCTCGTCTTACAGCAGCGTCTCTGGCAGAGGAGCGTACGGAGTGCTGGGCACGGTGGGCAGGCGGGCAGCTTCCTACCTGGTCAATGGCCAGGAGATCAGTTCTGAAGCGATGGGGCAGTTTCCTTCCATTAGAGATGTCCTGCAGGCCGCTGCTGCTGAGCACCACACCCCAGAGCCGGATGTCAATGGGGACATACAGAGTCGGAGGGACAGCATTTCCAGCAGGTAAGGCCTCATCGAGGTCCCGTCACATGCAGGAGCCTGACCCTCCCTGGGGGCTTTGTCCACTTCTGCAAGCTTGTGCCAGTCACTGAGCTAGGCACCAGGGAAGCAAAGACAAAGTAGAGGTTCCCCACCGTCCAGGGGGGCTGACGTTCCTCAGTAGACTGTCTCACTGCTTTGGGACTTTTTCAGAGGGAGTGCAAATAAGCATTTTCCTAGAAAGAACACAGGATCTAGATCTTAAAAAGAGCATTAGATATGTTCAGGCCCCAAATTTTACAAAGCGGGGCACTGGGGTGCGGAGAGGTGTGTCATTTGAGCAAGGTCCTACAGCTTGTAAGCAGAGGTAGGATTTGCGCTCAGGTCCTTTGACTCCCCAGTCAGTGCTCCTTCCCCTGCACCCCTCCTGCCTCGCATACTGTTGCACTGACTGTCATCGAAGTCTTCTGCGGCGTTGGCTCTCCCCTTGCTTTTGCTGTCTTAACCCCTCAGCCTGCTGTGCCCCTGCATCGCCCTTTGAGTCAGCACGCTGTGTTGGCTCCTAATTGTCCTTGGATTCAAGTCCAGACTCCCTGGCCGGCTGTTCAAGGCCTTACAGCCTGGCCTTGATAGCTGTTTCACATGATCTTTTTCTGTCTTCAACTCAACAAGTTGCCGTTTCCCAAACAGACCTCAGTTTGTATTTAAAAAATGTTTAAACTCGTCTTCTATCCCCGTTAGACTGTAATCTCCTGGAGGGCAAGGCATGGCTTCTCTCTGAGTTCTCTCTGTATTTCCCCCAACGCCAATAGTAGCTCATATTCCTGTAGTCAACACTGCAGAGCCTAAGGAAAAGAAATTATGAGTTATGAAGCACTTTCCCCACAGGAAATGGGGAGCTAAGAGTCATAGTATTATTTCCACTTCACAGATTAAAAAATTAAGACTCTGAAAGGTGAGGAGACTGCCATAGGGTCACAGCTTAGAGTGAAGCTGGAGTCGGGCACGCTCTGTGTGGGTCATGTCCTTTGTGAAGGTTTCTTAGGTCAGGGTGGTAAGGTGTAGGCTGTCCATAGCCTGGGACGGGCCAAGGCAAGTTTGTCCAGCTCCTTCATGGGAAAGATGAGGAAGCCCAGACCCAAAGAGTGAAGGGACAGCTTGTCCAGGTCACACTGTGGTTCAGTCACAAAGCTGGGCCTCAGACCCAGATCTGAGCATGGCTCTCTTACTTCTACCCCTACGTCTGGCTGGGTGGGATTGAACTGGATCTGGGGGGTCTTCTTTCAGAATCTCACCTTTAGCACTGACATATTTATGGCTTAAGCAGCAGGTCAGTTACTTGGTACCAGTGGGGTCATTCTTACAGGCGTTTTATTCTGTCCACTAGGATATAGAAGGCTCACCAGAGATCCAAGCAGAGGGAAAACAAAACTTTTTGCGTAGGCCTCCTTTGTCTGTCCTTTGACTTGTTACTCTGACCTTCGGACTCTTCTTGTAATAGAGGGTTTGATAGAGGTTATTTTCAGAAGTCATTGTTATGTCTCCTCTCTCATATTTTGTTATAACAGATCCTAGTGCAGAGAGAGAGAAATTATGTATTCTCCAACGTGTAAATTAAATCCATTTTCTGATACGATTATTTCTTTAAATATACATTCATATTTACATCCTGTCCCATTTCTGTAAGGGTGACCTACCATTGAAGGGTCAGAGGCTTCGTGCCAGTGCTTCAGGGTGGAGGCAGGCAAGTCCCCCTGTATCTCATTAGATGCCATGTCCTATCCTGCCTCCAGAATATCTCCTCCTTGCCATTCCAGCAGCCACCACCCCAACAGGGCCCCCCCACCTGCCACCAAGATTATTGCAAGGGCCTTAGAGCAGACCTCTGTTCTCTCCTGCCCCCAAACCTCTACTTACCCTCTGCCATAGTCACTTTCCTGTGCACAGGTCGGGGCATGCCCCTCGTCTGCCCAAAAGCCTTTCGTGGCTGCCTCTTATCTGCTGTTCATAGCTTCCTCCCCTGCCCTAAGGCCCGGCCACTCCAGTGCCCCCTCATCTGGCAAGTCCTCCTGTTGCTAATGACCTACTGGACTGTAAGGTCCTTGAGGGCTGCTATCATTTCTCTTTATGTTTTCTCCAATAATACCCCGGATCTTACTGGGCCTTTTGTTTGCCCTTAAGTGTTGTTTTGTATGCTGCTAGCTATTTATGTAGACCTTATGTTCTCACATCGAGCTCCAGGAGACTGAGGACCAGTGTGTCATCTAAACTGGGTCTGAGCACAGAGCTGGGCACGCAGTCGGTGCTTAATAACTATACGTTGAGTTTGTCATTTAATAATATTGATGTTTACTGAACTGCGTCCCTCTGAAAACATGTCTTACCTTTCAGCATATCCATGGAGAGCTCTATTGCTGGGACTCATGATGAAATGCTGCAGGTTCTTAAAGAGAAAATGAGGCTGGAAGGGCAGCTGGAGGCCTTGTCTTTAGAGGCTAGTCAGGTAACTGATCCGTGTTTAGCCTTCCTAATGTTACAATCACAATGCAGCCAGAGCTTATTGGAAGAGTGATTTGTCAGTGACTTAACTGTCTTGCAAAGTTACTACCCTTTTCTTCCACTAGTCTTATGCACAGAGCCATAGAGCGAAGGGGAGATAGCAGGGTCTGGGACAGAACTGATCAGGAGCCTGAAGCTATGTTTACACCATTTGCTGGCCTCAGATGACTTCTCTCTGGGTGTTCTGGTGGTATTCCATCCTTCAGACATTAAGTACCTGCCAGTGGGACCTGGGGATACGAAGCTCCCCCCTCTCCCCCCCAAAAAAAATCTCTGCCCTCAAGGAGTTAAGGCCTCTTGTGGAGATGCAGTAAGTACAGACAGAGACAGTCGATACGTACTGAGTATCGGGGAGGAGGAGTAATGGTAACAGTGCTATTATTTTTGTTTTTGTAGGGGAATATGTCAGTGCAGTGCCCCTTTGGTTCAGGGAGGCACAGTAGTTCAATAGACGATTACAGTGTGGCACATTTGGGCTCTTTTCTCATGTTTGTGGACGGGCTGCCTCGGGAAACCGAGTCTCCCCTTGCTTCAAGGCAGAAAGACGACTTGCTTCTTCCAGGCTTTGGAAGGGGCGCTTGATTTTTGGCCACAGATTGGATGAGATGGCCTCTGAGGCCTTCCTTCCTTCCTTCCTTCTCTGAGATTCTAGGCTTCTGTAGTCTCATTGCATTGTTCACCCCCATTGTACCGATTAGGAAACCCAGGCCCAGTGAAGGCAAGAAATTTGCTGAGGGTGAAAATGGAAAGGTCTGTTCAGAAGGCTCCCGAGTCCTAATTCAGAGGCCCAGGCAGTTTCTCCACAATCCACTCTTGTCCCTTAGACGTGTCGTCCATAATTCCCAGGCCCTTCAGGCAGTGTGTCGCTTCACAATACCATTCGCTGGGTTCACACTACATTCCTCAACATAGCTATTGACTTAGATGTCCTGCTTGTAAGAAGGGATCTTTTTTTTCAGAAAAGGTAGTATTTTGTTGTTTGGGAAATGTTTCAGGCCCTTAAAGAGAAGACTGAGCTGCAGGCCCAGCTCGCAGCCTTGGACACCAAGCTTCAGGCCCAGGTGGAGCAGAGCCGAAGCAGCCAGCAGAAACAGGACTCGCTGAGCTCTGAAGTGGACACCTTGAAGCAATCCTGCTGGGATCTGGAGCGGGCAATGACTGACCTGCAAAACACCCTCGAGGCGAAAAATGCCAGCCTGGCTTCCTCCAACAATGACCTGCAGGTGGCCGAGGAGCAGTACCAGAGACTCATGGGAAAAGTGGAGGACATGCAAAAAAGCATCCTCAGCAAAGACAACACAGGTAGCTTTTAGTATTTGAAGGCTTTTTGGTCATTTAGTCATCGGGAATTTATGAAGCCCCTACTGTGGGTCAGACACAGAGGCTGCAAAGCTGCACATGGGTCACACAGCTAGTTAAGAGTCTGAGGCAGAATTAGAACCTGGATCTTCCTGTCTTCCTGCCTGTCCGCTGTACTAGGCTGCCTCTAATGCCTCTTGTTTATGGTAGGCATTCCTGTGTAGAGCAGTGCTCAGCCAGTTATTAAATGGTATTACTTTTCTAGTGTGTTATCTCATTTCCCTCACTGGGGATTCTTAGAGTATGAGGAAGGCTTTCAAACAAAGCCACAGTGTAGCATGTGGACCTCCTGTGGAGGAACACAAGGCCACTTGTTGGTTCTCCTTGAGTTCCCAGGCCAGGCCACGGGCCATGGGCCACGGCCATCAGTTAGAGAGAATACAAACATAAGCAGAGGTTTGCCGGTGATTGGTGAATGTTATTGGCCTGTTCAGATAGATGCTGTAGTGTCCACATAGGTACATGTTCTGTTGATAGGGAAGACTTGTTACTAGAATTCCGACTTTGCAAGTAAGAAAGCTGGTGTTGACCTTGGCATGGGCTTTGTTTTTAGTGCACGACCTTCGGCAGCAAATGACAGCCTTACAGAGCCAACTGCAGCATGTTCAGCTGGAGCGCAGCACACTGACGAGCAGGCTCCAGGCCTCCCAGACCGAGATCACGTCACTGCAGAAGGTCCGGCAGTGGTACCAACAGCAGCTGGCACTGGCCCAGGAGGCCCGGGTCAGGCTGCAGAGCGAGATGGCCCACATCCAGGTAGGCCTTTCCCCTCGCTCGCCTTGACTGTTTACGCTGTACATAAACGTGAGCATTTATGGCTCTGAATGGTTTCTACCCAAGTACCTTAGCGCACATTCACAGTCACATTTCTTCAAGTTAACGTCATGTCGGGTGAGAATTAGCAAATTTGTGAACAGTTCTCAAGTTTACGCTTTTTATTTTTGATTTTTTTACTTTCTTAGATCCATTAGTAAACCAAGTGATTTACATTTTCCAATATTATTTCACTTTCCTGCCAGGGAATGACTTACTGTTATTTCCCCAGCTATGGTTTGTGTCTTTTAGACCGTTGGTCTTTTTATTCACATATAAAATGTCAGTTTCGGTCTTGAAGGCCTGGTTCTTGGCTCGGCTGTGTCAGTGCTTTGTAAGCACAGTCCCTTTGTGGCTCATAGCACTAGACTAGTAAGAGCCGTAACAGTCCTGCTTTCTATAGTGCTTTGTAAGACTCACATGCTTCTGTGTACTTAACATTTTCTATCCTCAGTTGGGACCAGAGCAGTCATTCTCAAACTGGAATCCATAAGCCTTGGGACAGGACCGTAGAGTTAGAGTTTTTCAGTATTGAAAAAGGTGCCAGGCCTAGTGACACACACCTGGAGTCCCTGCTGCTGAAGAGGCCAAGGCCGGGGCATCGCTTGAATCTAAGGGTTCTGAGCAACAGTCAGGCGTCTAAATACGGCAAAAGTTGGGGAGCCCCTGGGAGCAGGGAAACTGCTGGGCTGCCAACAAGGGGTAAACTGCTTCAGGCCAGAAATGAAGCAGTCCACAGCTTCTGTGTCAGTAATGGAGGTATGCTCAGGAGCAGCCCCTGCCCTCCTCCCTGGGCCAGACAGGGAGACTCAGTCTTAAAAAAGTTCAAAGAGACCTCGTAGGCTATCATTTTTCCAAATTCCTGCACCACAAAGAAGAACTCCCACTCACTGGGCCTCACGTGGCCTCTGCTTGAATGCTTCAGAAAGCAGTATTGCCTGGGAGGTGGGGGGAACTCAGTTCAAATCCTTCCTCTACCACCACCCGGGGTAGGTGTACTTACCTCTCAAAGTTAGGGACAATTGTAGCATCTGCTTCCTGCCTGTTGCTAGCTTCAGATGAGGTAACAGATGTGGAGTGTGCCCTGTAAATTCTAGAGTGTTATGTCTATATGATACATACACACACACACGTATACATATGCACACATACACACATACATATACACATATATGCACACATATATTGGTGTCATGTGTTATTATTAACTCCTTCCATCTGTTGAGCTGAAATCAAACTCCCTGTGACTTCTGTTCATTATTCTTAACTCTGCCTTTTGGAGGCTTCTCTGTATACAGGCCTTGAAATAGTTGAAGGCAATAATTGTGTTCCCTTCCAAGGCTCCCCTTTTTTCCAGGATGGTCACCACCAACTCCTTCTGTCCTTTCTCTGACATACTTTCCAGACACTTAACCACCCTGTTTGCCTTCTTGTGAGCGCTCTAGTTCATGTGGGATGTTACCCCTAAAACTGGACATAACACTACTAATGCAGAGTATACTGGGACCCTTATGCTCGCATCTGGAGGCTCTGAAGCCTTCAGTGCATCAGCATTTTGGGGAGCCCCGTTGTATTACTGATGAAATTTTTAAGCAACCAAAACTGCAGGATTCTTTTTACAGGTCTACCCCTTCCTGTCCTTAATTTTTTTATATTAAATATAAAACTTTCTATTTATCCTTGTCTAATTTCATGTGGTTATTTTTAGTCTCTAAGACAGAAGATACTAACCTGTATCAGTGGAGGGAGCACCATCATCTGAGAGTTTCCCATTCTAATTGAATCACAAGTCCAGTGCCTAATAATAGTTTGATTCTAATCAGATCTTTTAAACATCTGGATTCTTTCACTAAATATAATACCGCTCCCTCTTACCTTTGTAGTGTCTACAGAGTTGTCTAAACATGCCACTTGTCTTTGAATCATTAATAACATGTGAGACAGAACAGGGTCCTGGGGCAAGCCCCTGTCATCTCCCTCCAGGTTTCCACCAATCCATCTCTCAGGAACACCAATAAAGCCCTTTATACCATACAAAGCACTCGTTGTACATTCTCATTCAGTCCTTACGACAACCCTGGAAGAAGGGTAGGATGGTCTCCATTTTACAGGTAGCAAAATAGGTCCCAAAGATTATAAGTGAATGTCACACAGCTAGTAATTGGCAACACCAGGATTTGAACCTGGGTCCTTGGACTCCCAGCTCCAGAGAGTACTCTTTCTTCCACATCACAGTCCCCTCCAAATCAACCATCTTTGGCAAAGTGGGCGCCTAATTATACTCCCACTGTTAGGAAGAGAAAGTCAGGGTGAGTATGGGATGCGTTCTTTCAGAGCAGGCGAGATCACTCAGATGGTCCTTAGCCTGAGGGCCACTGTCCTGGATTACTTAGAGCTGATTGTATCTTAATAAGAACAGTGGGTAGAATGGTTAAATACAGGTATTTGAAATAAATGTAGCAAACCCCAGAGGAAGATGTCTCTAACACTTTTGAATCCAGTAACTTTTGAATTTCCGATTCTCTCTTTTTTCTCCCAAGGTTGGGCAGATGACCCAGGCAGGCATTCTAGAGCACCTTAAACTGAGAATGTGTCATTGTCCCATCAACTGACAGAGACTCAGCAGAGGTCCATCAAGGAAAAGGAACGAATTGCTGTCCAGTTACAAAACATAGAGGTGAGAATCACCTTTTGGGTTTCCCAGGAAAGCGAGCTCCTCCCTTCTGAGCAGGGAGGAACTGTTAACCCCCCTGAATCCTGCCTCTGACCTCTCTTCTCTTGGTGTTCTTTGTGGTTCCTGCCTCTTCCTCCTTAATCTGGGGTAGTCCCCAACCCTTCTTCTGTCTGCCCCCCTCTCAAACTGCGCCCCACCCCCAGTGCTGCAAAGAACGGTCCCTGGAGTGGGGCTGGGGGCTTGATCCTCAGCGTCCCCTTAGGGGAGTAAATGGCTCCTACAGGGTGTTTTCACATACTGCAGTCCTCATCTGACTCGGCGAATATAAGCACGGGGAGTGTTTGTTGTTCTGGCTATGGAGAGGGCTTTGTTGGTGTGAGTTAGAAGAAAAGCACGAGATTCCAGGGGTCAGCCTGCTCTTCCCTGTAGAGTAAAGTCTTAGGTGCCGTGTCACGTCAGACGGCGGCCCCGTGACCTCTTGTTTTGTCTCCCTGAGGGAGAGTCGGCTTTGGAGATCTCATCACGTCAGCCGCAGAAGGGTAGAGACACATGCCAATAGCCTTAACTTCCCCTAATAAGCCCTTCTCTTTTGGAGGTCACATCCGTGCATTTATCTAAATCAAGAGTTCTTGACCTAGGATCCATGAACTTGTCTTTGTTTTTCTTTTTAGCATTTTTATGACTGCACTTCAGTATAATTGGTTTCCTTTGTAGTCCCGTGTATTTTATTTCTGCCTCTGAGGAGTCCGTTGGCTTCCCCAGAGTTCCAGAGGCCCCTCGGGCACAGGAAGGGTTGAGACCTGCTCTAAATCCTTCTAGGGCCTAGTTTAATTTTCAGTATGTACTGCCAACTGTCCTGTATATCTTCCTGTACTCCTACAGCTACTGCTTTCCCACCTCAAAAAGTAGCTGATCGTTATGTATTTCCTGATTTACAAAGCTCACCTTTGTTCTGGCCATACCTGCCACGATTTTTTAAGTGACATCCCTTTAGTGCATCTGTTCTAGCATATCTGTCTGGGATCACAGCCGAGAGCTTCATGTGTCCTATTAAGAGTGGCTACAGTTGTGATTTTGTGTGTATTTTTCAACTTCCGTCATTTCTGATCTGTGGGATTCCCCACCCCTCCCTAGTTCATGCCCTCATCCTCTCTCCCCTAGACTATGAGAATGACCTGCAACAAAGTTTCCTGCCTCATGTTGCTCCCTGTTCAAGCCATCCCTCACACCACTTTCTGCGCAGGCTGGAGACCACCTCTGCTCACAGCTCCCTGGCACGTTCCTCACACATACAAAGGGATTGTGGGGAGAGCTTGGAGCTCTCCCAGTACAAAAGGGCTAGTCCGCTAACAGAGAAATGAGAGCAGCCCCCACCCACCCCAGACTCGGAGCCAGGGAAACCATCTTGAAAGAAAGGGAGCCTTGCAAATCAGTTCTAAATGTCTCTCGCCTCTGTATGTACACGTCTCATCCATCTCACTAAAAGTAAACTTTTTAGTTACTCAGAACAGAGGCTGTGGTTGATTTCGCCTTTTGTGTACACAAGGCTTTGCATGCAGTAGTTGCATAGTGAATATTTGGTGATTCAAATTGAATAGAATGTCTTCCGGATTCCAGCACCTGTCTTGATGATCACCAGCATTTTGTTGGGTTTTCTGGGTATAAATGGTTGAATCTTTAGGAAATATGTATTTTTCCCCCCTTCCTTTCCTGGGTTGTCAGAGATGTCAGGATCGTCTGCACTGTGTATCCTTAAGAGAGTCTGCGGTCGCATCTATTCCCCCTTTTCTGCTTTTCTGGTTTTTGAGATCTCATGAGAGTCATGCTCGTCAGTTTGCAAGTTCACGACTTGGAGCATTGTTGACTGCCAGGTGTCATTTCCAGATCATCTGTAAAGGTGGATAAGATTGATTCTGACACCAGTCCCCAAGGAAGCACACTGGTAGTACTGCTTCCTCCGGGAAATCACTCTGATGTCCCTCTCCACAGCTCTTTCTGTCCACTGCACAGCATTCCCTTAGGCGGGCGTTTAGATTGTGGGTCGGTGATTTTTAAACAGCCTCTGGTGTAGAAATTGTCAGTCATTCAAATGAGTATTTATAGAGCCTTCACTGAGAGTCCAGTGCTGTCCCGAGAGAGATACAGGGCAGATCCTTGGTTCTAACCAATACATTATGTCCTTTGGTACCCTTTTATCCATACACTCAAAAGAATTGAAGGAGATTAATTACACTTGGATTTCCCTATAAAGAAATCACATTGACTTGTGCTTGTACCCAAATTTGTGTATGTACCTGATGGTCCTGCCCTTTTCTATTGATTTGGCTTGTCAGTTCTAAAAGTGAATGCGATTCTCCCATCTGGAGTTCCCAGGACCTTTTCTTTCGCTCCTCTTGTGAATGGCCCTCACATTGGCACAGTGACTCACTTGGCCCCCGGCTTTATAATCCTACCTCTAGGTGCCTGTGGCACTTCTGAATATCTGATCTGTGGTCCCAGTGACACATCCCAAGGAAGACTGCTGAGGTTTTGTTTCGGAGAAAAATAAGGTTATGATTGTATAAGTTAGAATACATCGGTCCTTTTCTCATCGCTCCCTCATTTTCCTGTTTGAAAAGCCAAAATGCCCTCCCTTGTTGTGGCGCTTGCAGGGCCTGGTGGTTGCTCACCTTCAGAGAGACCCCTTTCCGGGAGCATTGGCCTGGCAAGGAGCGGAGGGACCGCCTTGTCTTGTCTGTAACCGTCTCATGGCTTTCGTGTCTAGGCGGACATGCTGGACCAGGAAGCGGCATTTATTCAGATCCAAGAAGCCAAGTCCCTGGTGGAAGAAGACCTGCAGAGGAAGCTGGAGGAGTTTGAGGATGAGAAGGAACACTTACAAAAAATGGCTGATTCTGCCACGTTCTTGGAGCAGCAGCTCCAGCAGGTGAGGGCGTTGCCGAGGCCCGGACCCTAGATAACAACACAGATACCTCTGTTCACTGGGGTAGTTTTTTGTTTTGATTTAATGGTAAAATTGCAGAGTTAATTGCCACCAGTCTAATGGATGTCTGTGCCTAGAGGGGTGTGCACAGTGGGGAGAGGGCCAGAAGACCTGGATTCAAATCCTGCCTCTGCACGGGCTCAGTAACCACAGACAAATCATTAACCTCCGAGGGCCCCAGAAAATTCTATAATACAAGTTACCAGTGAGCTGGACCAAGCTCATACACGTACAGTTCCCCAGGTCTGGTCTGAGAGAACCAAAAAATTAGGCATGAGGCGTGTACTCATATGACGGGATAGCCAGCACGCAAGTATTTCTCTGGCCTCTTAGTTTTTCTAAAACCTAAACAGCGGCCCAAGGACGGGACAAGTGAATGCTGAAGGGAAGTGTTGGGTAGCGGTGCCTTATGGTGTTGGCTTCTCACAGGTAAAGCTGACTCTGCATCAGCGAGACCTGCAGCTGGATGCCCTGCAGCAGGAGCACCTGGACCTCATGAAGCAGCTCACCCTGAGCCAGGAGACACTGCACACCCGCGAGCAGGCCCTCAGTGAGCTGCAGACCCACCACGAGGAGCTGCAGGCCCGGCTGGAGGAGCTCCAGGGAGACGTGGCCGCTAAAGACGACACGGTCCAGTTTCTGCAGAATGAGAAGATTGTTCTGGAAGTGGCGCTGCAGGCGGCCCGCGCAGGCAAGGAGGAGTTTGACCGCGGCGCCCAGCAGCTGGAGGAGGACGCAGACGCTGCCTCAGAGCTCTTGGAGCAGCTGAGACAGGAGTTAGCCGTCAAGTGCAGCCAGGTGAGGAAGCGGCTGCCCGCTGGGCTACACATGTTGGGGTTAGAGGAGAGGGGCTCCCTCGGGAAAATGTTTTTTAAGTTTATGTACAAGTCTTCTTTGGGTAATAAACAGCAGTAGAGCTCCCAAGGGCGGAGATTGGCTTGAGAGGAAGAGGCAGAATCCAGGGAGGCCAGTGCAGGGAGCCCTGTCTGCCAGGCCACCTTGGAGGCCACTTTGTTACCTCCCTTGCCCGTAAGGCCTCTAAGCACGTGATCCCGCCATTGGAGCTACTTCTTTTTAGGCACAGTAGCTTTCCTCTCACTGCTGTTATTCATTTATGCATAGTGTTATTAATATGTTAGCTGTGTGTAGGGTCAGAGAAAGATGGAGTTAAGTTGTACCACTTGCCTCTTGAGAGAATTGTCCAATTGTCATACGCACCAGCATTTTGAGGTGATTCACAAAAGGTGCCAAGGCCTTGTGGGAGGACCACCATACCTGAAAGAGACCCAGGCTTCATGTCTAACTTGTGCTAACCCTCTATGACGTGGAGCAGATTCCTTCATACCTCAGAGCCTTGGTTTTGTTATCTGAAAATAATCAGTTATTAAACACTGAAGTGACTACTATGTGGAAGTCACTTGCTAAGCACTAAGAATACAAAAAGAGGCAAAAGACAGTGCCTGGCTTCAAGGAGCTTACAGTCTCATGGAGGATGCAACAAGAAAACAAATATGCACAAACAGGCTATATACAAGATAAAGATAGGGAATAATTAATAGGAAAGGCACTGGAAGAAAGAGGGGTTGGGGGAGACTTCCTGTAAAAGGTGGGATGTTAGTTGGGACTTAAAGAAGGGAGGTCAGTAGGTGGAATGGAGGAAGAAGAGTGTTCCAGGTGTGGAGGATAGACAGGAAATGCCCAGAGCGTGGAGGGTCTTGTTCATGGAACAGCCATAAGGTCAGTGTCACTGGATCAAAGGATATGTGTTGGGGAATAAGGTGTGAGGAGACTAGAAAGGGAGGAGGGGGCCAGGTTCTGAAGGCTTTGAATGCCAGACACAGCTTTTTGTGTTTGATCCTGGAGGCAGTAGGGAGCTTCTGGAGTTTATTGAATGTGGTAGAGGGACGAGGTATGACATGACAACCTGAGGTTTAGGAAAAATCACTTTGGGCTGAGTAGAGGATGGCCAAGTGGTCCAGGCTTGGTTTTAATGCATTTTGTTCACTTCGTAGCTATGGCCAGGCTAACTAGGGCCCACAGGGCCAGTCCTGAGCTCTTCTGATTCATCTCTTAAATGTCGCTGGTGTAGTTCAGAGAACAAAAGAAGGAAGCATATGATCTGTGCTTAGACAGAGAATGGCTGATTTCCTAAATCTTTGACTGCAAAGTCTTTCCCAGGTCCTGCTGGAATTTTAGGAACCTGATGACTAAATATGTAAGCCACTAGTGCAAGACATTGTCCTCCCCCTTGTTAATGATAAATGCGTCAGTCTTCACTGATGCTCCGTTTTGCCTTGATGATTGAACCTCAGTCCTGTCTCTGGCATCAGAGCATCTCTATGAAACATGTCTAGGTCAGGAAGTGGGGAAATCTTTCAGTCTGCCCTCAGGGTTTGTAGCCCTATCAGGATGTGACTGGGAGGGTTTATTAAGCACCATGTGGGGCTCAGTGATAGAGATACAGAAACAAAGGGAAATTCTACTCTGTGTGCTTGAAGTATCCAGCCTGTACTCAGGTGTGTAACTGTGAGGTCATTTGAGGAAAGAGTGAGTGATCCATGGGGAGCAGGAGAGGCTTCGTGTACATCATACTGGATGCTAAAATGGCGCCTCATAAGCCACTAGGGAATCTTAAGGGACAGCGAGAAGAATGAATCCATTCCAGGCATGGGGTCACCCATGTAGAGGCATAGAAACTGAGTATTGAATTTGAGGAGCGAGCTAGTAGAAAGCAAAAATAAAGGGAAGAAGGATGATAAAAAATAACCTGGAGTAACAAGTGAGAGGGAGACTGTGGAGTGTTTTGAATGCCAGGTAGTAGAATTTATTTTTATCCTAGATGTATGCAAATAATGCCCTCACTAGAGGTGTTTGAGCAAGAGAATGACACAACTATACCCATGTCGTAGAAATGTGAATTTGGCAGCTCTTCCCAGTCTTTGATGCAGTGACCCTACTGTTAGGCACGTACCCCACCCAGCACAGTCAGAGGCAGAAGAGTCACATACATAACTGGAATATTGACAGGAGCACTTTTTGTGGTGGCCGCAAAAACTGGAAACAAAGTGGATGCCCATCGATTGGGCAATGACTGAACAAAATGTGGTGTGTTAATGTAATGGAGTAGTATTTGTGCTCTAAGAATAGGAAGCATTCAGAGAACTATAGAAAGACTCATATGAACTGATGCAGAGCAAGGGAAGCAGAGTCAGGAAAACATTATACACAAAGACTCCACAGTGTCAGTGAAAACAATATTTAAAAAGCATTTGAACTCAAGACAAAAGTCGTGGCTAATATTGGTTCTAGAGGACAGCTAGTGAAAACACTTCCCTCCTTCCAGTAGAGAAGCGAGGGACTACAGGTGTGGAACTTTGCCTGTGTTCTCAGACGGGCCCACTGGGTTAGTTGGTTTTATTTGACTGTTTCTTTTTTTTTTTTTACAAAGCAAGGTTTTCTGCCAGTGGGCAGTTTATTGGGAAATGGCTAGAGATATCAATAAAACTTTTTATAGATGTTAATTTGTCAGCTTTGTGGAAGATAGATTGGAGAAGGGGATGACTGGAAGCAGGGAAACCAATTAAAAGGCTTATGGGATGGTCCAGGTGAGAGGCTTTGAGACTCCAGATAAGGTTAGTGGCCTTGTAAGTGGAAAGAGGGAAGGGATTATAGAAGTCAAGTGAACAGGAATTGTCCACTGATTGAACCCAGGTGTGAGGCAAAGGGCAGGATGAGGCTAGGGTGCCTCAAGGTTGTGAGGGAACCTGGATGAGGTAGATAGGCTTTGAGATTTTGTTTTCATGCTTGGCCGCATGAAAACAGACTCTTGGGTGATAGCTCTTTTGACTGAATGTCTCCCTGGATCCCATGGGTGGGTGTAACAGAGTGTGTCTGTATTTCCTGTCCCAGGTGGAAAACCTGCAGCAAGAAAGCATTGCTCTGAAAAAACAGACTCAGAAGGTGAAGGAGCAGTTTCTTCAACAAAAGGTAGAGTGATGCTCCTTAAATGAAAGTAACAAGTGAAAATTCATATTGCTATAACACACGCTGTAGATAGAAGTACTGCCTCTTAGCTGATCACAAAGTCAGACTTACAACCCTTGATTTAATTGGTTTTCTTAAAATATATTTATAAACTTTATCACAAATTCCCCCTAAAAAAAAGTTGTTTATAGAGCTTGAGCATGGAAACTATTGAAACAAGGGTTTTTAATTAAGAAAAGTCACGTTAGACACCTATCCTAAGAATGGTCTGTAATTCTAGTATGTCCTAGTAGGTGATGGTGGAAGCATACCGGAGAGATGCGAGTTCCAAGGACCAGCTGATCAGCGAATTGAAAGACACAAAGAAAAGACTGGACTTAGAGATGAGAAATCTGAGGCAGGAATTAATCAAGCTTCAGGGTGAAAAGAAGTCAGTGGAAGTGGAGCATTCCAAGTTACAGAAGGAAGTGTCCCAAGTTCAAGCAGCAAATGACGACCTCGAAGGACAGCTCCGGCTGGCACAGAGAGAGCGAGACGAAATGGAGACGCAGTTACAGGTCTGTACAGTACTGGCAGGGTTGTCTCATGGGGATTTCTGACTTGATCACTTAGGCTACCGAGAAGTCTTTCACAAGTTTCAACTGCTTGGCTCCTCCAAAGTGCCTTATTTTAAGAGTAAGGCCTCAGGGGTGGGGCTCCCAACACTGCAGGTAACGCGTATCCGCAGAGGAAAGACTTCATGAACTGAGACAGCAGAGAGCCCCCAGTAATGTTTTGTCAGCCGGGTATGTGTAGGTGCTCACGCAGCCTCCAGTGTACCTGGGGTCATGTTATTCATGATGTTTGCCCCACTTAGCAGATCCCTGTCAAAACAGCACCTGCCACCATGAAGCAAGCCACCGCACAGAAGACTGCAGATGGTTTCTTTCCAGACCTCTCACGTTGCTTATCCATCTCTCTCTTTTCAAGTCTTTGCAGTTCGATAGAGAGCGAGCGGCGTCTCTTACAGAGGTGAATGAGGTGCTGAAGCAGCAAGTAGAGCAAATGCAGCTGGAAGCGAGAAAGTGAGTATGCCGCTGAGCTCGATGAGTCAGCCCAGCAGCACCTGCTGCCTGGGGAATGCATGCACAGGAGTTCAGACAGGCGCATGCCGGCGTTCGTGGGAGTGTGGCTTCATCACAAGCAGTTTTTATTAATTTGTATACCCTATGTGGACAGATACTGTGCCTTTCCATGTATACATACAGAGATATAGATGTGTATGTGTAGTTATCTACATATGGAAATGTAGAACCACATATAGGCATGCTTCAGTGCTTTGATAATTCTAAGATCTCACATATGAAATCCCTCTTCCATAAGTATAAAATCTCTTACCATAAAATATATTCTCATTCTGTATACTTGTTATATCTCCTGATATATAAAAATCCATGAAAGAAGATATAACTTTCTCCAGGTTTTAGTTTTTCAAACACTTTATAGATACTATTACAGCCCTTGGACCTCTTACCTTTGATTGTATATGCATCAAGTTTGTTCTCATGCTTGTTAAATATATAGATGTACCTGTGAACAAGGAAAAAGTTCACAAGCCCGCAAAACTTTTATTAATCTGTTCTTCTGCCCGGGATATGCACAAACCCTAAAATGAAATTGACGTTTTTATATTATTACACTCTGGGTTGAGGTCTGTTTGTCAACAAGCCGTGTGGGCATGATCCACCTTTAAAAAAAAAATCCAAGGTGTGATATTCCAGGGTGGTAGATTGGACAGACTGTGAAAGGTTCCACAACTCTACAAAAGGAATCAATTCAGAGTCCTTGTAAACGGGAAGCTTCCCTAGTACATTTAAAGTTGAATTCCTCTTGCAAAAATTCTCTTTGTGTCCTGTTTTAGGGTAGCCATTCTGTTTCACAAAATGGCAGACCACAGTCTCCAGGTAGAAATGGCAGAAGTTTAAGCTCAGTGACCCAGACATTATCTTTTAGCTTTCAAATCATGCTTTTTAATCAGAGAAGGTCAGAGTCAGAAGTAGCCTTAGACTTCATCTCTCCAACCTCTCGTTTCTTTAGTTGCAGACCAAAAGAAGCAATTGACGTGGCCAATTCTTGGCAGACTGTCCATGAAAGATTCCTGGAATGGAATGGGAAGGGCCCCATACTTGTTCTTTCTTTCTTTAAATTATTTCTTTTTTAAATAAATTTGTTATTTTCATTTTTAACGTTCATATGTTTTTTATTTTGATTTCTGAATTCTCTTGCTCCCTCCCATTTCTCCATCCATTTAGAAGTCAAGAAATGTGATATCAGTTACACATGTGAAAGCATGCAAAACTTATTTCTGTATTAGATATGTTGCTCCTGTGATCTTTGAGTGACACCATATACTCTCTCCAACCTGTCATGGAATATGAATTGATATGTTGCTATGATTCAGAGGAAAAAAGTAAGCAATATTTTTTTGTTTGTAAAGAGAGAGGGAGTCTTCCCCTAATTTCATAGAACCCTTCCCAAGAAGCTCTGAGAAGAGGAAAATGCAAATTGAAACCTTGGAAAACCTTGCATGTCTTAAATTGGTTTAATGAGTCACTCTTTGTCACTTCCTCCCTGGGACCTTGACCTGGATCATGTGTGACATGAGTTAGCCCTAGAGGCCTGCTGAGGTTCCTTCCAAGCTCTGAGATTATATGAAGCTAAACATTTTATTTTATTTCAATATTTGGTGTTTTTTAAGCTCAGATTTTTTTCTTTTTTCTCCTTTGCTGTGCTCTAGGGCCATTACAGAACAAAAGCAGAAGATGAAGCGATTGGGTTCAGATTTGACCAGTGCCCAGAAAGAGATGAAGGCCAAACACAAAGCCTATGAGAACGCAGTGGGCATCCTGAGCCGCCGCCTCCAGGAAGCCCTCACTGCCAAAGAATCTTCAGAGGCAGAATTAACCAAACTCAGAGCCCAGGTCACAGATGGAGGAAACAGCCAAGCTCTAAACGTAGGCAACGTCGCCTTCCCTCTCTCTCTCGTGGAGGTGTGGGCTCAGAGTGCAGGTGCAGGGGGAAGAGCATCGATTCCCCCCCACCCTGGGCCTCAGCGTCTTTTGTAAAAGGAGGGTGTGGGTCCCGTGACCTCTGAGGTTCCTTCCAGCTGTCATCTTCTGATGTATTAGAAAGATGCCATTTTTTCCCCTTAGAGAACTTACTGATGGATACATTAGGGAGTCAGACAAAAGGAATTTTCAGTTGTGGGCATAGATTTTCTCTTTAATTGCTTATATAACATGATTCTAAACTACCATTTCAGTGTCCCATAGCCTTTATTACTTAGCATATGGGTGATCCGTATTGTCCAGTAGTCTCCCCTGCCCCATTCTGTCACAGGGCCCATGGGGGTGGTGTCTCCCAACTTTCCAGTGTGGTGGTCTTGCTTGTAACACACAGCATAGGCCCCTCCTGTGAAAGCAGTTGTCCTTTTCCTGACTTTAGAAGTCTTCTGTATCTTTCACCAATCGAGTACAAACACTGTGCCCCATGGTTTTATTTGTTACAATATTAAAATGTACATGATTTAGGTAAGTAAAGTTAAACCCCTTCTAAACAAAGCTTCTACGGAAATCTATTAAAATATTGGTATTGTAGATGAAGCTTGTGTAAGTAACCAGAACCAGATCCTGCCCCTCAAAGCGGCTCTTGCTCCAATTGAAGTAGACATGTTGAATGGTTGTTGTCATGTGACTTCATGAAGCAGGAAGAGCTGAACCTGCGCCCTCTCTCTTCAGGAACGAATCCAGGTCCTGGAGCTGGAGCTACAGACTGTGGGTCACAGTAAGATGGTGCTCGAGAAGGAGCTCCAGGAAATCATCTCACTGACCAGCCAAGAGTTGGAAGAGTACAGGGAGAAAGTCCTCGAGCTGGAGGATGAGGTGGCTGTCTCTGCTCTCTCCTGGGGGAGAAGAGGCTGAGGGAAGCTGCAGGGATGGAGAGGGGAGGGAGGCTGTGGCTGCTGTAGTAGCGCACTGGCTAGTGATCGTGGCTTGCGACGGCAGTTGTGTGCGTCGATCTGCTCTAGTGTTGCTGACTGCTGTCTGGCATGCTGTTGAGTAGAACCGTATTGATGTAGCTTTTGCACACCTGTAACAAACTCTGTCGGCATGGTCTACTTCCTTGAACGCTACTATGTGTGGTAACTATTCAGAATGTTTTACCCACTAAGATGCACGGCCAGCTTAGGTCACAGTGGGCCTTTATTATGATTTTTTCCCACAGCTGCAAGAATCCAGAGGCTTTAGGAGGAAGATAAAGCATCTCGAAGAGTTAAATAAGAAGTTGGCTCTTGAATTGGAACATGAGCGGGGCAAGCTGACGGGTCTGGGACAGTCCAACACAGCCCTCCGGGAGCACAACAGTATCCTAGAGACAGCGTTAGCCAAGAGGGAGGCAGATTTAGTGCAGCTGAACCTGCAGGTATTTGGAGCCCTGAGCCAATGGATTAGTTCTCAGTCATCTTAAAATCAAAACATGTCTTCCTTTCTCTTTTTTTGGCTTTTTTTTTTTTTGGTGAGGCGGTCAGGGTTAAGTAACTTGCCCAGGATCACACAGCTAGCAAATATCAAGTGTCTGAGGCCGGATTTGAACTCAGGTCCTCCTGACTCCAAAGCCGGAGCTCTATCCACTGCACCACCTAGCTGCCCCAAAATACGTCTTTCTTTAAGGTTAGGAGTGGAAGAATTTGACAGCCAGCCACAAGCAGAATTACTGTTTCTTCCTATCTATCTTTACTAAGACAGAATTTCCACAGTGGAAATGAGAACATTTCTCCATGCTTCATAAGGCTATGGTTTAATTGGGAATTTTACTCAGAAAGGTTTTCTAGTGCACAGCTTTATCCTCTAGGACCAAATCAACATGGCTGACGCATGTTTTTTCTTATTTGCATAGAAAAGTAGAGGTTGTTGTTGTCGTGGTCATTCCTGAGGGTTGTTACTCCACCTCTTTGTTTGGAGGTCTCCAGTGGTAAAGATATCCATATCCTTGGCATATCAGGGACTAGGCGGGGGAGTCCAATAAGGAACACCCTTAGAAGGCTAAGCAAGTAAGGTCTCTCCATCCTGCACACTGAGGAATCCGTTTTTACAGTTTCTCTGGGAAAGCATCTTAGTCTCTTCACAAAGACTAAAAACGCTGTGTTTTTAAGTAGCACATCAGAGCGTCCAGGGCCCTGCTGAGAGCTGGCGCCAGGGAGCGCGTGCAGCTGCGGCAGTGCCGTCACCCCTCCCCCCTCCACGGCCCTGGTTTTTATGCTGATTGAGGTCTCCCAGACACGTGAAATGGCAGCGTGCCGCCCCACTTCCCTCCTGTGGTCCAGGTCCAGGCAGTTCTACAGCGCAAAGAGGAGGAAGATCAGCAGATGAAACAGCTTGTTCACACCTTGCAGACGGCGCTGGAGAAGGAGAAGGCCAAAGTGCGAAGCCTTAAGGAGCAGGTAGGTACTCAGTGTGTGTGGGGGGGTGCCTGCACCTGCAGCCCCACCCTGAGCTCTGTGGGCTTGGCACCTGCCACATCTAGAAGCTAGCAATACAGAGATGGCAGTGGCAAAGCCGTTTCTCAGCCTTCTTCAAGCATTACGTGAAAAAGCCTTTCGTCTACACCAGATGAAAAAGGTCTGCTTAAATGCTTGTTTGTTTCACAGAAAATGCACCTTTAATAGGCTTCTTGGCCTGCCTCTTGCCTCCCCTTGCCACAGGTGACTGCGGCCAAGGCTGATGCCGGACACAACCGCCGTCACTTCCGAGCTGCAGCCTTGGAGCTGAGCGAGGTGAAGAAGGAGCTGCAGGCCAAGGAGCAGCTCGTCCACAAGCTCCAAGCAGAAGCAGACAGCCTGCAGTGAGTATTGCCTGGCTGAGCCGTGCCTGGAGGCAGGAAGACCCAAGTTCGAGTATGGCCTCGGGCACTTACTGGCTAAGTGACCCTGGGCAAAGCCCTCACCCTCTGTCTGCCTCAGCTTTCTCAGCCATAAGATGGGGTGACAATGGCACCTACTCCAGCGGGTGTTGTGAGGATCAGATGAGATGATGGTTGTCAAGTGTTTGGCATGGTGCCTGGCGCTTAAGAAATGTCAGCCATTCATAGTAGTAGTATTATTACATTTCAGTGTCTCCTGAGGCCCAGAGGCACAGAGCAGGGTTTCTCTTCAAGTCTTGGTCATTACCAATGCAAACTTCCCTGGTGTGACCGTGCTTACCCATTGACTCGCTCTCTGTCCAGCTCTGGGCTGTTGGGTAGGATCGGGAGGAGCAGCCTAGGTTCAGTTTGGCCTGCTTTCTGGGGGAACTCCAGAAAGCAGCTTTTAGCTGATGTGATGGATAGGCAGGGTTTATGCCAGCGTACACATGCTTTGGTGGCACACATCAGGGTAACTAGCAAATGTGTAATAAGTCACCCGTAAAACAGATCTGGCGATGGTGACCAGGACAGAGGGCCCGTGGTCAGGATCATCAGACCTCCACAGCCAGCTTGTTTGCTTCCCAGTTTCTTAGAGTCTGTGTGCCCATAAATCCAGGGTGCTCTGGGAACATCCTTGTGAGCGTCATTGTATGTCTCATATACATGACCATCCCAAAGAGCCAGACTTAGAGGCCTTTACGTGCAGATCAGTGCAGAAACTTTGTTCTTGTCCTTGTGTGCGTCCCTAGAGCACAGGAGGGAAAACACTGCCAAGAAGTGTCCCAGTTCCAGCAGGAGTTGGCAGAAGCTCGGGCTCAGCTGCAGCTGCTGCAGAAGCAGCTGGACGAACAACTGGACAAACAGCCTGTCGAAAACCAAGAGGTAAAAACCTTAAAGGGCTCCGGCATCAGACAGCCAAAAGCAGGAGGCAGCTGATTCAGGCTTATCCCATGAGACAGTTATTAAATGAATTAATAGAAGACTAGTGAATTTTTTATAGCACATTCCTTTAAGAATATGTCGTTTCTAATGGATTAATGAACTATTTTTCAACAATGTTCAGCCTTGCTTCCCGTTCTCTTCCTTTAGGTTGAAGATCTCAAATGGGAGATAAGTCAGAAAGAGAGAGAAATCCAAACCCTGAAACAGCAGCTGGATCTGAATGAGCAGCACAGTCAGAAGGAATTGGAAGCAATCCAGCTGGCTTTGCAGGTAGCCAGAGTGTCCTGCATAGCCCTGAGGAAGGGGCCCAGGCTAGGGGCTCTTCAGGGTCAGCAAAGGAGAGGATGTTTTCAATGGAAAACAGTAACGATCCTGAGCAGTCTCAAGGTTCACTGTCAGAATTGTCCTTATCTTTTGAAATTAATCTGGATTATCCTGGTGGAAGGGAAAAGGAACCTGCAGCTGCTCTGACTGCTCACCTCTACATAAATGGCTCTTCAAGCAGGCGGAGATGCAATAGTCTAACTTCTGCTTAGAGCTGGCCCGAGAATGCGAGAGCCGATCAGAATGAGGAATGCTGGCCTCATGCTGTTTTCACTGGGACCCTTTTCCTCCTTTTAAAATGAATATTGAGGAATAATGTTAGGTTCATTATTTTGGAGAGAGATGTTGGCAGAGTGGCTGAGGAGGTGGCTACAAAGCCTCGTTAGATGCCCCGGCCCCCTCCTGGCTTTACAAGCTAGTGATTCACACAAACTGAGCTCTGGGTGGCTTGCCAGGGCTTGCCATTAGAGAGGAGCCACCCACCTGCCTCGATAAAGTGAATTTATCACATCAGCGTTCTCTGTACAAATGAAATCATAGCGTCCGTCCTCATCATCGTTAGTATTCGTCCTCTGACCTGCAGAAGTGCTGCTCTATAACAGGCGACCTTTAGAGAGTGGCTGGCAAAGCCATGCAGTGGCTGCAGGGGTGTCCAGTGTGGGGAAAAGTCCTCTTCCTCTTCCTCTGGGCAGCCCTGCAGCCTGCTTATCAGGGACCAGGCCTGGGAATCCAGACTAGAACCAATGTCACCTCTCCCCTTCTCAGCCTCAGGAAGCAGAAGAGACGTGGGGAGGGAATACACAGGGAAAGCGGGGCCTGCCTCAGCCCTTTGGAAATCGTTCAGCTTCTGGTTTTCCACAATGCCTAAAAAAACCTCTCCTTCTCTCTCCAGAATATTAAATCTGAGCTGGACATGGCACGGGAAGATCTTTCAATGACCCAGAAAGATAAATTCACCCTTCAGGCTAAGGTGACAGAGCTGAAGAATAGCATGAAGACGCTGCTGCAGCAAAACCAGCAACTGAAACTGGACCTGAAACATGGCAAGATGAGGAAGGTAGTGCCCCCCGGCCCGAGCCCCCACACGGGCACCCCTGAGGACAGACTGCGGCCAGCAGGGTTGTGTCCCCTTTAGCTACTTAATGCTAAAATGTGATGGAAAGATCTCCAGGGCAACACCAGGAGCAGATTCCCGTCAGCCGGGGAAGTGGGTGCAACCACCTGATTCACCCAGGTTACAGGTTCTGGGTCTCATTCTGCTAAGGAGATTGGGTATGAATGCCGCCCAATCCAGAAAGGAGCTCCTGAATAACTCTGGCCAGAGGCCGTGAGTCACAGTCATCAGTGGCTGAGGGCCATGGCATGCCTGGGGCCTGCTGTGTATGAGCTGTCCCTGCTGTGTCATTGGAGGAGTTTCATAGGCTTATGAGGTGAATTGCTGTAATTCATCCATCTGAAATAAGTATGCCAGTAAAATACGGGGCCATCAAAACGGTGAAGCCTGACAACCCGGTTAGATAAGTAGCATTTCATTATGATGCCAGAAATCCTTCATGGAAAACTTTTTTCTTCTGGTTCATATCTAAGAGGGGGTTATATTGAAGATCACAAGTTTTCCAAATTTAACATAATCCCTATGAGTTACCATATGTAAAGTGCTTTGCACACCTTAAAATGCCATATAAAGGCTAGCTATTACTTGGGGGGCATCAAAACATGGACATTGTACTTGCTGAATTTTGGGGCCCTCCTGTCAATAGCTGGGTAACATTATGCAGAATTAGAAAGCTTGGGTTTGCACATCTGTATTACCCTTCTCCCTCCCCACTGCAATCTCTGCCTCTGTCTCTCTAAAACGTAGGCGCTAATGACACGTTTGTTTTTCAGAGGAAGGAACTGAAGGGAGAGACCAATTCCAACCCTGTGACTCCCGTTAAAATTCCAGACTGCCCCGTCCCCGCCTCCCTTCTGGAGGAGCTGCTCAAGCCCCCGCCAACTGTGAGCAAGGAGCCACTCAAGAATCTGAACAGCTGTCTCCAACAACTGAAGTAGGAGCTTTTTGTTTAGCATTTAGTAAAGAAAATGAAATCCTTTGGGGAAGTGCTTTCATGTCACCTGTGCCAAATACCCGTCAATGGGTCCTGCCAGCCTAAAAACCCCCTTCCTGCCTGTGTCTCCATTCCATATGGCTGCATCTCACAGGATGAGAATTTCTGAGTTGAACAGGTTCACCCAAGGACACAGGGGCCCAACAAGGGGTGAGCCTCTAAACTCTGCCAGGATACTCCCCTCCTGGGCAGCCCTGGCCGTAGTGGGACAGCTCCAGTTAGTTCTGGTTTTTCTACTTGTGCATCCTTTGTTGAATAGCTACTGCGTGTGCACCCAGGATTCTGAACAGGGGATACTCACAACTGAAGAGTCTTGCAATCTAGTTTAGTACATAACACACATAATAGAGAGAGGCATATTTAAGTTTTATAGGGATTCAAAAGAAGGAAGGCTGAATTGGGCCCTCCTTAAAGGAGTTTTGGATTCTGATCTGCAAAGATTGCTGAAAAGTGGGCAAAGCAAAGCAAAGATTGTTTGTAGGCGAGGGGAATAACATGAGTAAAGGCCGGACCAGGCAGAGCCAGCTGGGTCGCCCTTTGCCTTCTCAGGGGTACTGCTTTCTTCCTCTGTAGTTCAGGTCCATGTTAAGCCAGGTGGTGAAATGGCAAACCACTCCAGTGTCTTTGCCAGCGAAACCCCAAATGGGGTCATGGAGAATCAGACACAGCTGAACAACACAGTCCTGCCTCATTAAATCTGATTAATTTTCTTTGTGCCCTTTTGGTAGATGCCTTTGAATTGTTTTAATTTGCATATTTTTGATTATTAGGGAAGCTGAACAAAAGAAAAAACTTTTTAGTTTTTAAAGCTTCTAAAAAGTTTTTAACTACATTGAGGAAAAGAGGAAGACGAAACAAGGGTCAGGACTATGGCTCCAGGTGGAAGATCTAATTGACAGCCAAGAGGAAGCAGTTTTTATTTCAGTTTTGTTTTCTTTGCTAAGGAGAATATTTTTTGGACAGAAATAGCTGGTTAAGAAGATGATGCCTAAGTTAAGTAAGGAGATGTAGGGTACCTGAATGCCTTTGATGACCTCAAGTCAGGTGCAAGTGAACTCTCAAGGTACTGGGAAAAACAAGGCAGATGTCACTGATAAGGCCACAAACAGAGATCTGGGGAAAATCAAGGAACACAGGAGAGGACGAAAGAAGGGCGAATGAATGAGGAGCTTGACTTCTGTTGCTAAGAAATTAGAGATCACATTATTAAAGGGATGGGTATCAAACAGCTAGGGAAGCAAGTGGTGGCCAGGAAGAGCTAGCACCTGGTGCTAGCATGCCCAAAGTCATACCCAACTCATTTCATTTTCCTTCTTATCAGGGTTATTAGACTGCTCAGTAAGGGGAATGCTGGAGTTATCATACACCTAGATTTTAGCAAATCGTTTGACCAAGCTTCACATGCTGTCCTTTCAGAAAAAAAAATGCAGTTTGAGTTAGAAGATAATACGTCCAGATGGATTTAGGATGAGATGGACCAGACCCAAAGAGTAGTCATTCATCATTCATCATCAGCTTGGAAAGTGGTCTCTAGCAGAGTGCCCTAGGGGTCTGGAAGTGGCCTCGAGCTAACGTTTTTTATCAGTGACTTGGGTAAAGGCATAGATAGAATGCTTTTCAAAAATAGTTAACGGGGGCAGCTAGGTGGCACAGTGGATAGGGCACCGGCCCTAGAGTCAGGAGGACCTGAGTTCAAATGTGGCCTCAGACACATAACAGTTACTAGCTGTGTGACCCTGGGCAAGTCACTTAACCCCATTGCCTACCTAATAAAATTTTAAAAATTAAAAAAAAAAAAAGTTAACAATTATAAAAGTCAGGATGCCAAATGATCTTACAGGCTAAAACTATTAGGTTGACTCTCTAGTAAGATGAAATTAAATTTTTTTCCTCTTTTATTATGAACTTGACAAGCATCAGCAGATATGACCATTTCTGTCCACATTAGCCAAATATATATATATATGTATAAAAAAAGAGGATTGTATATGAAACCATGAGCATTATATATAGTTTGGGTAGTTTTAAAGTATATATTAAATTTATGTATCCCACATAGTCTTGTTTGTCTGTATCCCCTTTCTGAACTTGGATCTGTTCTTTTCTGTATATTTTTAAATGCTTCGCTAGCCTTTTTTTTTGGCATCGTAGCTGCTCATTACCTCTCCCCCCAAGTGTTTATCTCCTTCTGTCTATTCCTCTCCCGAGAAAATAAAAGTACTCCCTTGTAACAGACAGGTCACACTTCGGTCCTCTCAGAAGTAGCTTGATTTTGCACTTACTATTCATCTGCTCTCTGCCAAGAGGATGGAGGCCTGCTTCGCTACCAGTCTTCTGGAGTCATTGATTAGTCATTACATTAATCAGAGCTCTTAAGTCTCTCAGAGGAATTTTCCTTTACAGCATTGTTGTCATTGTATATAAATTGTGCTTTACTCTGTTAGCTCATATGTCTTTCTAGATTTCTCTTAATCCCTCTTATAATTCTGTACTGTGCTATAATATTCTTTTACGTTCATATACCATAATTTTTTCGGCCATTCTCCAGTTGATGAGCATCCCCTTGGCCTCCAGTTCTTTGCTGTAACAAAAAGTGCTGCCATAAATGGTTTTGCGTATATTAGTCCTTTCCTTCTTCTTTGGCCTCTTTGGAGTATGAAATTATTTACTATGTATGAAATAATTGAGGATCAAAAAATAAACTTCACTAATAAAATATAGGGGCAGATAGGAATAGACAGTAATCTACTTGAAAAAATCTGGGCTTTTAGTGCACTCCAAGCTCAAGATGAGTCAGTAGTGTAATGTGGCTTCCAAGAGCTCCAGCAGTCCTTGCTGCACTAAGAAAGTGCCCAGGCCTAGGAAGGTGACTGTCCCTGTGTACCTTGTCCTATCAGTGTACATCCAGATGGCAGTATGAAGATCGTTGATAAGTTGGAAAGTGCGGTCAGAGTAGTCAGGGGTCTTCAGGCCATGCCACCTGATCTGTAGGAGGAACGGGGCATGATTAGCCTGGTAAAGAGAATATTTGTGGGGAATTATGGCTGCTTTCAGCCATAGAAGTCACATGGATGAGAGATGGGTCCCTTGTGGCAGAATCCAAAAACAGTGAGTGGAATTAGCAAAGTCACAACAATTTAAGCTGACCCAAAGGGGAAGGGATGACCTTGAGAGGTGGTCACTTCTCTGTCCCGCCGTGTCTTCAGACAGAAGCTGGCTGACAACCACCGAAGGAGTGTGTTTTTAGGGGGAGTGTTGTTGAAGGGTGGGTTGGCATGTGTGCATGCTGAGCTCCTCACAACTCAGAGTTTCTGGGTGGTTTTCAGTGATTATTTGTGATTTCTGTATCGTTTGTTGGTTGTCTGCTAATATATCGCCTTTGATCCCTTAGGGAATGAGTATTTGCTTTGAATATTTATATCAGTTTAAAACATCAAATTTCTATATGTTATGTTTACTGCAGCTATTTTATCTCTGCTGTTTTTCTTTTCATCTTGGTTATTTGCAGGGGGAGAGGTATTGTGGGGTTTTATGTATAATCATATCATATTTTCCTCTGTTCAGCTGATAAAACTAACTTTGGAGATTTTTTAAGTAGTTAACTATAAGGTCTGGCTCAAATTTATGTTAGTATATGGTATGAGGTTTGAGGACCCAAATTTATTTTCAGCCATATCCATTTCTTAAGGGAGGTTTTCTATTTGCTTTAGAACCTAATATTTTTAAATGTTGTAGTAGAAAATCATTATACCTTTCTGATGTTCTCTAGATTGCCTTCTTTTGACACGGTTAATATTTATTCCTTTGACATATTTCCTTTTCTAAAAGGCAAGAGATGGATAGTCTTCAGCGCCAAATGGAAGAGCACACCATCACAGTACACGAATCGATGTCTTCGTGGACTCAGATAGAGGACCACTTAATGGACCTCTCAGTTCCCTGCCCTCCTGCCGACTCTAGGGAACTCGAAAATGCCAGCGTTGACCGAAAGGAGCAGAAGCACCCTGCTCGCACCCAGAGAGTACTGGAACAGTGACCCCAAGCTGCCCCCGGCTCTCCTCTCGTCTCTGAATGTGTGAAGGATTATTGTTTGATCGCCCTTATTTATTTGACTGTGTACTTGATGTTTTTCTGTGAGTTGTTGTTCTGAGTTTTCCTTTTGCCGATGAGGGTACGAGAGAGTGATGGCAAAGGACCAGAGAAGTGACCTATCTGTGGGCCACGCTTAATTCCTGATTCCTGTGACATGATCCTACTGCCTACCAAAGTTACTCATCCTCAGATGGGGTCTTGTCTCTGATATTCTGTACGGGAGTCTGGGTCAGTTTGAGGAATGGTATGTCAGCACAGAATTCTGAGAGGTCCTCTTGGTCACCTTGTTGAGAAGGGGAGTTCAGAATTGTTTCCATCAGTGGAGACATCTGGCCTGGGGAGTTCTTGCTCCATGTCTCACTTTCCTTCTCTGCTCAGTGGGAAGCTTTATTTCCCTGCAGAGAAGAAAACACTTATTTTGCACCTTTTACTTTATTTTTCAAATACATACATCCTCTAGTTGGATGTGTATAAATAGTAAAAAAAAAATCATATAATTGTTACAAAATACCCTTCTATAATTTAAAAATTAGTTGGATTGTCTCTTTTGTTCTTCTGTCTTGTTGCCATGTTTAAGTCAGCTGTTAGAAAATCTTGTATATAGAGTATTTAGGGAAGCTGACCAGTACAGGTAAGGCTTTTAGAAAAATATTTTATTTACTATACCTTTCAAACACAAAAATGCCTATATGAAAGGGTTTGGGGTTTGGTTTTTTTCATCACCTTTCTTTCTTGGCTGTTTGCAAAGCGCACAGAGCTTCACTTTCAGTGGGAGCAGTTTCCCTTGCCCTAGCCTAAGCATCGCAGTTCCTAAGTGGGGGACCGTCCAGAAGGACGTGGGGTCCCACCTAAGCAGAGGAAAAGGAGGGTAACTGGGAGAATGAGGGAGTGTGCAGGAGGGAGGGAGGAAAAGGAAAGGGAGAGATGGATTGGCGATGGGTAGGGTAGGGCACTATAGTCCCAACTTTGGCTGTGACAGCCTGAGGTTTAGACTTGAAACTGACATAAGGTGAGAGTCACCCCAGCCAACTGAGGCAGCATGCACTCCCTGCAGACTGGACTTCATGGGCATGTTGATTCGTTTTACAAAAAAAGGTTCCCATTTAGTCTCTTTCCTGCTCAGGAATCATTGTTTCTGATGCAGATGAGTGGAAAAAATTAAGACACCAGTATCAGTGCAGACTTCTGATTGTCTTCTCTTTCCTGGGTGCTCGTGAAACCCAGAATACTTTGATTTATCAATTGGGCACCCTGGATAGGCACACTTCAACTCCCCACATCATTCCATCCACACTAAACACCATCAGCATGATGGATCAGGAGGCTAGCTGTTTGTGAACTTTGGGTTTTGTTTTCTTTAATTTGCAAAGAAAAATCTAGGGAAAAAATTGCAGTAAGTAGTGGGAGATTTTTGTCTTTGTAAGCGTTAGGGGAGGGAGGGAATAATCCACGAATGGGGCTCTCAGATGCCCATTATGCAGAATAGCTGGCCTGATAATGATGTTATGAAGTGTTACTGATCAGTCCAGATATGCTCATGTTTACTCTATATATGACAGAAGCTTAATTATTCTCATGGAGAAAACAGTATGGTATTCTTAAGCCGTTTCTTGTGTTCTTAAAGCTGCCTCTTAAACTGTCGCAAGAGGAAATAAAAATACCCTATTGTTAGTTGATAAGGTTAAAATAACATTAATGTTAAATACACTTAGTGATGCTAAAAAAAAATACTCCCATCAAGTGTTGCCATTTCTAAAGAAATGTCATTTGTGTGAGGGTGACTCTTGCTGCCATACTGGAAAATCGTCCTTCCCAAGAGATGCAGGCACAAGACCCTGCCTTGCTAGTTTTGTGTGATGCTAGGACGTGCCTCATCTTTTCACACTTGTCCAGGCTGCGTGTGAGGTGCTCCCTAGCAAGGCATGTTTAGGGTTCACTTTTCCACAAAGGAAGAGAAGCTTGGTTAGTTGTCAGGTGAAGTCCAACTTCTTTTGTTTTACTTCATCTTTTTCTTTTCTTTCTGCTCTTGGTTATTTCTCACATTCATTCCTTCTCTCACTCACACTCCCGCCCTGAAAAAACACAGTAATTTTCTTGACTCTCTTTGCAAAGTGCTCATCCCAGAGCCTCTGCCGGTCCCCTCCCTTCCGGCTCAGAGAGAATTCACAGGGTCGAGTGTTTTAGCTCTGAACGTGATTCTCTAGGCTCGGGGGCCTGCTGCAGGCGGGGTAGAGGAGTAAGGGATGCTCAAGACTGCTTGGCTTCCCTTTCTTCCCTATCCTCCCAGCTGCTGTACATCAGCCCCTTATTTTCCCCTTTCCCTTTCTCCCCCTGGTACCTGGGACGTCCTAGGCTGGGGAAATTAATCTGAAGCCTCTCAGTGTCTACTTAGATACTGCCATTAGGCTTCCCCAAGAAGTCACTTTAAAGAGGAAAACTGGTGCCTCCGTAACCTACAAGATGATCTCCAAGTTGCCTACTTTGGATTCGCTGGGGGTTTCTTTGCCTGCAAGGGACTCTGCTTCCTGTAGCTGTCTCACTGTCCTACCTCCCCCAACCAGGGTCTAGTGAAGAAAAGGTTAGGTAATCTGCTGTTTCTTCAAAACCATAGTTTTGAAATTGACTCGTGAGTCAACACGTGGAAAAAAAGCAGGGATAATTCCTTTATAAAGCAAAGACTCGACTTGCAGCATACTTGTAGATGTCTATAATGAACGTGGTGTTCAATACTGAAGGGAAAGTTCATACTCCGTGGAACTGTTACTTAGTCTTCCAGTTTGTTCCAAAATGTTTTGTGCAACCTGGTTGTCATTTCTTCTTTGGCACACAACATCTCCAAGAAATGCTATGGATCTCATAGATTCATAAGACCGCTCTTCCCTCTGGAGGGTGTGACAGCTGATTTCTGTCTTGTCATAGGAAGCAAAAGTGGCTGTTGCTATGGTTGGCACAGATTCAGGTCCAAATTGTAAAGAGATCCCCAAGAGAGATGCCCCAAGGTGCGTACATGGATAGATACAGCTGGGCAGCACTTGGTGAGACCTTCCATGTTGTTCAACTGTACAGGTGAAGTTTCCCTGTAAAAACAATAGCAAACCAAATTATAGACCTAGAGATCTGGCATGGCTATGTATGGACACTTTCATGAGTGCTAAAAAAGGTCTTGAGTAGACATCATGGGGTGAAACCATCCAGTGATTAAAAAGAAATCCCCAGAAGCCTTGCTTTAACTTGATCCCGTGTGGCGTGGGCTTGGGTGTAGACCCAAGGGTTTCATGCCTTCCTTATCCGAGGCAGGTTTGTGAATAGAGGTATCAGAAGCGCTTTGTTAGACCGTGGTCTCACCTCACCTGCGGTCCCACGGCGTGGGCCCAAAGATAGCAATACACGGAGGCTTCAGTACTCTGAGTGGTTTTCAGTTATCAAATCAGATATTCATTAGCTAATCAAAATAAGCTTCACATACAGGCAAAAAAATTATTCATGCATACAAATGATTCAAATTTGTTCATCAGGTTGGGGCTCTTTTTTGGTGGAATAATTTGAGGAAAATGTGACACCATGTACAATGAATGATTATCTTACACAGCATGTTTATTCAAAAAGGTTTAAGTGTGCATAGGAATTCCTAAGTTTTGTGCAATAAACTATTTTTGGTAAAGGGTTTCATATTTATTTTGGGGGGGATTCATTATATTTAAGTGAAGTACAGTTTGTCTCTTATTGAGGTGTATGTCCCCCCCCCATAAAAAATGTTAAATACTCTATGGAAATTCATTGATTTCAATAACAGTTTTGCTGTCATCCTATCAGTTTTCAAAATGCTTTTAAGTCTGATTTTTTTCTGCTCCACTTAAATGACTGAAGCAAAACAATATTGTTCTTATGTCTTTCATCTGCAGCCCCTTTGACTAGTTTTGATAGTTCACACTTGCAACTATATATAAAAACAAACAAAAACAAGATAGTAAGAATTTACACGTATCCACTGAATTGGTTACCCAAAATGTCACAGGACACATCCAAGATGGCAGAACTAAGAGCAGGAGGTTGAAGTTGCCTCAGGCTCCCCATCTATAAAATGATGAGTTAGGCTGTATGGCCCCCGAGGTGCTTCCTGCAGGATCATAGGACAGCCTGCCTAGATCCAGTGATCTGTCGGCACGTCCTGTGAACAGAAAGACATCTACAACAACTCATCTTCCCCCCAAAACCCACCTCCCTTCTGAACTCCCCTGTTTTCATTCAAGGCACTTTAATGCTTCCGTTCACCTAGAGCCACAAATCTGAAATCGTCCTCTGTTCTCTTTCACCATCCATATCCAATCAGTGGGTAAATCTCATCAGCTCTGCCTTCTAGACACCCCTCATAGCCATCCCCTTCTCTGCACTCACAACCACTTCCTTCTCCCTTAGATTGTGCCAATGATTTCCTAATTGGTCTGTTGCCTTCCTGTCTTCTCTTGCCCTATCCATCCTTACACAACAGCCAAATATTCCTAAAGCAGGGCTCTGCTCAAAGAGCTCCTTCCAGTGGCCCTCTGTTGCCTCCAAGACAGGATATGAACTCTTCCTGGAGTTGTATGGTCTTTCGTACTCTACTTCCCACTTATTCCTAGGCTCGTCATACGTTGTTCTCCATCACACTCTAACGTTTCAGCCAAGCTGGCTTACTTGCTCTTCCCATTCTGATATTCCAAGTCAACTGAACAGGCATACTATGTACAAAATACTGTGCTAGGCACTAGAGATACAAAGAAAGGCAAAAAGATAGTCCCTGCCCTCAAGGAGCTTACTGTCCAGTGAGAGAGACAACACGCCAACAACAATATGCAAACAATATATGTGCATGAAAAACTAGAGATCATCGACAGAGAGAAGGTACTGGAAGTGAGAAGTACTGAGAAACCTCAGTGCCCCAGAAAAGACGGAATTTGGGCTGGGACCTGGAGAATGCTGGGGAAGCCACGGGGAAATTCCGGGCAGGGGAGTACAAAGGCACGGTGAAAAGAATTGAGATGGAGCGTGAAGAACAGCATGGAGGCCTGTGTCACTGGTGACAGGGAATAAAGTGTAAGCCTGGGAAGACAGCGAACAGCCAGGTGATGAAGACCCTTGAACACCAACTCAAAGATTTTATATTTGATTCTGGAGGTAATATGGAGCCACTGAAAGTTATTGATCGGGAGGAAAGATACTGCAGTGATCCGAACATGAGGGGATGAGGGCCTGCACCAGGGTGGGGGCACTGTCAAAAGACAGAGAAGGGAGAGTATGTGAGAAATGTTACAAAGGTAAAAATCAACAGGTAAAGACTAGATAGGGGGATTGAGAGACTGTGAGGAATCTTTGTTGTGAACCTCGGTAACTGAGAGGATGGTGGTACCCTCCACAGTTAAAGGAAAGGAAGAAGAGAGAGTTTGGGGGAGGGGGAAAGAAAACAAGTTCAGTTTCGGATATGTTGATTTGGGGATCTCCGTCTTCCCCTTCACTTCTTGCAGCTTGGAACCCCTGATTTCCTTCAAGGCTTATCTCAAGTTCCACTTCCTTTAAAGTCCATTCTGGGGGCAGCCAGGTGGCGCAGTGGATAGAGCACCGGCCCTGAAGTCAGGAGGACCTGAGTTCAAATCCAGCCTCAGACCCAACACTTGACACTTAACTAGCTGTGTGACCTTGGGCAAGTCACTTAACCCCAACTGCCTAAAAAAAAAAAAACATAAAGTCCATTCCTGATTCCCTCAGCTCTCAGTGCCCTCCCCCAAATCACTATATGTTAATTTTGTGTATATTTTCTATACTTATCTGTGAACATGGTATCCCCAATGGAACATAAATTCCTTGAGGGCAAGAACTCTTGTGCCTTGCTTTTGCCTCTGTATTCTCCCCAGCTTCTACCACATAGGTGCTTAATAGATGCTTATTAGTTGATCGGCCAAAGGTTTTCATTTGGTTTTATTTTTTGGTGGAGAAGCATGATTCCTCCCCAACTTTGCATTGCTTGATGAGGATCCAAGCTGCGATGAAAAAATATTGTGCCCCCTTATTGCAAAAATTAGTTGCCTAGAGAAAAGACAGCTAGGGGACAGATTTACGATCCACAAATATTTGATTGTCGAAGAAAGATTGAACATCTGCACTCAGGGGCCTTGCAGAACTAGGACCACTTGGGGAAAGTTAAAGAGGCAGAATTTGAGTTGATATGTGGGAAAACAACACAGATGAAATGGAATTTCCTCATCCGTCTTCAAGAAAGGAATTAGGATTGCATGGCCACTTGGTGGCAGGATTCTATAGAGAATGTGTGCTTCAGGGCAGTTTTACTTGCCACAACCTTTCTAGTCTGTGAAGCAGAGGCTTGGTAGGATGGGACTCGTGACACTGTATGAATATGGAAGAGTCTATTTTTTTAAAAGGAACAAAAAAAAAGTAATATAGTATATTAAGAAGATACACAGGACTGAAATCAAGTCCACAAGCTCTTGCTACTCAGCAAGCATCACGGGCCAAACCCTGGGCTGAGCACTGGGGATACAAATATAAGCCAAAAGTAATGTCCTCAAGCATCTTAACGAACCTAATTTGGGGTGACAGCACGGAAAAGGGGCGGAGAAAGCAGCTTGTCAGGGGAGAAGTCCCCGGAGCGGGAGGGATCTTCCAGGCTAAGAAGACAGCTGAGGCATGCTAGCAAAGTCCAGAGAGTAGAAGGGAGGAGAACGAGAGTGTAGAAGCGGAGGGGGGGGGGTGACTAACAAAGTGGGCAGGGGAAGCATAAGGCAAAAAGCCAAGAAAATTTTGAAAAACCGTTCATACGTGTTTCATCTGTGGTGTAACAGAGAAAGTTGTAATGATGACATTATTTTCCAAATGAACACACAGAATGCAAGTTATAACCAATCAGTGGTCAAGTCTGCAGAGAGGTCTTAAGCAAATGCTGGCATGTGAGCCTGCCACACACTGTCCAGAAGTCCAGCATGCATCGGCAGGAATATGTGCATGTAATGAATTATTTACAATATGATACTATATGGTTATGTGATGCAATATCGTGTCATCAAAATATCAATACAGGAAAGAAAACACAAATTTACAATAAATTATTAAATTTAAGATGCATCATTTTAAAATACATATTTTTAAATGATGCAAATTTTAAAAAAAATTAAAGGGTTAAAGAAAGTAGATTTCCAGGGGGCCGGTGAGTAATTTTTTTTTCAAAAGGGAGTGGCAGACCAAGTTAGTTTGGGAACCTCTGCATATCTATATCTATAGATGTGGATAGATACGCATATATACACATACATACACCTATGTATGTGTATGCATGTGTGTGTGTGTATATATATGTATATATGACTAATAGAAGGAAGAAATATAAAACTAGATAAAAGTAGGAGAGAAAAAGGAACTTATTAATAAACAAAATCCTAAAGGGAAAGGTATAACAAACAAGAAGAGGGGATCAGAGGTGAGGAGAAAAGAGCCAATGGGAACAGAGTTATCTTTAAAAAAAAAATCAAAGTAAAGTAACTGAAGAAACACAACACTGTGTTTATAGCAAAAAAAAAAGGAATTTAAAAGTAAAAAGCTTCTACACAGACAACATTAATGCACCTAGGACAAGAACGGAAGAGGTCAAGTGGGGGAAAATCTCAAATTTCCCTCATAAGGGTTTAGTATCTAAGATATATGTAGGTATAGATATATCTATGTGTATATGTATGTATGTTTTATATATATATATATAATATGTATATGTATAAATGACATGAACAAACAATTCTAAAAAAACCTACAAAGTATTCACAACCACATGACAAAAATGCTCCAAATCACTAATAAGAGAAATAACAAAAGAAACAAAACATCCCTGAGCTTTGACCTCACGCTCTGCAAACTGGCAAAAATTTCAAAAATGGCAATACTGAAGAGGTTGTGGAGAGACAGGCACATTAATACATTGTTGGTGCAGTTGTGAAATGGGACAACCGCTATAGAAAGCCATCTGGAAGTATGCAAATAAAGTGACTGAAGTATCCATTCTCTTTGACCCTGAAACTCCATTACTGGTGAGAGAAAT